AAGCCAGGGAACAAGGTGAGGGGATTGGATCCTTGCTTTTCTTCTATACGGATTGTGTCAATGGTTGCTCAATGTTGTCCCTTTCAGAATCCCGATGGCCAGGAGTGCTCGGAGACACAGAAGGAGCCGTCGCCCTGGTGGCGCGTAGATCTCCTCACACCGCAGGCGGTTCACGTGGTGCGGATAACGACGCGCGGCTGCTGTGGCCACCAGCCGTTGCAGGATCTCGAGATTCGAGTGGGCAATAGCAGTGCGGATCTGCAGCGGAATCCGCTCTGCGCCTGGTATCCGGGCACCCTCGACGAGGGCGTGGTCAAGACATTCACCTGCGCCCGTCCGCTGGTGGGCCAGTATGTGGCCATCCAGCTGGTTGGCGTCGAGGGCAGCCTCAGTCTCTGCGAGGTGGAGACGTTCACCAACGACGAGTTCTCCATGGACCGCTGCCTCAGTCCCAAGCTCGGGGTGGACACCGTGGTGACGACATTCTCGAAAACCTGCTACGACTTTCATATCACCAAAGGAGAAAGCTTCGATAAGGCACAAGCCATTTGCCAGCAGACTGGTGAGTGGCGGTGCTCTGACTGTGGGCAGCAGCAACAATAAACGGGCGGCTAATTGTCTTCCTCTATCCGAACAGGCGGCGATTTGGTACACGACTTTCGGGGCGCCACCAGCGCATACATTCTGTCCGAGCTGGAACGCCGCAAGACCGAGCTGAAGCCGCAGCTTGTCTGGATCGGGGCTCAAAAAGAGCCGGGCATCACCTCCCGCACCTGGAAGTGGGTGAATGGTATGTCCTGTCCTCCAGCATGCATATTGTGTTAAATGTTTAATGCTCTTTCAGGCGAAGTTGTACTGAAACCCACTTGGGGCAAGGATCAGCCCAACAACTACAATGGCGAGCAGAACTGTGTGGTACTGGATGGCGGACGCAATTGGCTGTGGAACGATGTGGGCTGCAATCTGGACTATCTGCATTTCATCTGCCAGCACAGTAGGTCCCACAGAAGAGAGAGAGAGCCAGTGCCAGTGCCAGTGTCACGGATGTTCAACCTTCCTTGGTGTTATTTCTTATTTTGCAGCACCATTGTCTTGCGGCTCGCCGGATGCCCAGCAGAACACCACTGTCATGGGCAAGAAGTTCACTTTGGGCGAGAAAATTCAATACGATTGCCCCAAGGGTCATTCGCTGCTCGGTCAGGCGGAACGAGACTGCCGCCTCGATGGCACATGGAGTGGCTCGGCGCCAACCTGCAAATGTAAGCGATACGACGAGTCGATGAGTCGGTGTGGATGTGGGAAGATAGAAACCCAGAGCAGGGTTTTTGCTTTTCTTACGGGCCTATTGATACAACTATACTCCCCCTTAACAGATGTTGATTGTGGCAGCTTGCCGGAGCTTAAGTTCGGCTCCATACACCTCTCAGAAGAGCGCACCAGCTTCGGTGTGGTGGCCACATACAGCTGCCACGAGAACTACACGCTGATTGGCAACGAGAATCGCACCTGTGAGGTGGATGGCTGGAGCGGCAAGCAGCCAGAGTGCTTGGTGGACTGGTGTCCGGATCCACAGCGCATTACAGGGGGAAATGTACGCTTCAGCGATAAGAGGGCCGGCTCCACGGCCACCTATACGTGCGAGCCGGGCTATGTGCTCGTTGGCGAAGCAGTAAGTGTCGACAAGAGGACAAAGCCAGATGGATCAGCTTTTAATTTATTTTAATACTTTTCAGATTATTTCCTGCGGCCTGGGCGGCGAGTGGTCCAGCAAGACGCCCTCCTGCCGATTCGTTGACTGTGGAGCTCCGGCGCGACCCGATCGCGGGATATCCATACTCCTCAACGGCACCACCACTGTCGATTCGGTGGTAAAGTACGAATGCGACGAGGACCACTGGCTGGATGGGCCGACAGAGCTCTACTGCACCAGGGATGGCAAGTGGTCGGGCGAGGCGCCCGTCTGTGAGTTGGTCACCTGCGAGACGCCCCAGGTGCCAGCTGGTTCCTTTGTCATTGGCTACGACTACAATGTGCACTCGAAGATCCAATACAACTGCGATCCCGGGCACATAATGCACGGCAATCCAGTGCTGGAGTGTCTGGACAGCGGAGAGTGGAGTTCCGATGCCCCCGACTGTGAATGTGAGTCCCCCCAGAAGCCACAAACCATACACCTTTCCCAATATAATTCGGAAATTTTGCTTCTTTCCAGACATCGATTGTGGCCAGATATTGCCTATTCCATATGGAAGTCACAAGTATGTGACCAACACCACGTACGTGGGCTCCGAGGTGGTCTTCAGCTGCTCCCAGTCGCATAAGCTTAGCGGAGTGGTGAAGCGTCATTGTCTGGAATCGGCCGTCTGGAGTGACGTCTCCCCCAAATGCGAGGGTAAGTGACAACAACTAAATATCTCTGGATCAATCTGTAATTGAAATATATGTATCTCTATTCCTTAGAGATACGCTGCACTGAGCCGAGATTGGCCACTCATAGCCTGCTGTCAGTCACAGGAAACGATCGCATGTACGGACGGACACTCATACGCACCGCAGACTCCACACAGAACACGGCCCAGACCTACAAGTATATGGCGGGGGGGGGAATACTTTTTATTTCCTAGAAAATGCAACACAATCAAATTTCGATATTTTTTAGAATTGGTGCCCTGGCGAAATATCGCTGCGAGCGGGGCTATAAAATGGTGGGCGAGGCTTTGGCCACCTGCACGGACAGCGGCCAATGGAGCGGCATCATTCCGGACTGTGTCTGTGAGTGAAAAAATGTATTCATGGTATCTATATATTATTTAACGCTTGCCACTTTCAGATGTTGAGTGCGGTGCACCCGAGAATATAACCAATGGAAAGGTTACCCTGGCCACAAACGCCACCTACTATGGAGCCGCCGTGCTCTACGAATGCAATGTGAACTTTAAGCTGAATGGTGTCTCCCGGCGACTGTGCACAGAGCATGGCAACTGGAGCCACGAGGCACCCGAATGTGTGGAGGTTGTCTGCGACATGCCGAATATCAATGAGAATCTAATTGTTGAGGCTGGAACTCGAGCCGTGGGCTCTGTGGCCACCTTCAAGTGCCTCAAGGGACGCACCATGATTGGCAATGATACGCGCATCTGCCAAAAGAACGGCAAATGGGCGGGCAAGAGTCCCACCTGTAGGCGTAAGTATTTTTATTGGTCACTTCCATAATATATGGCAATCAAAGATTACAGGGGTACAATTTTTAGATGCGGGGAAAAAACAAATAGAATCATAGCGATTGATCGTGTGTACCAGATTGTTGAATCTGTATCACATCGGATCATTTTTATAGCCAGAATGAAGAAAACTATTTTTCTCGTCCTCGTACAGTGGCGCCCTCTAGCGCAGTGAGCGGATGGTGCTACGTAGGTGTGAAGAATGATCGAGAGAGGGAGAAAGGGAGAGAGAAAGACATGTCAAATAATGTGCTTTATGGAAATAGCTAGAATATTTGTCTAGATCTTAAGAATAAATATATAATGAGTGCATATTCTGCATTCCAATCCAATTTCCAACCAATTTCTCAAGCTTTTGTGGACTATATTTGATATATGTATAATTGATAATTTGATAATTGATATAATTGATGATATTTGCCTTTACTTTTTTACAGCCGTCGACTGTGGACGACCACTCGCCATCGAGAACGGGCGTGTGATTGTGGTAAACGACTCCACGCTATATGGCGGCTCGGCCGAGTATCACTGCATTCCCAATTACAATCGCATTGGACAGTATCTGCGCAAATGTACCGAGGATGGGGCCTGGAGCGGCAAACAGCCGCACTGTGAACTGGCCGCCGTGGAGGGTCCAGAGACCTCGGAGCTGGGCACTGGCGTGGGCATTGGAGCCACAATCATAGTCGCTTTGCTGGTGGTCTTTGGTTTGATTTTCCTGTACCGAAACAAGGCGCGACCCGTGAAGAATACGGAGAATGTGCAGGCGGCCGAGACGAAAGACGAGCGCAATGCTGCCGTCATGTCGTACTCGACACTGGAGGCCAACAATCGCATGCACATGGACAACAATCCATCGGCGGCCACCTTCAACACATTCCAAGGCGGTGTGGGGCGCAATAATACAGGCGGTGGTGGTGGTGGTGGTGTTGGTGGGGCGGCCGGAGCCGCAAATGGCGAAAGACTGACCAACAATCGCTCAGGTAAGTGAATGTAGTGAATCCATACATGTATAATCTATCTGATAATCTAATGATCTAATCTTCCCACAGAGAACATTTACGATCAAATACCAAATGAGCAGTTCTATGATGCTCCCTACGAGATGCGAAGCAATGACGAGGTATACGAACCAGAGCCTGTGGCCAGCAATGTGATCACCATCAATGGCATCTCTGTGAGATAAGGCGGGATGGGATACATCGAAGAACGATCGACAAGAGGACTAACCTTTAGTTTTGTGTTAATACCTGTATATAGTAATTGTTTAAGAAGAGGTCTTGATCGCTTTTGTATGTACTGTATACTACCCGTACCATACCATATCATACCATACCATACCATACCATACCATAGTTATATATACTATATACGATATATATATTATCTATAAAAAACAACTGTTGAATATGAACTTTTGTAGAGTGACGCTCTGCACACACCCTATACTCGTATATAATCGGATTGTATTTTTTTGTGCGTGTGTGTTTCTTAAATTATTTTAACTATTTTAGTATGTTACAACAGAGTGTACAATGTTTTGTTATATGTGTGTAAAAAGCGTTTAATATTAATGGAAAACAATAATTAAAGCAAATGTGTGGTTAACTAATTTATTACGATTACAATCCAACCCAACCCAACCCCGTCTCTGTTTTTGTTTCTGTTTCTGAGCAACAGTTTTGTTTGATCAATAACTCAAATTTAAACAGAACAAATCTTAAAATTATTTTGGGCACTATGATTTAGTACTATTCGGACAATATTGGGCCACATATTTTATAAATTTTACTACACCTTTTGGATTTTAGGCTGTGGCTGGTGCAGATGCTAGAGCATGGCCAAGAAGGGAGGAGTGCAACAGTTGCAAGCGGATCTGCAGAACAATGAGGATTTTGAAAAGTTCCTGGAACGTCCCGGCCTTTTGGGTATCTATCTTGTCCGCCACTACCGCCTTCCCTCCGCCAAATAATGTTGCCCTGCCCTGCCCTCTGTCCGCAGTGCTCGACGTGTATTCTGAGTGGTGTGGCCCCTGTCTGGGCATGGTGGGCGGCCTGCGCAAGATCAAGCTGGAGATGGGTGGCGACAATCTGCAGTTGGCCATTGTAGGTAGTGCCTCTTAATGGTCGACCTTTACTAATAATCCATCCTTAATGGCGTCCTGGCAGTGTAAATCGGATTCCATTACGGCCCTGAAGCGTTTCAACAAGAAGAGCGAACCCACATGGCTATTTGTAACCGTAAGTTAGGGCGATTCCAGCTTCAGAAAGGGTAATTCTTAACAGGGATTGCTTTCAGGGTGGCAGGGCAGTGAACATCATGTTTGGCACGGATGTGCCCAAGCTGATGTCCCTGCTCGGCAAAGAACTGGAAAAGACCATGCAAAAGGCACCTCGGCTTGTCACCTATGGCATCGACGAGCTGCAGCCCATCGAAGTGGAGCAACTACGCGTCAAAAACGAGTCCACGCAGCTTGTGGAGCGCATTGAGCGCGAGGCCAAGGAGAAGAAGCAATTGGATTACCTCACCTATGTGACGGACACCATTCTCGAGAATATACCGGACATTGGGGTCACAGTCTTTGGGCCGCAAGTCAATCGTGATATGTTCAAGAAGCTGCAAGAGCCCGCCGAGCCACTCAAAATGCAGTGCAAGGACCGAAAGGTCATCCAAGTGTCGGCCGAACAGTTCGATATTGTGAACTTTGCCTGCAAGAATCCACTGCCGCACGATGTCATCGAGCAGTTGGATGGCAAGGAGCTGCTGATGTGCTTCTGGAAGATCGATGAAACCATCGGCTCGGTGCCCAATGTCCTGGCGGCGTATGCCCACGAGCTGACCAAAGAGCGGGTGGCGCCACCCAACGAAGAATTCGATGAGGAGCATGTCATTCCCCCCATTATATCGCCCATGAAGATCAAGGTCGAGGTGGAACTGGAAGGTAACATCGGCCGCGCGTTGGCGGTTGCTGCATAACTAACCGACAATTCTCCTGACTCTTCTCCGCAGAGGGCGAAGAATGGGTCGAGGAGATAAGCTCCGAAGAGGATGCCAAGAAGTACGCGGCCAAGCCAAAGGCCAAGTCCATCATCAATTTCGCAGAGGATGCCGTGGCAGTCGACGACGAGGGCGACGATCTGGATGGCGAAGAGGAAGGCAGCGAGGAGGATCTTCCCGAGCTGGATATCAGGCAATCCATGGCCAATTTGGGTATAGACTTGGACCTGGATCTGGATCTGGACGACAGTGGCGAAGAGGAGGAGGAGTTCGTCGAGGAGGTGATTGCCAAGCCACTGATTCGCACCAGAACGGTGAAAATGCCACCGGTGTGGGTGCCCAACAATAGGCGAACGCATGCCGCGCTCGTTTATATGTTCTTCCGGAGCCAGACGAGCGGCTTCTTGCCGCCAGATCCCAAGCCGGAACCGCCCCATGTCATCATGGCCTTCGATGCTTCCAAGCGGCGGGATATTCTGAATGTGGTGGATCGCCACAAGTCGGAGGTGCCTGCCTATGGCTTCTTCACCTCCGATGATCCGGATGAGACCAGGCTGCTGGCCACCTCAACAGATCGTTACGATAACAGCGACGAAATATCTCCGTAAGTACACGGGGACATCCCGCCTTTTATGCCTTTCCGGAACTTCCTGCCATCATTCTTTCATTTGTTTTGCAGGAACGACAAGATCGTGCTGAAGGTCACCAAGGTGCAGTCGAACATGATGCTCTCGCTGGTGTCGTATGGACCCAGCTATGTCAGTCCCAATGTCACTGCCGGGCGGGAGGAGGGCCTCAAGTTCTTCTCGGAGAACTATAAGCAGCAAGCGGATGTACCAGAAAAAGAAGACGATGACAAGAAGAAGAAACGAAAGGTATTATTTTGGCTAACAAATATTCTGCGTTTCCCTCTTACGTTCCTTTCTTCAGGGCAAGAAGACTGAAGAAGATCAAGTCCGGGAGTCGCGTGATGTACCAGAGCCACCTCCAGCTAAGGCAGCGCCGCCCAAGGAAGAAGCACCACCACCACCACCACCCGAAGGCCCCGAAGGAGAAGCAGCACCAGGCGAAGCACCCACAGGCGAAGCACCCACAGGCGAAGCACCCACAGGCGAAGCACCCACAGGCGAAGCACCCACAGGCGAGACCGCAGCTCCGGCCGAGGGAGAGGCGGCTGCACCGCCAGCCGAGGGTGAGTCGGCTCCGGCTCCAGCTCCGGCAGAGGGCGAGGCCGTTGCTGCACCGGCGGAAGGGGCAGCACCTGCTGAAGCTGCGCCAGCATCGGAAGCACCACAAGAAGCCCCCCCACCAGCGCCGGAAGCGGCCCCAGAGGCACCCAAAGAAGAAGCACCATCGGCCCCGGAACCAGCACCTGAGGCGGCACCCGCACCAGAGGCCGTACCCGAGCCAGCTCCAGAGCCAGCTCCTGAGCCAACTGCAGAGCCCGAGGCGCCTGCAGAAGTTGCTGCAGCTGAATAACAAATTGTTGTTAAACTTAAATTCTCTGTATTAAAATTATCTGATCTCATAAAAGTTCTACCATTTGAGCTGATAACGTTCTGCTCAAAAATTGAAGTTGTCCAACACTTAAAAGATCGATAGGTTGCGATCTTATCGATAGAGTGCAGTGATTTAATATAGCATTTCGTAAAATATGTATTCAGTAAGTAATATTTAATAGTTTTCACCATCTTATTGAATATAAAATTAAAACACTTGTTGCGCAGCTCCCTAATAGCGAAGCAAAACACTTACATTTAATCGATAGCTCCCGAACACTACTGAACACTACTTTCGTGCCGCCCTGGTTGTGTGCGTGAGCTTTGTGGCGCGCATTTTGTTTTGAATAGCAAAAAGAGTGCGCAGATATGTTTAAATGTTGCATTAAACAGCAGTGCAATTGTGTTTTAAACGTTCAATCACTGCATTTTGTGGACAGGTCTTCTAACCGGCCACGTCCAACAAGTAATGACCGCATGCCTGTTTGCACGTGTGTGTCTCTGTGTGTGTGTGAGAAAAAGACTCGTGAAAATTGAAATGAAATTGCATTTCACCACAATTCTGCTGATCTGCTTCGAGCACGTGTCCAAGGTGATTGCGCAGGGCATGCCCATCAGTCCCTGCCCAAAGATCTTTCAGTATCGATTCGACGGAAATGAATGGTTCGGTCTGATCGCGGTGCGAAACCCAGACGTGAGGCAGCCACTCCAGCTACGCGTCACGCTCTCCATGCGCGGCAAGCCAACAACGGTAAGGGTCACACCACAAACTTCACATCGAAAAATATGAAACGAACCTAATCATAACCATCTTTCAGAACTATCTCGGCGAAATAGAGCTGCTGACCCGTGGGCAGTTTACAAAGAATGCCCCAGTCCTCTACAAGATACGCTTTCCCAAGCATCACTTCCCGCCCAAACTGCTGCTCATCTCGGCCAACAATCATGTTATTTGCTTTGGATCTGGCGGTCTGTATTAGGGTCCATTCTATCCATCATTCACACAGCTAACCCTTCTCTTCTCCCGGCAGATCATAGTATATTCATGACCCAAATCCAGCTGGAGCACACCAGGAAACTAACCTTTATACCGGACAAGAAGACTTCGCTTCTACTGGACGAAGAGGAGGGCGTTGCCGAGGAGACAGTGCCACCGCCGCCGCAGCCACAGCTGCTGCCGCACAGCCAGTTCAAGAAGTATGCATACGGATTGTGGTCGGTTCAAGCACGCGCCTCCTCAATGCCATTCATTCGTTATCTAATGCCCGTTTCCGTGTAGAAAACCCTTTCATTCGCCCAAGGAGATTTGTGGGAGGATCGACAGGAGTCTCGACTTTCGGCTGCCCCTCAGCTCGAGGAGTTCGGATGTCATCACATCGCCAGTGTTTGCCGACAACGAGGACGAAGACGATGAAGAATTTGAGCACATGGCAGACGAAGAGCTGCAAGAGCAGGATACTGTGGATGGGAGTGCAGTGGGCAGCAGCCTGCCATCGATTACCCGAGGATCGTGGCCCTGGATGGCGGCCATCTATGTAAATAATCTCACATCGTTGGATTTCCAGTGTGGTGGCACTCTCGTCTCGAGACGCGTGGTCATCAGCTCGGGCCACTGCTTCAAGATGTTCAACAAGCGTTACACAGCCAACGAGGTGTTGGTCTTTTTGGGGCGCCACAATCTAAAGAACTGGAACGAAGAGGGCTCTCTGGCCGCCCCCGTTGATGGCATTTACATACATCCGGACTTTAACAGCCAGTTGAGCAGCTACGATGCGGATATAGCTGTCGTCATACTCAAGGACGAAGTGAGGTGAGTATCTGCGAAGTTAACGGAGACCTTAACTCAAGCACTGACCCCCCCAATTGCCAGCAGGTTCAATACGTTCATACGACCCGCCTGCCTGTGGTCGGGTTCCAGCAAAACGGAGTACATTGTGGGGGAGCATGGCATTGTTATTGGTTGGAGCTTCGACAGATCGAATGCGACACAGCAGCAGTCGTCCCAGCTGCATCAGGGAGAAGGCAAAAAGGCTACCGATACCAGTACTCCCAAGGTGGTAAAGGCGCCCATCGTTGCGAATGGTGTGTGCTTCAAGGCTAATGCCCATTTTCGCAGCCTCTCCTCGAATCGCACCTTCTGCGCGGGCATACAGCTTGAGTCGAAGGAGCCACAAAGCAGCAGCAGCATCCTATACACGGGCATATCGGGGGCCGGATTGATGATACTCAAAAGCAATCGTTGGATGCTGCGTGGCACTGTCTCGGCGGCATTGCCACCCGCCTTGGAGTTGGGTTCTACTACCGGTTCCACGAACTGTTGTAGCAATCAATATATTATCTATGCAGATGTGGCAAAATTTATTGATTGGATCACGGCCTTCATTATTTAACAGTTGTCCCGTGTACAGGATGAACAAAATTTCGAAATAAATGCTGTGATAGCGCCAGTGGGCAGGATGCCCATGTTCAGTGCTCTGCCTGTGTATGTGCCCTCAACGGATGAGGGTACCGCTTAATTATCGTATTTGTTGTGGATTTATTTTATGGCCCCCTCCCGATTTGTATGCCTAACTTGTTTTAAATTGCCCAATCGCCTACCTACCCGGATCACCCACGGGATTAGTGGGTTGCGGTGGCCCTCTGGCTACCTGGGTACCTGTCCTCTGACTCTCGTGCCACCTGTGTGCCGCATAAAGTCATACGCAATAATGCCTCACGCATCATTGTGCTTCCAGGCTTCGTTGTGTGAGAATGCTGCTGCTGCTGCCTCTGATTTACTCCGGCCTCCTGCTTAGCTTGTCGCTGGTGGCCGCCAACAACGATGATGGCTGCAACGAGGTGGTCTGCGGCTCGGTGGTGTCCAAGTGCCTGCTCACGCAGAGCTGTCAGTGCAAGCTGAACGACTGCCATTGCTGCAAGGACTGTCTGAACTGCCTGGGGGAGCTGTACACGGAGTGCTGTGGATGCCTGGACATGTGCCCCAAGCACACCGATGCCCTGCCCTCGCTGACACCCCGCTCGGAGATCGGCGATGTTGATGGCGTGCCCGAGCTGTTCGACACCCTCACCGCCGAGGACGATGACCAGTGGTCGACCATGCGGTTCCCCATGCGCGCCGGCATCAAGCACCGCCTGGAGGGCACCGACAATGGACTGGGTGACCGACCCAAGCCCGGGGCCACCATCAACTGCACCGTCATCTATGTGAACTCTTGCATTCGGTCGAACAAATGCAAGCAGCAGTGCGAGAGCATGGGTGCGAATAGCTATCGTTGGTTCCACGATGGGTGCTGCGAGTGCGTGGGCGCCAATTGCCTCAATTATGGCATCAACGAGAGTCGCTGCACGGCCTGCCCTGAGGACCAGGATCTGCTCACCTCCGATGCCATCCATGCCGAAACCGAACAGGATCTGGAGCGCATTTTCGGCGTCGAGGACGATGCATTTGCCGATGACATGTGGGACGACTATGGCGATGATGATGACCAGATCAATTGATGTTTACATAATTATTATTTATTCTGATTTGCAGACACCCTAACAAACTCATTTTTCCTCAGAACTAAAAAAAAAACAAGTAAAGATACTGTTTTCCAAACTGTTTTCAAAACGTAATTAAAAAGGAATTTTCTCAAATTGATATGTTTTAGACGTATTCATGCATTTTATTAGTTTCCTGTATATATATTCTGATTCCGAAACTCATTCTTGGTCTCTATAAGAAGACCACTAATTGCAAAATATCGTTAAAATTTCTTTAAAACAGAAACTGAATAGTTTCTGCATTAATTCGAGCCTGGGATGATAAACATTTCCGTAATTATATAATATCCTTTTCCCTAGGGTATTTTTTCCCGCCTTGGTCTGGGTTTGTGGGGGAAAAGCTTCTTCGAATAGTCTTTGCGGAGGGTGATGGACGGTGCTGCTTTTGCTGGACCTCAGAGAGGCCTCCGATGCAATTGGCAAGCGAGCAGATGTATTCCTGTGGCCAATGGCAGGCTAGGATCTGGGCGAGGATGAAGTAGAAGGCAGATCATCGCTTGACGGTGAATGCCTTCCTTGTTAGTTTTTATAATATATGTAGTTATTTTATATCTTGGCTTAAAAGTTACTTTTATTCGCGGTTCAGAATAGACGTTACTGTGCATTAAAATATCGCTCCTTACTATATTTAAATCTGGCCGGATACACGCCGTAGTTCTCCTTGTCCGCCAGTAGCATCAGATGCTTGGGGCACGAGCAGACGTCGCGCGTGCTGCGTGTCACGCCCCTCTGGCTATGCAGTTTTGGAAACAATTTGGGCAACTGTGCCGTGTGATTGTGCAGCACTTTCGCATCCGGTGTCCACACGGCCCGGATGTCGGTGAACTGCGACAGACGATGCAGCTCCACGGAACGACGCTCTCCGCGGACAGTTATCCTCTCCAGTCCGGTCTTATCGTCCAGCCAGTATACAAATTTCCCCAAGTTCCCCACGTTTTAGAACACAGCTGAATAGGGAGAGAGAGCTTTACCTGGGCACGGATATTCTTACCGGACACCGGCAGCGGCATATTCGGGCCTGGCGTAGCTGGGGGGATGCAGGGCACGTCCTTGGCGAGGCTGCGGCTGTGTTCCGTCTTGATCAATGTCCCCGGTGCTCCAGTCGTAGTACACGTAGTCCTAGCTGCCAACCAGTATCCGACGCTTCTTGCCATCCAGTAGAGGCGTCTCGTCTCTTGTTCGAATAGGAGCTCCTGGCCATGGTTGCATGTGACACGGCTTATGGAGTCCGAGGCGACTCTGTTCATGTATAGTACCCGTGACGCGTCTCGAGGACCACGGAACGCGGCTTCTCCACTCCCTTACACAAAAGCACGACTGCTGGTATCCGCTCGTCGTCGTGGTTCCGTTCCCCTCGCTGTACTCGGTCGAGATGCGGCCCAATGTGCTCCTGGCGCGAAAACAGCAGGAAGGCGGCAGGCACCACGCACCGTACAGGCAGAATCCTGAAGACGCCGGTGTCCAAATGCCGTTTTCAGACGAACAGCTGTTCCACCACTACCCCAAGTCAGGGGTCTGTTCTTCTTCTTCCTTTTTCAATTGTTTTCCTATGAAATTGGTCTTCTGGGGCCTGAGGCAGGGAGTAGTGGCCCACACAAAGGCCGTCGGTGGTCGTTTCGGCATCGCAACTGCAGACTCTGTGGCTCGACTTTAACTGTAAATGCGAAGAATGTGGAAAACACGGAATAGCCGTGGAACAGCGGCTGTTATTGGGGAGTGCCCTGTGACATCAGGACTTACTGTCATTTGAAGCCACTGTAGGCAGACGCAAAAGGCACTTTTGCTCATACAACAGTAGCATAAGCAAACGAGTATCGTTCCAATTGCTCAATTCTTTATTCCGTCGAATATTACTGGCTATATAGAACATTTAGCTCGGCTCACATAATTTTATTCGAGAGATGAAGCAATTTTCTACTTGACTGGCCTTTTTTAAATACTTGCTTTAATTGGATTTCTATATACCGTTGAAAATGAAATTTAATAGACGGTGAATTTGAAAAAAAAATACGCCATTATATACCGATATAGCGCTCAGATTATATCGATATGTTGAGTCACAAACCATACAATGGTTGCTATCGATACTCGCGAGAAAAACAACACTGACACGGCACACATTCGATTCATACCCGCCATGTTTCTCTATTTTGACGGTGATCTTAAACAATTGGAAGTAATAGGCGAAACTACTACTGAAATCTGCAACCAATTGTGACAAATACTTAAGTGTGCATATAGTCTGTTGGAGAGCGCATTATACGTATGCAGTTTGCAGAAATATTGGCATATTTACTTATTACTAGCCCACGCGGGTGGACGGCCACTATTTTTTGCTGCGCAATTTCGCAATAATTGTTGTTGCTTGCGCGAAATTTGAAAAAGGATTTACAGAAGGTATTTTCATATGGAATGGATACATTTTCCGATGTGGGTGAGACATGTGCACTTAATAATTGAATAATGATTAATTAATATTAATATGCACAGAAAGTAAATCAATGTGGACATGCTGTTAGCGGCTCACTTTGAGGCCTTTGGGATGTACTACTACTATTCTTATCTTAGGCGCCGGACGCTGCTAAAACACAATGTAAGCGCCTCTCTGTGTGTGTGTTTTTGTGTGCATGTGTGTGTGGACATGGGTAAGGCCGCTTGCTAATTACTAACGGTAACTTAACTTGTAGTGCGCACATGCTGGGCGCTATCAAGCACGTCATCAACCACTATCAGCGTCATCGGCATCGGCCATCTGTGTATGTGTTGTGTGTTGTGGCGTCCATCTACCTTTGCTGGAGCGGAGCAGAACACAGCAGGGAATCCAGCCACATCCCACGCGCAATCGGCCAGTCCCTGCCAATGGCATTTTATCAGTTGTGCCCGGACGGTGCCAGCTGGTGCATCTTACTCACGGTTCTAGGAGTATAGTCTTGTTATTCGGAAACAGAGCAGATCTCGAATCTCGTATCTCTAGTGATTTCAATTGATTGCGCTTTAAACATCAAATATGATATATGTATGATTACATTCGCAAAAGTGTGTGTAGTATTAGTAAATATGTATTTAGATATTAAGATTCCTCTGTGGATTTCTGTGTTCTGTGATCTGTGCTGCCTGGTCTGCTACATCGCTTGACGACTAACCAGGTCTAACCTATTTCATCGTTGACAGGATGCTGGGCGGTGTGGGAGCTCGTCGCAGAAGGGGCTCATCACCGATGGCACGTTTGACTAACAGCCACATCAATAGCCTGGATGACAACATAGCCATCATCGGGGATGGCGTCATCCGGAGGAGTGCACACTATGGTTCACAGGCCTCCAATAAACGGCGACGAGCCGTGCCAGGACCTGGCAATGACCAGGAGAGCTTTGCTCTTGTCGAGACACGACCCAATCTAGGCGATATCATGTGAGTAAACTCCCATTCCCATGAACTTACAAAGTATTTTAGTAAACATTAGTGTGTTCTGGGAGCAAGGACCACTTTGTAACCACTGCTATGGCTAAAATCTTTATTTGATACCACTATAATAGTCCTATGTCGCTCTGTGGTTTGCCGCAGAATTATCCATTTTGTAGATTAGTGTCATTATGGAGAAATATCAACAATAATGTCTATATATCAAACTTTTTGTATATAAAATGGATAACAGATAAACTTATTTCGATTTCCAATTGGAAAACGTAATGGAAGGAACCGCATTCGGTTAAGAAAGGAGATTCCTTAAATTACACTTTCTTGATTCGGGGTTCTCAAATCCTAAAGGCGCGCTCGCAAAACATATTTTGTTGTTTCCCTTTCATGCTTAACAATTCATTCCATATCAATTAAATTCCCATTCATAAATGCCTAGCCCCACTTGAATGGCTACCGCTCTTATCGGAAGATCTAATCGCCGGTATGCCTTTTTAAATTCCCGTTAAGTGTATTGGCGCACACCAGGGTTGCCTTCGAACATATCCTTAAGTGCTTCTGCGCAGATAGCCAATCGATGACCGATTATTTCGTTGCTAATTACTACAAACAGGGAATTAACATAAATATTAAATGTTGCTTGATAGAAAGAAACGTATGGCTGTACAAATCAAAATTCCAGAATCTAGATGTTTGCCAGCCAAAACAAGGAAATTATAATTGGAATTGTAACTTCTATGTCTTCTCGAAGAGTATGTGTGGGAGGAAGAGAGTGTGGCAAAGCTTCAAAAGCTTCGCCCCCGGCTCTTGCCAGCCAGAAAACAACGGCTTCCTTGCGGCCAGAGCACGTTTCTGCGCTCTATGCCTGCTGTGGTGTGTGTATGGTTGTCTCTGTTTCTCCAACAACCAAACCGTCTAAGCTAGCGAATATCTTCTGAGCGAATGGTGTACTCTCATGGCGCCAATACAGCTCTGGGGCAGCTCTCCAAGAAGAGCTTGAGCTTTTGTTTTTCGATCCAGAGCGCAGGGCTGATACTGGTACTGGCGCTGGCTCTGCGGCTGATTCCGATGATTACCGTTGCTGGCTGCCATGTGCCCTGGTGTATGTGTGTGCCCCCCTCCGTTCCCGTTACCCTCTCTGTGTCACTGTGCCTCCGTGTCGCCTTCTCCGTGTCCATGTCTCTCTCCGTGTCAGTGTTGTAGTTGTAGTCTGTAATACAAAGTCGCCGAGTTGAAGTCTTGCGTTTGTTGAGTTTTTCGTCCAACTGGTGAGACAATGTCGGTTGTAGCTCTCGCATAAAGCGGTTTTTGTTTTTTATTTTTCAACCTGCGATTTTTCCCATAATCTGGATCAAGAAAAATAGCCCCAACCCCCTACTAGTGCGCTCTATTGTGTGTGTAACGAATTAATTACAGTTTTGGAACCCAGGCCACCACAGGCTCTGGCTGGAAAAAAATAGAAGAAAAAAAATACCACATCTCAAGAGTTGTGTGTGTATGTCTGTGTGTGTGTGTGTGTTGGTGCGCTGGCATCCGAAATTCGGGTCGAGTGGTGAAAATAAAGCTAAAAAGAAAAAAACAATTTTAAATCGAATGAATAACGAATAAAGAGTATAGTGTATTCGGTTCGTTTCGGTTCAGATTCGCATGATGGGAGGTTATCCCAGGAACTGGGCTGGGAATAATAGTGACTGGGCTCTAGTTCAGATGGCATTTGCACCTGCATCTGCAGTGTGTGTGTGTGTGTGTATGGGTGTGGGGGGAGTGGGGGACACACCGTCCAGTGTCCAGAGAGAGAGAGAGCGAGAGTGCCACATCTACAGGGCTTTGTACGCCGTCTTCCACATGTTTTTGTCGCGCTTCGTTGTAGTCGTATTCGTCGTCGCTAGTAGTTCCCGTTCTCCCCTCCCCGTGACAGTTGTAATTGTTGAACCGTTCCTTTACAGCTAACAAGCCTCAAAGAACAACGCACTACATATACAATATACACTCGCACGCACACACAGATACAATTGCTTTACGTGTGTGTGTGCGTGTGTTGCGATTGGGTCAGCGGGTCGGTGGTGGCAGTAGCAGTAGCACAACGGGTGGAATGTTGAGTTGGTGGGTTAACGGGGCGGTGGGGTGGTGTGTGGTGTGTGGCAGTGTATTTCTGGTTCGGTTTCGGTTACAGCGCGACAGCGACAGCAGCGGTCTAACGGTGGTATCGGTGCTGTGTGACGTATACACGCGTGTATACCGTTTGGAAGGTGAATGAATGGCTCTCGGCATTCACACACAAAATCACATACACCACAGCATGCGATGCGATGTACTCCTTCCCCTCACTCTCCCCTCTCCCCTGCCCTTCCCTTATCCATGCTTCATCCTTTCTTTCGCTTCTCTTCTTTTTTCTTCCCCCCATTTAAAAATATAAATTTTGTACGCACGCAAATACGAGAATAAGGGGGAGAAATAAGGGGTGTACAACGACGAATGGGTGTATGCCCTTCTCCACGGAAGTGAAAAAAATTTGTATAGCGCGTGTGCTTATGGACTATTTTTTCCTTCTTTTTTTCTTATGTGTAAATATGTGCGTGTGTGTGTCTGTTTGACAGATGAACAAACATTTGCTGAATGTCCCCCGCGTGTGTTAATGATATTAGACCATGTGGTGGCTTTGTGTAATACGCGACTAGTTTTACCCAAAGACAATTCAAATTCCGAAATTCCCATAGTTGTGTATATGTGTGTATGTGTGTGTGTGAGTGTGTGACTGTGTGACTGTGTGGTTTAGTGGTTCAGTTTAAACCGCTAGGAAAGAAAGCAGAAAGTAGAACAGGCCCCAGAAAGTAGGCAACCTTTTATAACAATTTGGTTAATGCGTCAAAATGGTGAGGGAGGGGGAAAGAGCTCAGAGGGGGTGCGCGCAGAGATACGATGGGTGGGGGGAGAGAGCGAGAGAGAATGAGAGAACAAGTGTGTCATTGTTGCTGTTTATTTTTGGCAATTAGAAGTTCGTTGGTCCGTCTGTCGCCCTCTAGTGGCCGCAAACCGCAACCACATTGACATGTGCATGTGTATATGTTACCGTTTCTCTGTGTGCGTGTATAATCCCGTTCCATCGAAATATCCACATAAAAAAGAAATAGAAACGAAAAGAAAAACAACCAAAAGCAAAAAGTCAGACAACATCGCCTGCAATGACGTCATTGCACATGTAGAAAAAAGCAAATACCACCCCCACCCCCAACGTAATCCTCTTGCCTTTCATTAAAGTTATTCATAACATAAGGCGATATAATGCGAGGCTGAGAAGGGCTTTTGGATTACACTTAAATTCATTTACAGTACAGTGAAAATGTCAAGTGTAAACATAATTGCTGGTACGACCATCGTCGTCGTCATCGATATATGTAACGGAGCACCGACAGGGATTGCTTCGATATAAACCAGGGATTGCTCCGATATAAACCCACAAAGAGCGAGATACTGTGAGAGTGTGAGTGAGTGAGTGAGTTTTGGCTTACAGCCGGTTCGAGAGTGCATTTGTGTGTGGGAGAGAGAGAGAGTTTCCAAAAATATCGTCGTTCTCAGAAGAACCAGAACAGAACCCACACAGAACAGTGGAATCTCAATCAGTGCAGTGGGGCGACAACAACAACTATAAACATTTCCCATGAACGGCACAACCCTGATGTGCGGCCCCCTGCATTTCTATGGAACATAAACATTTCTGGAGAAAAAGTAAACACGAAATCGAATGGGATTGCTGCCAGGCGCTTCCCTTGATGACTATAATCGGAGAGGAGAGCTCTTTCCAGTGTGTGATGATTCTCTCATCGTTTCAATATTCACCACGAAACGGCGGTATACACCGGAGCGTCTCCCTCTCCGCTCCCAGAGTGTGTATGTTTTTCGAGCTTTTTTCGGCAGCAGCGCTATGCTTTTGCTATTGCTCTTCCTCCTTTTCTTGTGTCTGTGTGTGTGTGTGAGCTCTCTTTTGCTTATGCTCTTCTCTTGTGACACAGCAAGTTTCAACCCCTAAATTTTTCATTCATGGCGTGTTCCAGTAATGGAATGTTATACCAATAAACGAAATGAAACCGAAACAACATATATATATGTACATATGTATGTATGTGTATACCATCCATCCGTCCATCCAACAAACAAAGCAGCAAAGCAGCAAACCATCAAACCATATATATACTTATGTACATTTAGCACACTTCTTTGTGGACTACAAAAGCAGTGAAAATGAAAAGCCAATGCATTTTGTATGCATCCTTCCTTTTTTTTGCGAGTGTACTCGAGTAGTATCATAAAAACACCCGTGTCCACACGTACGGGTGCACGGGTACGGGTACAGCTACTGGTACACGTGTACACACATGTGAGTGAGTAAGTGAGTGCGGGCCAGCTACAGATTGTGTGTGTGCGTGTGTGTGTGTGTTCTCTCTATAGGTCATGAACTGAATTGACCCGGTGTGAGCATCATAATTATCGTTGGGCGAAAACAAGAATCTGCTCCTCCGGGCTACAAAACTACTGCTATTGCTACGGATACGGATACGGCTACTGCTACTGCTCTCGCGCTCGCTCTTATTAGCCCACGCACACACCTGCCACATCTGCCGCCCACTCAAGTGCAACCGGAGTCCGGGAATCAGCATGGCACGGCATTCCGTCTAATTGTACACGGGTCATACGGGTCGGATATACGTTTACGTATAAGTGTATGTGGGTGTGTGTGTTCGAATGGATATCCTGAAATACGCAGTGCATAAATAATGGGCAGAGGGGGGGTGTGGGGGGGAGGGTATTACAAGTAAAACTGAACCAAATGCCAATCTGCATAAGTGATGGGGGCCAAGTGGTTGTGCTGTGTTTGGGGGCCGGGCTCGGGGGCAATGACAAGTGACTGGGTGGGCGATCCCAAGGCAAATTAATCCATCAATTTTAAATGCAATCTAATTGCACATTCCGGTACCCCTTCCGCGTTATTTAGTGCAAATATAATACAATAATACTCCCCAACTGCAAAACAGACGGACCACAAAAAAGGCAGTAAAAATACACCAGAAAAATATATCGAAACAAATCAAAAAACAAGCATAAACAGACAAAAAATCACAGCCAGCTATACAATAAAACAAACATCAATAAAACAAAAGACCAAACCAAAGAAACCAGACAAACCAAAAGAAGAAGCACTACCAGGAGGAGGAAGCTGAAACGGAGGAGCTGGATAGGAGGAGTGCCAGAGCGCGAGAGAGTTGGTGGGGCTGATCTCCGAGCCCGAGGAGAGTACTGGGCCGCGAGGTGGAGAACTGGATCCAGAGTACACAGCATTACCATTGTATATAGTTTCAAACACGGAAGTCGCAAGTCCCCCAACGCCCCAAGCCCACTCTCTCTTTCTCCTCGATAAATACCCTTCCAAAACGACGACAACGTTGCCACCTCTGCCAAAAAATAATCGTTGGGGCACAGCCAGCCAGCTGCTCCATGCTCCATGCTCCCAAATGCCCCCGAGCTTCTCGCGTAATTGGCCTCTCGAGTTAAATGTCCAGTTGCTGCCGCTATCGTGCCATGCGGACGGCGTGTCACTCCCGACAAATGCGTATTGTGGTTCACCTTGTGTAAAATAATTATGGCCGAGCGGTCGTTACAAAAGTATCAGAAATTGGATATAGTGACGGTATGTGTGTCCTTGTTCCTAATTCATACAAGTATGTGTATATTTTTTGTTTGATTTTAGTTTTAATTGTGGCACAATTCAGATGGGGGACACACATATGTATGTGCATATGCAACCAAGATGGTTTTCATTTAAAGAGATCCCCCATCTATGTTGTTGTCCGCAGAGATACAACAATTATATGTTACTTTACCATCTAATGGTATAATTTCTTGGCATATTTTATCTCTATTTTTGTATTCCATATATCTATATGTATATTGTTCCATGTTATTCAGGTTGGAAGCGGCTCAGGAAGCAGTGCTAGCAGGGCATCAACAGGACTCCTTAGGCGGGGGGCACTTGGGTCGAAAGGGAGCCCATCGCTTAGCTGATAGAATGGGTGGCCCGAAAAAAGAGGAAAACCCACCAGGTGGTGGTCCGACGTCATTGTTTATCCTAACCGAGGATAACCCAATTAGAAAGTACACACGATTCATCATTGAATGGCCGCCCTTTGAATACGCTGTGTTATTGACAATCATAGCCAACTGTGTTGTGTTGGCGCTAGAGGAGCACTTGCCGGGTGGTGACAAGACAGTATTGGCTCAAAAATTGGTAAGACTAAGGCCTTTTCTCCATTCCCCCACCGCCCCCCATCATCTATTATTCAGAAATAAATGTCTCTATCTCTCTTGTGAATAGGAAAAAACGGAGGCCTATTTTTTATGCATTTTCTGTGTAGAAGCATCGCTCAAGATCCTCGCCCTAGGGCTTGTTCTGCATAAACACTCCTATCTCAGGAATATTTGGAACATCATGGATTTTTTCGTTGTAGTGACGGGGTAAATAATTAACCAGAAGAGGAACGCCCTTTTCAAAATGCACACCACACTTTATTTTTAATGGAAAATAAGTATCTTTACACACGCAATGCAAGCTTTTTTTTTTATTGTGTCCTTTAGTTTTTAAGCAAATTTTTTCTTTAAATTGGAGAAGAAAATGCATGGCCATAATGATGCAAAAATATACCATTTCTTGAGGAATTATTATGACCATGAAATATACACATGTGTGTTTGTTATTGATAAGAATAATTTTTTTTTTAATAGTTTTAAGGAAAGAAACCAAATGTTAATTTTAATGAGGGAAGATCTCAGCATAAGCTAACAATTAATAATATATTAATAATAACTTCCCGTCCGATGCGATCGTAAACCGTTCGTGAACAGAGCCATGACGATATTTGCTGAGGCCAATATAGATGTTGACCTGCGTATGTTGAGGTCTTTTCGTGTCTTACGACCGCTGAAGCTTGTATCCCGAATTCCAAGTAAGACTTCGAGCCAACAAATCAACATTAGTTATAGTACCATTTGAATAAGGACCTTAGGCCAGACTAAAATAACACATTTATATATCCTACTTTATATAGTAGATCTTGGCTAGCAAGCCACACATCAAAAATTATAATTGAACATTCAAATTGCATTATAGAACGAGCTATAGCTACGATGTGTGTCGTCTTAGTGAGTGTTCAAGTAGAAACTATAATGGATCTCCAATTCTAAACGCTATAAGAAAGGAAATGGATATAGACTGCATCGATAGGATGCCTCCCATACCTCGGATTGGAACTAGATCGGATATATGTAGTTATTTTCATTTCATATGTATGTGCACATCGACCCCTTTCTGCTATGTTAATCGAATGGATAATGTTGAAAAGATTTTAGAACAATATTGCATAGAAAAAGGGGTCGGATATGTACCTAAGATAAAACTGTGATTAGATATCTATGAAAATTGAACATTATGTACTTTATTCCGGCTATACAATATCGTAACATTAATATTAACTTTTATTTGATAATCAATTATTAGTTAGTTTAGAAATGAATAATCATAAAGTCAACGTGGGATTTAGTTACCGAGCCATGGATCAGTGTAATAGCCATAGAAATCACATACTGTAGAGGTTTTGCTTCTCTTACACACCGATGCAGTGGTGACTTTAGATCGTCCCTGCAGCGTTCCGAGCCCAAAGGGGCATATATTATAGATATATTTTAGATTTAAGATTATATTTGTCTCATAGAATACACATTTTATAGCTATACCATGGAACAATTGACAACTGTAGAAGATAAACAACACTATGCACTGACGACAATAGATCGCTCCTGCATAGTGGATATAAATCCATCCAAAACTTGCAAATATTATATAAATATATATCTGAGATTTAAGATTATATTTGGGTCATAGCATATACATTTTATAGCTAAACTCTTTAAATACTTACTTGTAAATGCTATACCTAACTAAAAGACAGTTGAAAAGAATAGAATTTGTAGAATTTCCTATTCATAAAGTGATTTTTTATAAGATATATATAAAACCATCTTAAAACGTAATTGATATTATTTTGCCTTTTCCCGCTAATGAAATCTTTATTTTTTTTTGTACGTACATATATGCTAGATATTTTCTTAATAGAACATTTTGATACTGTATACATAAAGTAGCTTGGATTTGCTCTCCAGATGAATGAATGTGGCTCAGCCCAGAGGGCAGAGCGCAGGGTAGAGCAGATACAAACTATTGAAAGTTTTCGCTTGGGTCTCCCATTGTGTGTGCGAAATATATGAACTAGCCGCCGCGCGTTAAGTTAAACGTAAATATATCGTTTAATGTATGTATCTTTTTTGATTCGACATTATTATAAACGTTTAGTTGCTATTCGCTTTGTTTCGATTTAAGGTTCGATTTAAGATGCACCCTTTATGGAATCATTTTCTTTATACATACATATATTGTATTTGATTTTATTCATATTTGAATTGTTTTTGGATATTCATTGAGTATCGCTAATCAACTAATTTCAACTACTCGTTTCGATCGCTTAACGTCTGCAAACAGATTCATGACACAGTACCCACAAATAGGGCCCGAGGTAGACCTAAGAACACTTAGAGCCATTCGTGTGCTACGGCCCTTAAAATTAGTGTCTGGAATTCCTAGTGAGTAGTTCCTCGTGTTTCCATTTAATAATCTCTATACTCTTTCTACTACTTTTCGTATGGTTTTTATTTTATGAGAGTATCTTTGGACGCTCTATTAAGATTGTAAATATAGTAACGTAACTATATGATGGTCACTCCATCGATTTGTTCTTTTGTATTCGTACTATACATAGACTGTGGTAGGGGCTCCTTCGAGCCCATGTAAATATTAATGTGTAACTAGCAAAAGCTGCATTGCGAATCTTTTCTAATCCAACCCATTCTTTCCAACTCTTCAATCGACCCGCCGTGGAAACCGAAACTGAAACTGGATTGGATCTACATCTACATCGTCCACATAGGTTTACAAGTAGTTTTAAAATCTATAATCAAGGCGATGGCACCTTTACTGCAAATCGGTCTCTTGGTGTTGTTTGCAATCGTAATATTTGCAATCATTGGACTCGAGTTTTATTCGGGCGCACTGCATAAGACTTGTTATAGCTTAGAAGATCCAAGTAAACCAAAAACCTACAAACCATTGAACATATAGAGCTGATTAAAACCAATACTCTCTCCTCTCTTTCCTTTCCCTTTGCTCTGTGGCGTGCACAGATAAACTAGTGAAGGAGGGCGAATCAGAGACACCCTGCAACACGGACAACAGCACAGAGAAGGCAGGCGGCTCCTTTGTATGCAATAACACCACGAGCATGTGTCTGGAGAAATGGGATGGACCAAATTCAGGCATAACGAGTTTCGATAATATTGGATTCGCCATGTTGACCGTATTCCAATGTATCACAATGGAGGGCTGGACGTCAATACTCTATTGGGTACTCTATATAACACACTTAGACATTAAGTAAACCCACTAATACTTTTCTTTTTTACGATCCATAGACCAACGACGCATTAGGTTCAACATTTAATTGGATATATTTCGTGCCTCTTATAGTTATAGGCTCATTTTTTATGCTCAACTTAGTTCTTGGTGTCTTGAGTGGGTAAGTTGGTTCTATCTTACTCTCGCTGATTTGATCGTGTGCTCTAACAATCTATCCGATCTTATACACCGTAACAAAATTTACTATTTCAACTACTCTTACTATTACTATTACTATATATGGTTATTATTTTTGAATTGAAGTTAATTCTGTTTTTTGGGTGGGAGAGTTTGAATATATCACACAGATATTTGTGGGTGGGGTTCCCCCCACCATTCCATTCAAAATTCAATCCTACCAGATTATACATATGTTTGTGTGTATATATAGTTGCTCCCAAACCAGAAACTTATTCGATGTAAGGTATTGCAAAAATTTGACAGCTGATTCGATCTGTTTTTTGTGGGTTGGGCTTTGTGATGTTCAGACTGCTCCTGTTTATACATATGTACATATGTATGTATTGTATTTATGATTTTTTGTTCTAATTTCTATTTTTGTTTGGGACTTTCTGTTAAATGTATGCATTAAATGATCCTCGTATTCCTCGAATATTCAGAGAGTTTTCGAACGAACGTAACCGCGTCGAGCGTCGCATGGAGTTTCAGAAATGCCGTTTTCGGGCCATGTTTCAGACAGCAATGGTCTCGTACCTTGATTGGATCACACAAGCAGGTTTATACAAATAGTTCTAAACCTCCCAAACCCCCCAGTTCCAGTTCCAGTCCCTGTACCTCACCCTCGAATGCAACCAACAGTAAAAACAGCCATTGAACATTTAGAGAAACCAAGCAAATCGAAACAGAGCTATACTATATAGTATATATATAATATAATACCCAATATTCGAAAAACCCAGGAAATCCCTTTAGTACTATGAATATCTCTCAGACAACAAAAAAAAAAAAAAATAGCAGACATCCATTTAAAACAAATTCAATTAAAAAACGAACCAAAGTACTTCCAAACAACATACTATATTCGTTATAAGGAAATTGTTTGAATTTTACTGCTAGTTATGTACGTACTACTACTACTATTCCCAATATAATACTTTATAGAACGCAAGAAAATCCAATAATAATCCATAATAATCCACGGTCACAAAGAGTTGATAAATAATACTTATTACTACTACTACTACTACTCCAAAATGAATTGATTATGCGAAAAATGCTGTTCGTTCACCCCCAAAAAGCCAAACCAATCTACTATGTACACCCACCAACCCATATACTTTCTTAATCGTTCCCCCCGAACAGTACGTATTCTATGCATTTTGCTATACACCTAACTTTAGTTGAATTTAAACTAACATAGAGACAACGTTTAACATACTTATATTGCCCCAAAAACTAAACTTAATAGCTAGCCATACTACATACATACAATATATAGAAATTCTATTACTCCGAAAATAAAAGAGATCCCTCAGCCCCTCAATCCGATCCCCGCCCCAGCGGAGTGTCGAGAAATATTAAGATATAATGTTACTATATACTTTATACTATATACACCACTGACATGACATACACAAGTGCACCCCAATAAAAACGCATCAAAACCCACATCCAGAGCCACTTCCGATGATGCCATCACATCGCCCAATGGAATGGGTACGAGTGTACTCCTCGCTGGCTTGCCCTATAAATCATCCTGCATACTGGATACACACTCGTATATGTGTATACTCCGTATATAGTACCCATTGAAAATTGTTCCCTTGACTTCTGACCTGATTCCAAGGGTCTCTGTGCCGTCTCTCCCGTCCCGTCCCGCTGGGGAGCCATCATTCGAGAACCGACCGACAACCGAGCCAACAAATATATCAAAATGTGTTATTATCGTTTTAGTTGCCACTAAATAATTTCCACTATCTCTGTCCCTAGTTTTGATTTGATTTTATTTGGATTTCCATTTGGAATGAGTTATGATTTAAATTCTTCTTTAATTTGATCTATGGAATTCTCTATACTATTCTCGTACAAAGATGTGAAGATTGTTGCTGTTGTAATGCTAATGCTGCATACTACTCGTACTGATCAATTCTTACATCTGATCAATCAAATCGAAATCGAAAACGAAATCAAATCCTGTTTTTCGGTTTATCACATTCTATTTTGATTATTTTTTGTAGTGAATTCGCAAAAGAACGAGAAAAAGTAGAAAATAGACAAGAGTTTCTTAAACTTAGAAGGCAGCAGCAACTAGAAAGAGAGTTAAACGGCTATGTTGAATGGATTTGTAAAGCTGGTATAGTATTTAACCCCTATTTCTTGTTTGTAAAATCTATCTTATATATGTACACTCCTATAATACACTCACACCTCTCATACCACTATACATCCAAAAAATAAAAATACTCGAAGAAACACTAACAAAAAATGGAACACTTTACAGACCAGACCAACGAAATGCATAAAATACTTGCCCGAAAACATGGAAAGCTTGGAAATGTTTTATAACTCTGAAACCCACAACTTGAACATTTCAACAAGAATCTTCTATAAACTACTCATGCAGAACTCATGCACAATTCTCATTTGTCAAGATCTTTCTCAAAGAACAAAGAATATACGAGACGCCATGGTTCTTTATCATCCCAACGAATCCATATAGTATACTGTTAAAGAAGTTTGTGCATGTCTTAAAAGGTCTTATGCAATGTCAATGAGGATTTTATTCCCTAAAAATCGAACAGAGTTGTGTTATTATTCAATTTGAGATCATCTCTCACTCCAGTTTGAGGTACATTCATCTTAATCATCTCGTTTGGAAATGTCCAACCATATTATATACATCTAAATATATATAGGTATATATACCAGTTGTACTCAGATAATTTATATATATATATATAGCCAGCACCTGTGGCACATTCTTAGCGTACCTTTGTCCTTATACAATAGAACCAAAAACTGATAAAAGCTCCTGTGCATTGCCAAGTGTAAAGTAATATCCCACACAAAGATGAAAATATCGTATAAATATATATAGACCGATCATGCTCCCCACTATACAAAAGACATACCCCACATATACCTACTATATATCGTACTATTTGTAAAAGTATATACCACATATATACTCCTTTGTGCTAATTTTGTTGATCAGAACGAAAAGCCTTGCTGTGATCGAAATACCAATTGATGCATTTCAATGATATTATTTCAGAGGAGGTGATACTAGCCGAAGAGCGGACAACAGAGGAGGAGAAAATGCACATAATGGAGGGTGATTGTCATACTCTTATTTAATATTAACGATGTCTCAATATTAATGATGATTTGTTGATTTTTAGCACGAAGACGAAATGCAGCCAAGCGGAAAAAGCTGAAAAGTTTGGGAAAATCGAAATCAACAGACACTGAAGAGGAGGAGGCCGAGGAGGACTATGGCGATGATGGTAAGAAAGATATTTAAAAAATTAATTTAAGAAACAAAATTTTCGATATAAAGTTCTGCGGAAACAAGGTTCTCAAGTGTCGGCTATCAAAAATATCAAAGATAGGGCATAACTATATCACGATGGGAACGTGGGCAAGAGGGCCAAGCATGGACCTTTGTACTATATCCGTATTGAAATTTGTACACCAAAAACACACACGAAATGCTACAATTTTTGAATTGCGTTGAGTTGGATTTTAATTGTCTAGTTTTCTTGTTCAACGAATGTCTTTATAAATACAAACAAAAAATACTTATAAATAATACAAGTTTTGTCTTTGCTTAAAAACCGAGAGCCGAAATGCAATTAATTTTAATATTTCGTTTCTTCATTTGAACCATACAATATTCTCAAACAACAAAACGAATTTGTAAATCTCTTACATTGAATATCGTTTCGAAATGTGTAAGTAAATTATAATTTATTTATTCACTGCACACACCGACACACACACACACACACACACATACACAACACACGAATCGGTGAAGCAGTTATCAAAAATTAATGCTCCGCACAACAAAACCTATATACATAAATAATAATCATTGTTGTACTACCACTCGTATGTAAAGTTCACAAAAATGTGTTTTTGTATAAAGAAAAAAGTAGACCATACAATTAAATCATTTTACTGCCTGCAAACATTCTTTCGGATTAGATTGCATCATAAATAGGTCTTTGATATAGTGCACCAATTGTTACAGAAATCATCTAAATAAAGTATGATCCAGATTTATGATCCAGGGGCATAATGGCCTATTATGAGGCGCGGGAAAAGGACTTTACCCATTAGAAATGTTCTATATGTATACGTAGACTTAAAAAGAATAAAGGGAAATTATTTTGTATTGTTTATTCTGGTGTACAATGAAAATTCATACCATTTCCAACAAGAGTTCCCAACAAAATGCTCAAGTTGGACTCTAAACATATATCTGACTAGATGATCTAATAAAATGCTAACCAGAACAAAAATAAAATAGGGTAGGACAAGAGTGAAAATTCAGAAGAGAATAAAGAGAATAAAAAAAGATAAATGATATTTCCCATAAGAATACATTTCTACTCGTGGATAGCGTTCTACTCAAGCGTATATATAGCAATTTATACAGTCCTTTATCTGCTCTGTGCCGATCAATTTAATGATATTATTCCTATGATTTTTGAAACGATAAAGGATAACTTTAAACTCAACAGTAATAATAGCAAATGAAAATACAAAAATCGATTAAACGTACTAAAAAAACCTAACCTATAAAGAAGAACATTTAAATTTTAAGTAGAAAATAATATTTGAACTGAGATTTAAAGAGCATGAATCCATATCATATGTACATATGTATGTACATCCGCGGCACAAAAAAGTAATCTCTGTCTAGTGCTAGTCGTATGGGTGCATCACACCTGTGTAACGTAATATCGTACTCATATCGATTAGATCTGTCTGTATTCCATATGTACTTTTACAGCATATGTATGTATATGTATTGCATATGCATGTGTATGCTAAGTGCCAATAATTATAGAGTAACCAAGGCATCAACCACTGTGTCTACATACAATATATCTCCCTCACATTGTATTTGAGTAAAATTAATATAAGATAACAGTGGGTTTTAGAGCTATAAGAGCTGAAAGATTGATAAACTTTTAGTTCTGAAACGTACTGTAGTATCTGGTTGTGCGCCATAGGTGGAGATTATATTCATATATGTTCCCAAACAACGTGATCTATTGAATCTTGCTAACAATGTGTGTTCGTTTGGTCTTTTGTGTGTGTCTTCCATCCCGCAGGTTATCTGAAAACTCGCTCTAAACCTCAAGGCAGTTGTACGGGATTCTGGCGAGCGGAGAAGAGATTTCGCTTCTGGATCCGGCACACGGTGAAGACGCAGTGGTTCTACTGGTTCGTGATCGTACTCGTCTTTCTGAACACAGTTTGTGTGGCCGTCGAGCACTATGGCCAGCCGTCGTTTCTCACAGAATTTCTGTGTAAGTAGATCAGTAGATCAGATGGATCATCGGTCGATTAATTGTTTCGTTTCGTGTTTGATATTTCAGATTATGCGGAATTCATATTCCTCGGTCTCTTCATGTCGGAGATGTTCATCAAGATGTACGCTTTGGGGCCCCGCATCTACTTTGAGTCGTCGTTCAACCGTTTTGATTGTGTTGTCATTAGTGGTTCGATATTCGAGGTGATCTGGTCCGAGGTCAAGGGAGGCTCGTTCGGTCTGTCCGTGCTGCGTGCACTGCGACTACTGCGCATCTTCAAAGTAACCAAATACTGGTCATCGCTGCGCAATCTAGTCATCTCACTGCTGAACTCAATGAGATCGATTATCTCGCTGCTGTTCCTGCTCTTCTTGTTCATACTGATATTCGCACTGCTTGGCATGCAGCTATTTGGCGGCCAGTTCAATCTGCCCGGAGGCACGCCCGAGACCAATTTTAATACATTCCCGATAGCCCTGTTGACCGTATTCCAAATTCTCACTGGCGAGGATTGGAACGAAGTCATGTACCAGGGCATCATATCGCAAGGTGGTGCACAGAAAGGAATGATTTACTCTATGTAAGTTTTTCGGCTTAATCTTGTACACTCTCTCACTGTCTCTCTCTCTCTCTGTCTTGATCATATGCATTGTACGCTATTTGCATTCAATTTTTGGAATTCAATATTTACCGAGCTAACTAATATCAGATAACCCCCCACTCCCATATCTCCTCTGGGACCCTAGCTAATTCTAGAACTTACTCCCTGACTCATTTAAATGTATATCGGTCGTACTTGTACGTTAGCTTAGTATTCCGTATTCGTATTTTGTATTTCGTATTTGTGTGTCCTTTAACTCCCTAAAATCTAAGAGGAGTCCTAGTCATTGAACGTCGAACCATTAATCTGTGCAATCGAGCACGAAAAAAAAACCAGAGAGACTTTGGAGCTTGAAGAATTTTATTGAAATTATTGAAATTCTGCAAGCCCAAGTCCCAAAAGTTACACGTTCCACGTGCATCAGCAAGAGTCAACCTGCGCCACCCCATATCAACGGTCACCAAATCCGTAAGTGTAGAAATAATGCTAATTGAAACTTTACACGAAAGCTAATGCATTACGTTTCCATTACCATATCTATCTTTGCAGCTTTTCCACGACTTGTTGGCCTTGGCTCTAAGACAGCTGTGTAGTAGTAACCGTAGTTCTCATAGTTCCTACCACTACCCCACTACCCACTCCAAGATCTTGTTCGGAATACTTGATTGATTGCCTGTTCATACATACATGCATACATACATAAACCTCTCATGCATAGATCCTAGACTAAGAACCGCTATAATGTAAATCCATTCAATCACTTAATTTCTATTGTGTTCTTGATGTTATCCCCCCAAACAGATACTTTATCGTTTTGGTACTCTTCGGTAATTACACGCTCTTAAATGTTTTCTTGGCTATCGCCGTTGATAATTTGGCGAATGCACAAGAATTAACAGCAGCCGAAGAGGAACAAGTCGAAGAGGATAAAGAGAAACAACTGCAAGAACTTGAAAAGGAAATGGAGGCCCTACAGGGCGATGGCGTACATGTGGAAAACGGCGACGGCACTGTGGCCGTAACGAAAGGAAAGAGCAAAAAGAAGGAGGAGGAGAAAAAGGAGGAGGAGGAAGTGACCGAGGGACCGAAGCCAATGTTGCCATACTCATCGATGTTTATACTCTCACCAACCAATCCGTAAATATTCTTCCATCCACTCAATCATGCTTCCAATCTATCACGTCATGAGGCTTTCCGTTGTTGTGAGGGCTACGTGCCGGGGGGTTTTTCTCATACTACTCGTAGATGTAAGATAATACACATCTCTTCCAGGAACTTCTCATATGTAACATATATGAATGCATCGTCCGGTCGATACATAGTCGGCCAACCTAAAACTGGGGGAAAGACAGATGCCTAATTAAACGCGAATAATTTAAGAGTACCAACTCATTTCGTAGATTCCATTTCCATTAAGTCCGTGGTGTCGATCCAAGGCTCCTTTTTGCAGGTATTCTCGGGCATTGCTTAGATATCGTTAATTGTTGCTCTATATATTATACATATATACATATATATATATATTTAATCGTTACATCAAATAGCCCTATCAATGACATTACTCTAATCTTTTTATGATAATCAACGAAATCAAACTGAGTATAACAAAATCACTAACTATTTTTAATACTTTTTTTTTTCTTTTTTACCTTTTACCTTTTTGGATTCGTTACAATTTTATGTTGCACACAACCAACAAAACAAAACAAATATTAATCAATCGATTGATTGTATGAATCGACATCTATTTGTAAATATATTCAACAACAATATCTGATTACTATCACCAATCACCATCAAAATAATCACCGAAACACCATTACAACAAACACCACCACGATAAACGGCAATCATCATCTATCTTCTCAACATCCATCTCAACAAAAACACCTTCAATAACAACAACAACAACATCGACAACAACTTCAACAACAACGACGAACGCATTTCCAAATTATAATCAACCTCAAAACAAATACTTAAATTTTAAAATATTATTTGGAACGACTACTAAAATATGAAATCCAACAACCAAAAATATCAAAACTAATAAACGGGTGACGAAATAATACATCGCAATCGGAAAATGAAAATGACAAAAAAAAAACACTTAAAAAATACAAAACAAATTATATATAAAAACAAAAACGAAACTGCAAACCGAATTTGATGCCATCCCGAATGAAAAAAAATGATCATGCGCCTAATTTTATGACGATACCATATCAACCAAAACTAAATCTAATTATGATTACCGATACCACCCACAAACAAAAAACCCACATTCGATGTCCGATATATATTCGATAAACGAACGACTCTTATACAGCATACGACGCGGCGCCCATTGGGTTGTTAATTTGCCATATTTTGATTTCTTCATTATGGTCGTCATCTCAATGTCATCAATAGCATTAGCAGCCGAAGATCCCGTTCGTGAGAACTCGAGGCGAAACAAGATATTGAATTACTTTGATTATGCATTTACCGGCGTATTCACGATAGAAATGTTGCTGAAAATTGTAGACTTGGGTGTGATACTGCACCCTGGCAGCTATTTAAGAGAATTCTGGAATATTATGGATGCTGTGGTCGTTATATGCGCTGCTGTTAGTTTCGGTTTCGATATGAGCGGTAGCAGCGCTGGACAAAATTTATCGACTATTAAATCGCTACGTGTATTGCGTGTACTCCGGCCATTGAAGACCATTAAGCGTGTACCAAAATTGAAAGCCGTCTTCGATTGCGTCGTGAACTCATTGAAAAATGTTGTTAACATTCTAATCGTGTACATATTGTTTCAATTTATATTTTCTGTTATTGGAGTACAATTGTTCAATGGAAAATTTTTTTATTGTACGGACGAAAGTAAACATACTTCCGCAGAGTGCCAGTAAGTAAAATTTATACTCAACTTTCAAAATTTTCCGTTTGTTCGTTCGCTCTCTATTGTTTGGTTTTCTGTTTTTCTTTCCGTTTCTGTTTGGTTTTCTTATTGTATTATCCTTATTACGAACTTTTGTTTTATTATATTATTATATTTACAAATATATTACTTAGACCCCATCATTTGATTCTTCGTTGTATATGTGTGTCGTATCGTTTTTGGGATCATTTGTTTGCCATAGGACTCTCGACCATAATGTCATATAAGTTTTTCGATCCTTCTGTAGTAGTTATCTCTATGTTTTAGGTTTGATCAATTTATATCCTCTATATAGTGGCTAGCTCTCCCACTCTCTCGCACACAAACACACACGATCTCTACGACTGTAACTCTCTCTCTCGCTATCTATCTGTCTGTTACTTTGTTGCTAACTTTGTCTCTCTGTTGTATGTTTCTCTGTCGAAGATCGAAGTATCCAGAACTCAGTATCCATCAAAAATATAACTTTAAATACTTAGATACATACAATAACTCGTACGTACATTGCGTAGCTTCTAGAGCTAGAAAGAACAACAAAATCATTTCACCCACTCGTACGGAGAGGTCTACTATTAGGGGACAACATACATTGTACATTCATACATATCTAAAAAAACAATATACAGTAGAAATCATTAGGGGTTATCCACCTGGACATGCCTCCGCCATCTAATAATCCTCTCTCCCCACACATTGATGTCTAGCTGTATGGTTTTGTTGTTTAGCTATATATCTCAATATATGTATATCCGAGACCTAAATATACGTCTGTACATATATATATGTGTATATATATATAGTACATGCCTATGTCTGTTCTGTGTTCCTATCTACTCGTACATGCATACATACATATACATATATGTTTTGTAAGTTAAGAGCATCCAGAGAGAGTATAGTCTGTGGATCCGTAACCCTTGATCCGATGATGGGGTTTCGTATACTGGCATCAGTAATACCGCAAAAAGTGAATAGAGAAAGGGAGCCGATCCTTGTAAATAAATCTAAATGGGGAGCATTTAAGACATTAGTTCTCCCCGTTCCCGTCCACGTCCCTCGCCCGACCCTGTTTCGTATGTGTGTTGAATGATCGTTTTCGTTAACCTTTTTACATGTCTCTTAAGATATTGTGTTTCTTCTGTTCGTTACGTTTATCATCTTTCGTTATCGAGTAAACAAAAAAGGTGCACTGATTCAACAGAATGTAAGAGTAGCATTTTAAAGTTTCTTGCCCAGTTTTTCTTGCCTGACTTGTCTAACCAACAGTCATGCTCGCAAACGGGCCAAAAACAAAAAAAAAAAACCAAAAAAATAAGACAAAATAATAAAGAAAAAATGGAAAGGAAAAATAAGGAAAGAGAAGCATTCCAGACATAAACCGGACATACAAAAAAATGGCAAAAAGAAAAATTTATACGAAAATGCGCCCGAATCAACATACAGAAACGTAGTCCTGTGAAATGCGAAACTACAGATACCAGTTACCACCTGAAAAATACCTTTTACAGTTACGCTTAATTTCTCTATGTTTGTGTTATATATATCTATATAGTTAATAATCCGTTGAGCCGTATATCAATATATCTATCTGTTGTATCTGTTGCCATCACCAATCAAATCTCGGGAAAGACCAATATCAAATTATCCTATTGCGAGTATAATTCAAATGCAAGAGCAAGAAAAGAAGAAGAACCACCGCGCTTAGCCTGTGTATATATAAATCATCAAGATACTACTACTACTATGTTTCATTTATTTGCAAATTGGGTATTCTCCAAATACCAAAGAGTCCATATTACTACCAGAAGATTTCTTAATAAGCACGCGCATAGCAAAAACACGGGCCGTGTTAGGAATAGATATAGGTATAGGTATAGGTTGGTATAGTTATAGGTATACTGTATCCATTAAAAAATAACTCAGAGAAGAAGGAAAATCCAACGGCCCGGTTACAGAATAGTTTTTCTCCAGTTTCCACCGTCCAAAGCATTTTCTCATCCCAAAATAGCATTTGTACATATCGAGATCGAAATATGTATGAGTTTCTGTATAGAAAGAGGCGATACCGTGTTGATTTTTGATTGCCAAAAACATTGTGTAAAGACTAGTGTATGAATAGATCTGATCTGCTATAATTGTAGGAATCGTAAACACCATCTCGTAGACTCCATAGACACTAAATCAATTAGATGACGAGCTCTTTCCCCATATTTATGTGTGTGCATTAGAGTTTCATTATGTATTATGTATTTTTACCACCAAAAATTACCACAAATTGAATTGAAACTGTCGTCACTCCGCCAAACGACTACTCGCACAACGTGCACTCGCGAGACATGGGTCGGTCGAGTGTAAAGACCTTGCACTCGCCGCCACGTCACAGTTGAGAAGTGAAAAACAAAAGCAGATACTTACGCCTCTGAAAGAATGAGAGTATCGGTTTGTTTTAACTGTTTGGCTTCGTATGCAATAACTGGGAGCCCCAGCCAATCTATCCAATTGATCAATCAAATCAAATCATAATCAAATTTAATTAAAAAAAAAGAAAAATAAGAAACAAAAAGAATACCAAATCAAGTTACATATGTACACGTACATACTCGTACCAGCATACATGCATTGAAAAACATTCACGCCCAAAATAACAAAAACAACAACAGCTGAGAGGACAACACTTGCCACTCGCCACTCGCTACTCGCTACACGCTATTCGGTAGAGTAGAGTAGAGTGTAAATACTCGCTTGAGCGCGCTGCTTTGTTACACATCACCGAACGAACAACGTGCCGAACCACGCTCGAAGCCAATGACGATACGACAACGATAAAACAACGAGAGTAAAGGACTCGCCCGCTCACTCACTCGCTCGTTTCTTGGGGGGTTTGAGGGATAAAGTAAACATATTTCGTTGATTTTCGAACATTTCTTTATTTGTACGCCTTTTTCTTCAGACTGTAACGAGTGTTGATTTGACTAGAGTTAGATTCGAATTCAAATTTCATACTCGTACAATGTCAATATGCATTAGGACAACCAGCAGCGAAGCGCTTGATGCATAACTCTCTCTCTCTCTCTCGCTCGCTCGCTCATACTCCTCTCATTAACAACAACAGCAACAACAACACCGCTCGACACACACTCAAACAGACATCATGCAGAACTTGCAATAAAAATTGTGCTTTGGTCGAAACTACATCGAGTCTCTATAGATCTCTATAGATATCTGTAAACTGTAAATTCTATACATTAGATTTCGATTTCTGCATTTATTTCATACTCTTCCACCATCGTCGAAAAAAGCTAAAAATCTAAAAGAAAAAACAAAAAAAAGAAAGAAATTTTGAATACTTATAAAATGAAGTCATTACGATTCGAATTGTTGAATCCTTTAGTTGTAGGATATGCTTTGCCATACTTTAGTTTTCGATCTGTTGCGTTTTTCTGTTCACCCCGTAGTGTGTTCTGTTGTGCCTAAACTATTGTATCATTTCTGTACGTTCTCTCTACTGAGTCTCAAATGAAATTACTAATTAAAACCACAACCAATAATTGCCATTGCCAATGACTTAAATCACGACCAAAACAACAACAACAACAACACCATCAATTAAATACATGAAAACCCTAAACGAAAACGAAAACGCAAAACCCAAATACCATGTACAAACGCAATCTGAAGGGGCTCGTACTTCAAGTACGAGGAGGATGAACTGCTGCCCAGACAGGAGCTGAGGGTCTGGAAGCCAAGGGCCTTCCACTACGACAACGTTGCGGCCGCGATGCTGACACTGTTCGCTGTCCAGACCGGCGAGGGATGGCCACAGTAAGCCCCCCACCCCCACTTCCTATTGTTGTTGTAAACCTGCTATCTATCACTCTATATGCTTTATATATGTATCCATACAGATATATGTATATCTATCTCTTGATCTGTCTTTATCACAACCTATCTATCAATTGAACATTTGTCTAACGAATATTGAATATAACTAAATGATATTTTTTATCGTTTTTCTCCATACATCCATATACAATTTATCCATTCGATCCATCGAATTCAACTGCGACTATAGGGTCTTGCAACACTCAATGGCTGCCACTTATGAAGATAGGGGTCCAATCCAAAATTTCCGGATCGAAATGTCCATATTTTATATTGTCTATTTTATTGTATTTCCATTCTTCTTCGTCAACATATTCGTGGCCTTGATTATTATCACATTTCAAGAGCAAGGCGAAGCTGAGTTACAAGATGGTGAAATTGACAAGAACCAGGTGAGCCAGACCCATCCTATCCATGCAACCATGCGAGCCCCCACCGCCCACCCCCTCAAACGCTCTATCTGTCTCTCTCTCTCTCTATCTCTCTGTCAATCTGCTTATATATGTGTTTCGTGTAATGTACCGCTAGTTGTAACCATACAAAATAAAAAAAAAAAAACAAATCAAAAACAAAACAAATCAAAAAAAAAAAACAAAATAGTACAACAAATTAATACATTAACTAAATTGATTAATATGCACGTACATGTCACTAACTCGTAAATACTTGCCACGAAAAAAAAAAAAAAAAAAAAAAAACAAACATACATATACACATTGAGCTCTGCTCTGGGGCTCACTTAACATGTACACACTGTACCGTACCAGACACACACAGATACCAGATACCAGATACCCGATGCTCGTGCATTGCAATGTATGTATAAATGTATACCCTAGAGATAGCTACAAAGAAATGTGTGTGCGAAAAGTGTTTTTGTGCCTTGCCTTGCCTTTCGCCTTTCGTTTTGTCCACTGAGTGTCCGCCCCTCAACCAGCCATACCATCCACACAAAACCACACTCTCTATACTCTATAGTACGCTCCATCTATATATGTTTCTGTATAGTCGATGTGCCATCCATTCTAGAGTGAGCCTACTAGCCCTACTCCTGTGGGACTATTTCCCCACTCCCCCCAACTACTTAGTTTAGTACTCACCAAAATAGAAAAAACTCAAGAACATGCCATAGAACATAGGATCCTGAAATTGTGCTACATCTAGCATTAGCATACTATATACCCTTTTTGATATATAAATAGTGAACATTTACCGGAAAGTAGAGATATCTCATTGTACTCACGATGGTCATTAAATATTCAGAATTTTCGGGAATATTTAACGATCGATATCGTTCAGTAGTCGCCAGTCGAAAGAGTTGCCAATCAAAAGTACCACAACCCCAAACAACCAACCAACCAACCAACCAACCCCCACGAAACAGGGACTGTATGATTGTAAGTATACTCCAAATGCTCCAAAGAAAATCTCTCCCCAAATAGAGAAATACTATCCTCTGTATCCATTGTAAGACCATATATGTATACATTAATCCTCTGTTTTAGATATGGGAAATCAAAAGAAATGTCTGTTGCATTTCCGCATTTTGGGTTTAGGTTGGATAAGAAAAAGTCTCCTGTTGTATGAGCAGTATATTTAGATCAGAGTAAATCCAATCCAAAGTACCAGATTAAGACACATCCTATAGATCCTATAGAGAAGATATACGAAAATTTCATCCAATAAAATTGGGCATGTTTTGTATGAATGTATTTTCTGTTCTGATCAATAAGGTAGACAACCAACAAATTCCAATTTGCTTTTATTACCCTCTGTACACATTCCCCTTTTTGTGTTTGCTTCAACATAAATCAAAACATTGGGATTAATCGACTTAAAACTACTCCATATATAGGCAACAGTCCAAACAACATGTAGTTACATGTATATAGATAATTAGAAACCCAATTAGTGTTACAAAATTGTATTAAATATGTGAATGAAATGTTTGTATCGTAATTGTTGAAATGTTGAAAACACCTTTAGTTGTACTCGTACTTTGACAGAAATTGCATTGAGTTGTGAATGAAAGCTTCGCCCCCTCTTCGAAATGCCACGAATGCTCGTCGCAAAGGGCATCAAAATATTGCTACATAATCGGTCTTCTCTTCACTCCAGAAATCCTGCATTGATTTCACAATCGGAGCCCGCCCACTCGAGCGTTATATGCCCAAAAACCGGAACACTTTCAAATACAAAGTATGGCGTATTGTGGTTTCAACACCATTTGAGTACTTTATAATGATGCTGATCGTGTTCAATACGCTCTTGCTGATGATGAAGGTAATTTAAAAGATTTTAACACATTTTTTGTTGCCTACAGCGGGGTCTCTACATCATCCGAAACGCTCCCAACGCTCTGCTCTGAATATCTATTTCCTTTATGTATTATTTTTGTATACGAAGGGATTTCAAGTCATCTTTAATACCATCTTCTTCTACTATATAATTTAATTTTCGAATGGAATAATACTCCCCCGTTTGCCTTTCATACAATAATATTTATGGAGTAAATTTGTGCTCTGCTCCCTCTTTGCGGGAAGGAGAATGCTTATCCAACTACTGAACGCAAGCTTTATTTACCCCCCCAAACGGATTGATATCTACGCTGAACTCTATTCATTTGATGAATACATAAACTAAATTGTAAATTGTAAATCTCAACAGTATCATAATCAGGGTGATATGTATGAAAAGTCACTCAAGTACATCAACATGGGATTCACAGGAATGTTTAGCGTTGAAACTGTGCTCAAGATCATTGGATTCGGTGTCAAGGTAAGTTTAAAATTGATTCAACATAATTCCAATATAGAATCTGTTCGGATCGATGCTGAAATTTGCAATGTAGGTGCCATACAACATTGCAAATTTTATTTATAGCCGAAAAATCGTCAATAACATTTTATTTTATCGCTTTTTGTAGAACTTTTTCAAGGATCCGTGGAACATATTCGATCTGATTACCGTGCTGGGCAGCATCGTGGATGCATTGTGGATGGAATTTGGGGTAATTATCAGTTGCTTGCCACAAAAACCGACTCAGAGCATACATATTATTGTTGTGTTCGATTTCTGTAGGCCGTTTTATGCAATACAAGAAAACAATGTAATTCATAACTGAATAACAAATGTATCTAGCTTCATTATTTTGCCAAGATACAAAAACACACACACATACACACACACACAGAACACACATCCACAGAACATCCACACAGAAAAAAAACAAGAAAAACCCAAGAACACCAAGAACCAAGCAAATATCTTATAAGTATCTACTATATAACTATCCACACAACAGACCTGATGGCGTATCTCTCTAAACGCCTCACATTTATGTACAATATATACATGTACGTACATCTATCTTATCAATTTTTGTAGATGAGGATAAAGGTCTTTGTTGAAAATTAATGAAGAGATTTGAAAGGGATTTGTCCAGACTTAAAGTCCGAATATACATATGTATGTTAAATGATATGTATATGGGATTTCAATGGGATTTTATATAATCTAAAGAGTACTTGTTTATAAAAGAGCTTGTTTTAATACTTAATATAGATGGAATATCAATAATCAATAGTTTGGATAGTTATTGTTTGGGTTAGGAGATATTATTATTAATGGATAGTAAATAAAAGTAGGACTTTCTTCTCATGGGTGATAGTTACAGAAATGATAGGTACAGTGTTTCATGGATAAATCGAATGATAGTTTGTACAGCGGATGTATGTATTATCTGTACATCGATAGAAGAGTGCAAGATTCAGGGTTTTTTCAGGGTATTGAGGATTTGGCACTTTTGCACAGATCGCAAATACAGCTACACCCGATATTCGAACATGTTTTTTTCTTCATATTTTTTGACATACATGACATACATATCTATATATATTTACCTTGATTTCCAATAGCATATATATATTTCTTATATACACACACATACAGAACAAACCAAGAAAAAAATTAAAATGCAAAAAATGAAACAAAGTCCCACGAAATACAGAAATTAATAATCATATTTCTTTTTTAATTTCCTTTTCCATATTTATTTGTGTACGAAAAAAAAAACAAAAAAACCATAATGTGGTCTCAAAATCGGGATAACCCAATCCGAAATCAATTAAAAAAAAAACAAAACAAAAAAATCGATGAATGCAAAAAAAAAACAAAATATATATATAAAATACATAAAATATATAACAAACACTCACGCAATGATATATATATATATACCTACACGACATACAACAACAACATCTACAATCAAACAACTACAATCCACGCACACATCTCAACAAATGTGAAATATATTATAATTATATATACACACATAAATGCATATATCTATATATTCCGTTGTATATATATATATGTATATATATATATGCAACGATATATCCTATATATATATATATATCCCAACAATTGGGCCCCGAACAACGTCGATCGGAAATCGATGCCACAACACTCTCCAAAAAATCAACTCTAACTCCAAACAATTACAACACAAACATGATACAACAATTCAACAACAACAAATACAATTACAATCTCAACAATGATACATATAAAATCTGTGCAATTATCGAATACCAATACCAAAAAAATACTCAAAAATGCAATGAATGTGCAATGAAACAACTCTTTCTATATATATGTATATGTCTCTTGCTCCACCACCGCCACTAAAAAACCACAACCACCACCACCTAAACCACAAATCCACAACCACTGCCACCGAATCACCAAAAACCACCACCACTTCCAACCACCAACAAATATTGTATCCAAAAACATTATATATATATATATATATATAAACCTCACTGAACCAATTGAAAAACCAAAAAATACTTATATTAAATCGAATTAACCAATCAATCAAACCAATCAACCAAAAACCAAAATCAAATCAATCCAAAACCGAAATCTCAATTCAAAAACAATAACCAACTAACCCACCAATCGAACAATCGATTTATCGATTAATTAATCAACCAATGAAAACGAATTCAAAAACGCAAAACATTCAATCAATCCTGTCATTCAACAATCGAACAACTAAATCCTATGCATGTGTATGTCCTGCAAACACACACATGTACACATGCATACGCATACGCATCCAAAAAAAATAATCCAAAAATCCAAAACATATACGTACATACATGTATCTATCTTCGAACCAAAAAAAAAACCAACAAAATAAATCCTTTATGTACATGTATGTATATATATCTCCCCACCCACCGCTCCTCATCCCCCCAAATCAATCATTTCAACAACTATATACATCGACTTCTACTACATGTACAACAACCGACACAACCAAGCAGCACGATGTAAGTACGAAACACGATCTACACAGATTTTTGCATTTATCCAAAGAATTCCAATTCCAAACTTTTCGATGTGTACCAATTCAATGAAACCTTAGATTCCGCTTAAAACTTAAAGCTAATTAGCTTGCCTTCCACTAAATAAAGCTTATTAATTCCGAATCCTATTTCTATATCATTTAGTTTGATTTTCTTAACGAAAGATCGAAATATATCACATGATTAGTCATTTGTGTTCTCACATACATACTTATTATGTCTCTCTCTTAGTTGAACTCATTTTCCAATTTTTGATTTCGATTTCCATTTCCATATATCTATCATATATGTTTCGTATTCAGTATTCAGTTTTCTGTTGCATAGCACACAACATTGCGATTTGTAATTAATTACCACTGTGTCTCTATATCTCTCTCTATATATATATATATATATCTATATATCTATCTGTATCTGTGACTATCTCTCATCGCATATATCTGTCTGTCTCTGTCTCTTGTATAAAGTTGCGTGCATATAAGCTTTTGTAGTCAAGAAATGTTAGAATGTACAGCGAAAGGGTGGCAATATAGTATATATCTTGATTATACATGCATATATAAAGAAGAATCCAATATTCTTCCAATAAATAAAGTAGCATTCATTGTGATATCGACTGTGCCACAGGATCCTCTGTGGTTCCTGTGTATACCGATCTTATAAACCCTCATCAAGTAATAAATAATCTTTTTGTGTCTGCAATCTTGTATCGAAGTGTGATATCAAGAAAGAAAGATCAACAACTTTTCGTATCATAAATGAGTATAGTTTTTACTCCTAATCCCATTCGTTTTTTCTTCTACTGATGACACGTTTCAAAACGTGCAGATTTTTCTTTGAGATCTACAATCTCAATTATCGAAGATGATCGATCCATGCATACGAAGGAATCGATCCATCGGGGTCCTGCAACTGCTGTTCGAGTTAATTGTTTCTCTTGGTTTTACTTTGCGCATGGATTGCTTTGGTTTGATCGGTCTCGCAAATTTGACTGTTTGATGGAAACCACACAAACGCCACACACACTCCACTCGCCTCTCCCCTGACACCCTTTTTCCGAATCATCATCATTCACTGCGGTTGATATACAGAACAGACATTGGCATCCATCCGAGACACAGACACCCACCCTACTATACATATATACATATGTATACGATTACACCAATGAGCAAATATATATTCACGAAAGACAAGACCCCAAAAAATATCTGAATACTGTCACGTCACAATGTGTACACACACGAATAACTATGATCAATCGATAACTAGAAAGCAAGGTGAAAGCATCATTATCATCATTATCAAATCGAAATGAAACGAAACGAAACGAAACAAAACGAATCGAATTGTACATCGGATCTGAGGTATTCAAAGAGCTGCCCAAGAGCTGTCGAATGTCGAATGTAAGTAGTCCTTCCCGGCACACGATCTCTTGCGCCAGATCGAGGCCAACTGCCCAACGTCATCATGAAGTGAGAGGTACATACATAATCGCCGATCCAGACGATGGATGAACTTTCTATATAAAAATAACTCTAACGATATCTGTTGAGCTTTAAGCAAAGTATACAAAAAACTCTTCAAAAGCATGACTTCAATATTGTCTGGTCTTTCTTTCGAAAACCCCACCCCCAAAAGAAAAAAAAAACCCAAGCCCATTCCGATCCGAACTCCCGCTACTTTTCTCTCTCTCTCTCTCTTTGTCTGGGTTGTCTCATGTTTTTTTGCAGTCTCTGCTGTAGTTCGATAGTTTCTCTCTATCCTAGGTCACTTGGATGACTTTTGAGCTTTGTTAACAACCACCACACCCTTCACCCAATCACCCCCCCCTGCCCTGACACTCAGTTTTTGCGATGCTCACACCATCTTTCACTCCACTCCACCATTATAAGTAACCAACTAAGTAGTGTGCCCTGGCTAATGATCTGGGCTTGGATTGGCTTTCGTTTCTCAGCTACAGCTGCTGCATGCCACACACTCACCCACACATTGCCACACACAACCACACACACACAAAACACTCACAAATACTACATATGAATACACCACATACACTCACTTACATGCGAGTATGTGCGTTGAATGCACTTGGATATATATCATTTGATTCAGTTCAGTTCGGCTTTGTACACGCACAACACACTTACAAAATTTTTTGAAACGTTTTGTACTGAGAAAACTGTTTTTTGCTTGAGAACTTTCAAAGAGAAAAATGCTGCAAATGCCCTGCAATCTATATGTAACCAATCAACCCCCCTCCCCTCCCAATACCATCAAAAGTATCAGTGGACCCAGCATCGATCCACAGATCCTCCCCGCAAGCTGGTTATCTCTTCCCCATTGGTGGTGTGTCGTATAGGTAAGACTCTCTCTCCCCAACACTCTCGACTCTCGAATCGGATCTGTTTTCGCGGTCAATATACTTCGTAATCGTTCCGGTAATCTTCGATCTTTACTTCGTCTTTCATTTCGTCAAACAATGCTTTATTATCAGAGTTATCTTTTGAGTTGACAAATTTTTGAGTTCTGTAAAAATACATTTCCCAATACTACTACTATATATATGTATAGTCCAACCCACGTACAACCTGCATAGTATTCAATAGCCAAGAGCCAAAAGTTGAACTGTGCGCATATTTATAGAAACCAACAAAATAACCCGATTAGAACCTTTCTATAAACACATCGAAGATCTCCTAAAAAGCCAAAGCCATTAGATACAATTACAGATACTACAACAAGAACAAGAACAACAACACTCGTTAACACACATCCACATAGTACACTACACATTCTCCAACAACATATAGAGAACCAACATGTAACTGAACAACTCTGCTTACTGATATTTGTGATCTTGATCTGCTACTATCTTTGTATACTACCCTTTGATAGAGCTACTGCAGTCGTGCAGTTGCAATTGCAATACTACTAATCTTCAACTCTACTTTACCTATTTCTATTTATTTTTTCTAAAACAAAATATCTCTCTTTCTCTGAATACGAAATAATACGAAACATATGAATAACCACAAAAAATCAACAACGATTTCGCCGCCCAACGAACTATCGAATTATCGTTTGACCAAAAACCGATACCGATACCGAAACCGACCTGTGATCGATCGTCCAAATATGCATCGTCTATACATGCAATATGATATGATATATGAAACTCTCAATCAATAAATGAACAACTAAATAAAAAAAAAAAAAAAAAAAAAATACAATCATCAATCAAAAATACATTTCATTATCTTGTAATTTGTGACGATTTTGAACTGAATCTGAATCTGAATATGAATCTGAATGCAACTGAATACAAAAAACTGCTGAATGAAAAAAAAAAAAAAACACCAATCACTACTACCAACTACTACAACCACCAACAACTATAACTGAAAAAACATCAATTGAAAAACAATTGTGTGTGTCATCAATCAAATCCAATCAATGTCAACAATCAAAAACATTTATAAAAAATATCAAAATGTGCACATTGATTTGTCTCAAAACAAATCCACAAAAAAATTTCAAATTGAAAATGGTTTCTCACTATCCAACAGGATGTAAGTAAACAAATCTATCCTAACAAGTTTTCTACTTTCGAAAAACAACAACAACTACAACAAACAAACCACAACAACTACTACAGCCAACAACAACAAGAACTACAACAACCAACCACACACGCTACAAGCAAAACAACAACAACAACAACAACAAAACCAAATTTTTTGACTAATTAGCCTTTTTAGCTAAACGTTTTACTACTTACCATACATACCCAGAAACATCTTTTAAAATATCTCTCCTACTATATTCAATTCCGTATTCCGTATTCAGATCACATCGATTGATCTTGTTTTGTGTACGTACATCATCTGTAGATACAGTTTTTCTCCTTTGATATCTCGCTCGCTCTCGCTCTCGTTCTCTCTCTCGCTCGCCCCCCACTTTCTCTTTCGTACTTGCTGGTAGTTAGATCTCGTAGATCTGATTAGATCTGATCTGGGACTCTATACGATAACATCATGTGTATATCTTCCCACAAACGCACATCCTGTAATAAACGATTTTGGGATTTAGAAATAGTCAACCAGCGACCCAAAACTCCCTTTGAGACCTACTCTATGAAAAAAACAAAGCGACCACAGCGTGGGATCATGCTCCATTATCCCCCCACCACTCCACACACATATACCCTGCATAACCCATAGAATCCACCATATATAATATATATACTATATATGCATATGTGTATAGCTACGCTCAGATATACTCATAGCCCGGATAGAGATAGCCGCCACACTCTGCCTTCTAGCTCTTAAACTGCATTTCCTGTGTACATATTGTATTTTCCAACATCGACAAGAATCGTTACTGGTACTCTACTATACTATATATATACAGTATATATGGGGAGTACTACGATTCGGTTCGGTTCGGTTCAGTGTTCAGTGTTTCAGTGTACTGCTGCGAGTACTGTGTATGTTTTCTTTTCAGTTACAAGCCACAAAAAAGCACTGGGCCACACACAGCAAATTTTGTCTCTACACCTCTCGAACAAAAGTTTTTTGATATCGTTGCTTCACCTCTTAACAAAACCTACATATAATATGTACTATAAGTATGTAACCAAACAACCATCTGCTACCATCTACTATCTGATCTAGTCTCTGTAGTCCATACACAACCGTAATTTTAAGTACTACTACTACTACTACTATAACATATTCAGTAGCTTGTAACTCCAACGATATATACGATTTTGCACAGTGTAAAAATGAAGCAATTAAACGAAGCCCTCGGCGAGGCGGTATACGTCCTCAAGTCAGCAGTTGCCAGAGGCACATGATCCCAGAGCACAACACCCGTACGTGTGGGTGCATGCAACATCTGAAACAGAAATGTATGCGCCAACATGTACGACAAGTGTTAAACTGTTGCAACAGCTGATGGGTAAAATATTTTGGCCAAATCTGTGACGATTACAAAACGGTTAACAGAAAGACCTAGCCCCACACCCTCCCGTCTCCACCCAAAAAAAAAAAAGAAAAAAAACACCACCTTTGACGATACCCTGTACTTTATTTGTTCCCACGACTTGCCATGCACCATGCAAATGATGCAAACTGTACATAGAAAACCCAACAATACAACTGTTCTACTGTTCAACTGTTATACGGTTATACTGTTCTACTGGCATACTGTTCTACATTGATTAAACGCTTACTTTCTTTCGCTTACAAGAACCACCCAACAAACACTCGTACTTAGAACGAATCAAAAAACCTACACGTTTAGTTTTGTTTAGTAACAAAAAGACCTACACACACACACACACACACACACACACACACATACACATAACGCACTGAAAGAGCTTTTCCAAAAAAAAACTTCTATCAAATCCGATTTACCAGTACTTATATAAGCATATAACTTTAAACGATTCCGTACTTTTTTTTTATTTGTTTAATTTAGTATATTTTTGTAAATTACGAGTAGTAGAAGATTTGGAAGACGCACAAAAAAATTCCAAATCAAGAAAAAATAGATAAACACACACACACACACACAGCTACTCAATCGAGAACACACAGAAACACACAACAGACACACTACCGAAATTAACTAAATAGTTTTTTTGATTACAATTTCTGACAAAATGAAAATTCTGTATAGTATTTGCATTTCATTAAGGTACCCGTAAAAAAAAAACAATCGTTTGAAAATCCAATTTTTTTTTAGCATTTTGTTCCATCTATACATATACAATTATGTATATATATACTATATCTATGAGTAAAATACAATTTGGAACGATATTAATTTGACATTTGATTTGTTTTGAAAATAGTTTTACTAGCTAATGATATAATAATGATTTTCAATCGATACTACCTACCGCTACTATGTATGTAAACTACTCTACCTACTACTAACCTACTACAAACTAATAACTGCGCCTAACTACCTACTACTACTACTACTACTACTACTACTATTACTGCACTGCTACCAACTACTTAGTACTAACGGAACGATCTACTACTACTAACCGATAGTTTAGATTGGAATGCATCATGAGAGCATCATCATCAAGTATGATGACGCGCTTTCGAGTTCGAAAGAGTTCCCCTCAAAAAGGGATTCGGACGAATTCACGTTATATTACGAAAAACGGGGACAAACCACTCTAATACCAATCTCCTTTTCCGTTCTGTTTTCTCTCTTCTTTTATTTTGTTTCTTCGAATCTGCTCTTCCAAAACAACAACAAACCTTTTGGCCAATAATATTTTACAGTCGAACTCAATCAACGTCGGCTTCCTGCGTTTGTTTCGTGCGGCGCGTCTTATCAAACTACTCCGTCAAGGATACACAATACGCATTCTCCTCTGGACATTTGTACAATCATTTAAAGCACTTCCATATGTCTGTTTGCTTATAGCCATGCTATTCTTTATATACGCCATTATTGGCATGCAGGTAAGTTTCAAACGTTCCACCGTTCCTACCCCATAAACGCCATAAAACCAACGAGTGCTAAAAGAAAAAAAAAATATAACAATCCACACAGAAATTGTTGTATATCTCGTATGATAAGTGGATAAACTGTTGGTTGCCGATTGTGTTGTTAGGTCGTTTGTCTCAAATCTTAATCTCCGCTGGGCGGGATGTATTATGTATTAAATGGGGTCGCCCAGTAACCGTACTATTTCCACAGCAGTAGTTCCAGAAACATCATTTTCTTTTTACATTTTTTACTTTTAATTATAGCTCTTAACTGTCTGGGTTAGTGATCATCATATACTTGTACTTATTAAATAGTTAAACTAGAATATAGACTATGTCTAGACATGGAATAAAACAAAACAAAAAAAAAATGAATCAGTCGATAGAATCATAAATGTTGGTCGAAATTTAATGCCTTTTCAAACCAATTATAATGTTTACATCAAACCAAAAGGTTTTCGGCAACATAAAGTATGATCCGGACACGCAACTGAATCGCCACAATAACTTCCAATCGTTCTCCGGTGGAATCATGCTGCTCTTTCGGTAAACGAGAAACATAATCTAGTTTAAACCATAGTACAACTCCATAGCGATTACGATTACCCAAAGATGGCACTAAAAAAACAGTCATGCATATACAAAATACATCAAAATGTAGATTCGCAATTCGGAATTTTAACCAAAATTTGACACAGGAGTGTGCTTATAGGGGGGGATACACTGTTCTGTTGTGTTGTTCCTTGTAAGCCCACTCTACAGTCCTCTCGCAATTTGGAAACATTTCTATCATCAAGTATCCATAGTTCGTTCGTTGAATCTTATGTATATTCGCATCCCAAAAAAAACCAAAGAAAACAAAAAACACAAAATGGAATCAATGTATGCGTTTGACAGTTGCCAGTTGTTGAATTGAAAAATTGTATTTAATGTATTTGTTTAACATTAGGATCGTGTACAATATTTGTTTGGTATATTCCTCGTTTTGGTTTACTAAATGTTTCAATGGTTCACACAACCACCGGATATCAGATCATATCAGATCATCCAGATTATAAACCATTCTGTTTTGAACGCTGTACATATAGATGCCTTTTTTTCACTTTGAGTTCCTGTTTGGGATATGTCGGTTATCATAGAACTATTAAGGGTACTTTATTACTACTTGCCATACCCTATAGAGTGCGTTTCAAGAGAACTGAAGGCTGATTTGATTCCTTTGATGATCCTAAAAATTGTACTGTCTTTTTTTTTGCTGATTTCATTAGATGAAACGCACTCCATTAGCACCCACTGTAACTGAATGAGTTTCAAATTGGCTAATTATCATAGAGTATCTTTTAGGTGTATCTTTTTCTTTTGTATCTATATTTATTTTTCGTCAATGGTAACCGATGCGAGTTCTCAAGTTAATTGTTTCGTTTCGTTTCGCTTGCTTTTATTTATTTCCAATCCTCTACACCCCCTTTTATGTTTTTTTTTTTTTTGATACAGAGCTGTTCCTAATTGTTCTTAAAGATACAAGTTTTTGAGAGTGCTTTAGCTCGGATGTTGACTGTCATTGATTTTTAGCATTGCAATAGTCGTCCTCCACCCACACAACAGCCACTGCATATACATACATGTTTGTATGCATCGACATGTGTAAATCGAAGAGAACTCCTCACCACATACATATATCCATCCATCTACCCATTCTGCCCCGATTCTGACTGTTCGTTGTGGTATTTGTACTACGTATTTGTACAGCTAACAAAAGATGATGCTCGCATTACGAGTATGTGTATGAGATTTCCTGCTCGCCCTGACCCAATCTCACATATGGATTTGCCGTGTCGAAAGAATGGGGTCGAAGAAAGGGTCTAATAGGATCGCGGGCTTAGAGTTTTTTTTTTTTGTGGGTAGTGCCAGCCAGCGTTGAGGATTGTAAGGATGAGGAATCGAGTGTGTGTAATGTGCCATATGATTTAAGTCTTTCAGTTGATCAATAACAAAATATAACAACAAAAAAAACCATAAATCAATAATCCATTGAATTCTTTACCGATATTTGAATCGTGCATAGGTGTTCGGAAATATCAAACTAGGTACAGTGGAAAATTCCATTACTAGGCACAACAACTTCCAATCATTTATTCAAGGCGTCATGTTGCTCTTCAGGTATGTAATCCCCAACTAGATCCTAGATCTCCACGCCCCTAAATACTACTTATTGTACTTTACTACTACTACTATTACCCACAAAACAAAAACAAGTTTTCGATTCTCAGTAATTAAGTTACTAACTAGCTATAGATACTATAAAATATCAAATACAAGTTAGCAATAATTTTAATCTAGTATACAACTAGACTCTCTCTCTCTCTCTCTATCTCATACGCGTTCGCTCCTCCTACTACTACTACTACTACAATATGTATCATAAATATACTACTACTCGTACTATTACTAGTCTCTAGGGGTGGATAGCACCTTGAAGCGGAAGGAGGAAGGATGGATATCTTAGTTTAGCCCTAGAGCCGCCTAAATGGTTTAGTATTTCATTTGGGATTTTTTGGGAGTGTTCTAGGATAGTTTGTAAGTTTGTATGCCCATTCCAACAACAACAACAACTAGATTTCATTTTGAACCCAAAACTCTAGAGTCCTAGACCTTATCTATCATAATACTATAGTACCATATATATAATCTGTATTGGTTTCTAGTCACATGAAAGAAAGAGCACATCGTTCGGATTTGCGGCAGGCAGCCCTACAGTAGAAAACGGTGGTAAATCCATAAAAAAAACTATCAAAAATAATCAGCTCTCTCTCTCGCTCTCTCTGTCTCTCTCTCTCCTGATTCCAAAATCCAATTCCAAAATTCAGATTCAAGCATTACCTTACATACATTCGTTTTGCTTAACAATTACAATAATTTTTTGATTGATACCTGTGTATGTAGCTTGGTTTCTAGAGTTATGTATACCACAAAAAAAAAAAAAACAAAACAAAAAAAACAACAACAACAATATATCCATACAATATATATATATATATATTTATTGATATATGTACTATATATATATCAATCAATCAACTAAAACTAACAAAACTACAACTAAAACTTAAAACTAATAAGAAATCGTCATGTGCGACATATGCCACCCACATATGCGCATAGTACGATATAGTATATGTATGTATTACTAATGTATGTACAAAAAAAAAACAAAACAAAACCAAAAACCTGTAGAACTAAATACTATATTTTGAAAGCGAAGCTTGATTTTGCCAAAGTTTTGCACTTTTCGTTGTTGCAGTGTTTTAAACCGTTGAGATTTAAATGAGAGTTTAATCATTTTGCAGTACTATATATTACTGGTAATTTATGCTCTAGTTATACTACTACATATATAGCTGTTATACATATACGACCCCCGAACAACTTACCACCTATAACGCTCTCTCTCTATATACTATATATATATATCTACCATATATATACATATATAATGATAATAAAGTTAATAGAACTGCCAGTTGATGTATGTCTGTATGTAATTCCACTCTGTGATCAATCAGTCATCAGTCCATTAGCCATTATCAACTATATACTCCCAGTACATACATATATACATATCTCATACTACTACTACTACTACCACCACCAATAAGTCGAAATTCAGTCGAAATTACTATAGGTACTATATAGTATGTATTCCGTAATTGTCTGCCGTATAACCAATTGGTATTAGTCTTTCTCTTTATCTCTCTGTCGCGTCTGTCCGAACAGTATCTGCCTTAAGTATCTGCAAATTGTAGTAGCTTAGTGTGTATGTAATTCTATATACATAAAGGAGCTACTGACTATATATACCACTCATATCCTGCCGCCACCTGCAATCTCCTTGTATGTATATACACTTACATACACATAATCGTATATATACTTATATCAGCGTATCAAATCCCGAGTACTATATGTAAATACACGCCACTACAACTACACTCATTGCATAAACACACACACACCCCTCCACCAAATCGTACCGATCGTATTTAGAGTTAGTTAATACATATAATACCTTAAAAATAGTTCGCTTCCTTTTGAGGACTCAGAACCATATGTGTATTAATTCTTATGTTATTCCCTGATCTTCACGCCACAGATGTGCAACGGGCGAGGCATGGCCAAACATAATGCTGGCCTGCCTCAAGGGCAAAGCCTGTGACGAGGACGCCGAGAAGGGCCCGGGCGAGTACTGCGGATCGACGCTGGCCTACGCCTACTTCGTATCGTTTATATTCTTTTGTTCGTTTCTAATGTTGAATCTGTTCGTCGCCGTCATCATGGATAATTTTGATTATCTCACAAGGGACTCCAGTATATTGGGTGCTCATCACTTAGACGAATTTGTGCGCATATGGGCGGAATATGATCCAAATGCGACGTAATTATCTGTTTAATATATACAAAATACATACGACACACACAAAACATGTGCACATGTCCACACATTACTCTCAAAATTCAAAAAGTTTTCGTTTACCACAAAGTTCTCGTAAACATTTTTGCTTTAAGTTTGTACCCCATTCTCCGGTTCTTTTCTTTCCTGCCATTCGATCAAGCGTGCACTTATATTAAACGATTGTTATTTGGTCGTATTTGATTCATATATCAAACGGTCGAGACACGGACTATACTCTCTAAGGCTCTCCAAAGTAAGAGCCGACTGTGTGCACAAGTTGAGCTTGAACCCTCCTTTGAACACCCATCCCACCTCACCTTTGAGTTGTTCTAATTTCAGTTTTAAGTTCTTTACCATGCATATCGATCGATGGTGTGTTCTGACACAGTACAAATTACGATACGTGATTCGTTCAGTCCGTTTTGGGCGAGCGTTTCGACGTAATGAGATGCCGACCGAACGAAGCGAATATCGAATATCGAATACCGAATACCGAATACCGAATCCCACCGAATGGATTCGGATGCCTGTTCTGCAGGGTTCTAATATACACACATACGATCGGGTTCACATATGCATGTCTTCGGCTTGAACGAAGATCCACACACTGTTTTGTGTTTTTTGGATTGAGAGTTTACACGCAGCAGCACAGAGCAGCACCGAACTAATTTTCCAATCCTCCCGTTGTCGTTCGAATGAATTAGTGGTAAAATACACTACACGGAAATGTACGACATGCTTAAGAATATGGATCCACCGCTGGGATTTGGTAACAAGTGTCCCAATCGGCTGGCCTACAAAAAACTGATCAGAATGAATATGCCGCTGGACGATGAGCTGAGAGTCCAGTTTACCACAACGTTGTTCGCTTTGATTCGGGAGAATCTAAGCATTAAGATGCGAGCGCGTATGTTGATACCTGATCGATTTTCCATATGCTCACTATATAACATCCGTGTACATCCCTTCGTTTAGCTGAGGAGATGGATCAGGCGGACATGGAGCTCAGGGAAACCATCACGAACATCTGGCCATTGCAGGCGAAGAAGATGCTGAATCTGCTGGTGCCACCGCTCGATCAGCTGAATAAGGGGAAGCTTTCAGTTGGTAAAATCTACGCAGGTTTCCTGATACTGGAGTCCTGGCGTAACACGAGGTTCGGCCAGATTGATTCGGGCATGCCGGTAAGTTATATCTCTTGTACATAGTCCCACAACCCCCAAACTCGGCCGACCAAAACCCCCCCGAACCCCACACATACCATGTACTTAATACAACAACTCTAGTCTAAATTAAATGGAACCTCCCTAGCCCTGGTCAGAGAACCACATGATAATCCAGAAGACTCGTATATTAAGTGCCAACAAAAACAAAAAAAAAGTGTCGTTAGGAGCTTCTCTCTGGAACGTATCCAAGGGTCCACAAAACCATCCAGTTAAGAATCCGAGTTAAACGATAATCGCAGAAGATTTTTGCTATGATTTTGTTTTATTTTGGCATTAAACATTTTGGTTGATTCGTTGTTGTTTTGTGTTCAATCTGCACCACGGAAGAACCGAAGTGGTGGCTGCTACTACTGTTCTTTGCTACCACTACTATTCATGTAATGATAAGTCTATCATAAGTCTAAGTCCTAGACATTGTGCTGTCCCTCACAGTCACAGATGTATATAAGCAAACTCTCTATGAACTATCTATCTATCGATCTACCTCGCTGATGCTCTAATTCTTTTCAAAGCACAAACTAACTACTAAAATAAAAACCATGCTCTAGCCAGAACAGAATTTGCATTGGAGTGTGGATTAGGAAACGTTCCAATACCCAATGCCAACTGCCTCCAAAAAGATTCCATTACACACCACACTGAAACACTACTGAAACAATGAAAATAAAACAAAACCGCACACAAAAAAAATCTATATAAAAATTGATATAACATCGAATAAATACTATATGTAATATTATGATTTCTCTTCTCATACGATTGACAATGAACTCTCTATCTTTCATTGAAAACGAAACTAAACGAAAAAAACGACAAAAAAAATATGAAAATATTTATAACAAAAAATCAAAACCAAACCAAACCACAAAAAAAAATATACGCAGAACTGGAAGGAGGTATATAATTAATTTTATATGCAACCTCATGTTTTATCACATTTGTATATACAATAATACCTACTACCTACCATATATGTATACGTACGTTGCACACATACCTTGTATGTGAAAACGAGTGAAAGCCCAAGAAAATAGTCAATACACATACTATACCATACATATACTATAGCCACAAGAAGCTGCCCATAATTGACACTACAATCAAGTGCCACGATCTGCTATACGATCAGATCTCGAGATCAAACCACAAATTCCAAATCCCGTATTGCTATTATACATAGTAACATTATTATTATTATGGGCAGTTGTGGGCATACACGGGATGCATAGTTTTCTTCACTTGAAATCAAAATCGAAATCAAATACTATTATAATCCACAACGAATCGGAAAAATCCACACAGAAAATGTTGCAACCCATTTGGGATGACAAAAAGTAAAACTCGTATTCAAGTATTCAGTAATCAAGTATCTCCTACAAAACGTTATTTATTGAGAGCAATGAGTACTGTACCGTACTTTACTGTAATCTTAGAAGTAAATAAATATAACTAAATATAATCTATATACTCGTATCGGTAGAATTGAATTGAAGAGTTTCCGTAATTTACTTTACTACTACTCGAGTGTTTGCGATTGTATTGTTCGTTCTTAGTATCTGAATTTATACCATACTATATCGTACAAGAAGTTCTTAGATCTGTAAGTAAACCTATTGATATTCTTAGATATATTCCTAGAGGTTTGCCCATTTGATTAGAACACAAAGTCAACCACTCGAGTCCCTCTAAGAGTCGGGAAATGTATCTCATATACTTACATATATGAAACAGACAGATACCGGCGAGGGCACATCCCTAAAAAACACCACCCACAAAAACACACACTCATATGATTCACACACGTGTTGAAATAATTAATGAAATTGTGCTTTATCTGTTATCCTGTTATCCTTTGCACAAAACACAAAACACACATTCCATAAAAACAAAAACAAAAATTGAATCTGAAAACTGAATTTGAATCCATGAATTTCTCGATTTTAACATTGTACCATTGGACCACAAAATACCATTTACAAATACAATGGCAAATACAATATGCTAATGGCAATGGCAAATGGCAATGATAGCGGAAGAAGCCGGAAGACGATGACGAGCGTAAATATAGCCCAACGGCCGTCGAGGAGCCGGTATATACTCTATATATTTACATAGATATATGCCTATGCAATCTTTCGCTTCATTTTGCTTTCGCTTTTTTTGAAGCTCCTCCTACTACTCCTCCACTTACACTACTCTCTTGTACTGCTCTTACCACCCACCCCTCTCTTGCTCTATTGTTCTCTCAATCTCTCTATCGGCTAGAGGCATGTGTACATACATACTCGCCTAGGAATGTGCATATAACTAGGAAAACCAGCATATAAGCATAAGCATATAAGCCTGCCCCACAACCAACTAACCCAGCAACCACTCTACTCAATGCATACTAAATACTTATAAAACTATCCGCATACTATAGAATATCATATCAAACCGTAGAGCAACACCCAACTGCAATGCTATGGTCATGTTTCGCTTTACACACAAACCCGATCGAAACAATCGAACTCCACACTCCACTCTAGACCCGGCTCGTCTCTCCTTTCGTGGAGTGTGCCGTCCATAGTGCAAGGTACGAGTATATGCGCCCCTATAGACGATGCTTGCTTGTGGATCCCTCTGCACATCTTAGCTGATGCTTGCCCATGGATAGTACCCCAGTAACCAGGCCATTGATCGCTTAATTCCTTTCGAATAATATGAAAATTGCCTGATTCCCTGATATATCATAAATGAAGAAAGATATTTACAATAATACATACATACATATGTATATGTATGGATATAAATAGTTTACGACAAAGAGAGTAAAAAGAAAAGTACATAAATGCCTGAGCGAAACCTATTTAATCGTTGATGCTTTTCCATGTATTTCACCCAATGAAAGGTATCGTTTTAGAGCATATCTTATACATCGATTTAGATACATATTTGTATCAAAACCTCTTTACTTTGCCAGGTCTGGTCTGGCCTGGTCTAATTCTTTTAAAGAAGAAAGTTATACATGCTTTTGCCATAAACAAATATTGAACGAAAGGCAGATTTTTTAATCAATTTCCTGAAATGTGTTATACATTTAAGATTAATCGAATCTTTAATTATTTCCAATAATTCTTCCATCTGTAATTCCTTTCAAAAATTATTTAGAAATCCTTAAAGATTAGTAGTATAGATTTGCGGCATTTCCCCCAAATGAAAATGAACATGAAATTATGAAGGACTACACATTTGTATGCTGCTGCAATTGCGCCTGAAAAAAACAAAAAACAAAAAACGGATGAGTTGTTGTCTTTGATTTAACATAGATTTAACACACACTTTTGTTCAGCATCTTTCGAATAGTGCACTGTTCTCCAAGTTTGAATCGACTATTGCACCAAAAAACACTAAACACACACTCTTGCACATCCAATAGAGAATAGATAGAATAACAGGCCCAGAGCCACAATCAATCTATCGATACAATAAATAATCCCCAGTACACAAACAGCTTTAGAGCTGACAAAAATACCCATACCAATACGAATATGAATATGAAGATGAATATGAATAATGATGCCGATTGCTATTGTAATAGCAATCTAAAAAATATGAATAGAACATATGAAATGATTTATACCCGTGTATCAAAGTGTAACAAAAAGGAATCTGAGAAAAGAGAAATAGATATAGAAATAGAAACAGAAACAGAAACAAAGAGAGATCTGTAGGATCAAAGCGATCAGGAAAATGTCCTATATTTAATATGTTTTGTTCAGTTCAGTTGTCGATATGCCATTGAGTTTCCTTGTAGCATTTGGCGCTCATTAGGCATGCTTACATAAAGGCAATCAATCAATCAGTCATCAATCTAAAAACTGCAACTAAATCAAGAAAAAAACAAAAGCATGCGAAAAACCAAACCATTTTGAGATTTAAATAAAAGCGCTGAAAAAACGTCTGAATCCAACTAAAACTTAGATATGTATCCCACTACTAGTATAAAGAACATGAAATTATGTTTTCATTTTGTGTATTTCTTTTCTTAAACTAGAGATTTTTTTTTATAGTAATCAACGGAACAGATTCAATTCGAGTTTCATCTGTTCCGTGGTCCACCATCTCTATAAATTGGCACACACAATAATTACGATCTATCAATCAAACAAAAATTATAATTATAATAATAATAATTCTCATAATAATAGCGGTACTACTTAGATTTTCTTCAAATCCTAGTGAGTTGTACAAAAGTTTGCGCATGTTTTGAACGTATCCAGCAAGTCTCTCTTTTAAGCTACTTAACTAAACATTTAATGCGAAAGCATCCAAGCATACATTACAACAATTACAATTACAATTACAGTTACAACCTTAACTTACCTCTAACTTAACATCTTACAAAAACATCTCTACTTACATCCTGCCGACACATTCCGCATAGAGCTTGACACATCTCGAAATGCTATGCCATACCAAAAACCTATATATATTTCCAATATAAAGGAACCCAACTACTATTCAGCAAAACGCTATTTGCCCTTATATATTCTATTACTATATATACGTGCATATGTATATAACTATATACTATACATATGTATATGAGAATACTTATGATATATACAATACTATCTTTTCGATTATGATTTATGGTTTTTTTTTGGTTCTGTAATAAAAACAAAACTCTTACTTACATCTTTACAATTATTCTATAATAATTCTTACATTCCATTTTTAATGCTTATGAAAATACAAAAACAAAACAAATACAAAAACAAAAACCAATCCTAATGCGTTGCAATGTTACCATAAATATCAATATCAAAAATACTATCACCACTCACCCAACTTCAACAACAACAACTCAACAAAAATACAACAACAACTGTATCTACAATTAAACTACCGATTAACCATTGAATCAATGCAACAAATCAATCAAATTTGAAATATGCAACAAATTCTAAAATAATTAAAAAAAAAAAACACACTGAACGAACTAAACGAAACACAACGAAACGGAAACGAAAACAAAAACAAAAACGTAACGAATGGCCATTCGAATATCGAAAAACATAGAAACAATCATTCTTTAACTGCCTGCTCGATATGGCCGCCCTCGACAAAGGAGGATCGCGTCAGAATTCCATAAGCTTCGAGGCGAATGGGGAAGGAGCCGCCAACTCACAGACACATTTGTTAGCGAGCACGCACCATCACCACCACGCAAACGGTGATGCCGAACACAACAGTTTGGCAACACTAGCACGGCGGAGTACGATCAGAAAGCGATCAGTTAGGTAATTTACAAACAGCTTCAATCTTAACTATAATCCGTAAAGTGCCAACGCCATCATCATCATCCCTATCATCAGCATCGCATCAGTATCATCTGCATCGTCAATAGCATCACGATTCATCATTGCACGCTCATCTCTAAGTCCATCATATCCACCTAGAAAACCAGCCAACAAAATATGTTCTATTCAAACGTATATCCTATCTAATATGACTAAAAATCCTCTCACATATTCGCATTTCATTTAGATAAAAACGCTAATCTGTAATTTGAAGACTCTAGGGCTTGTTTAAGCGATAACCAATACAGCTTTGCACTCCTCGGACGTACTTTGCTTTACCCATTCCATCCTAAAGTGTCCCAGCACTACTATAGGATGAGGATTTCCGTGTCATTACAAATATGTAAATACTTCAAATACAGTACCGAAACTTCGAAAATCGATCTTCAAATTAATCATATTAAATCTTTATGAGGATTACGTTTATATTTCAAACTTGCATAGCAAGAAAGCATACTCGTATAGTACACAAACAAAAAGCTTTTATCATCATGTGAGAGTTTATTGCTCTCAAAATGGATCATCCAGATCATGAGATCATGAAAGCCAAGCGCATATATCATATATGCATAAGCATAAGCACATTCTAGACATATGTAAATGTGTATGGGTATTTAAGGATTAGACAACATTCGCTTCACAACACTCCACTAAATCAAATACAGTTACGATTACTACTAACACCACTACCAGTACCAACACTACCATCAAAAAACCAATCAAATACCAAAAAACTAACCACAAGAACTACTACTCTTTGTGCTTTTTGTACATTCCTACATTGACATAAGTAAATTGTTTTCTTCTAATTTTTAAATATTTCAGAAACAAAAAGGTGAATAAGTTTGATAAACTCCAAGCGGTAAACCAATATATGAACATTTATCGAACATTTTACTAAAAACCAAGACTAATAACTAATTGTGTATATTATTGAATATATATGTGAATACTCTTTGTGTCCATAATCCGTTTCCGATATAAATGTTGTTCACAAAAACCAAATTAAGTCGAAAAGTAAAACACTAGTACTTACAAAACCACTTACTACTACTACTACCTTTGAATACTCGCACACACACACACGCACATACACATACACACTCTCCACCCACAAGTGCTCGTTGTATCCTACTACGTTCTAGCGATACCTGTGTATCTTAGCATCGTACAATATCCAGCGAGGCATAAATTATATCTACTGTGTGTGTGTGTGTGTGTGCTGTGTTTACCCCCAACCTACTATACAATAAGTCTTCAATTTGCGTTTACTCAATAGTACTACTACAAAAAAAAATACTCTCGTACATACATAAATGTTGCATAGCAATTATTTGAAACCGTTAGAAACGCAATCTTCGCTTAGTACTCGTACTCGTACTCAATGTTGTAATTTTGATCGTTGATCGTATCTATAACCAAATACTCTCGTACTCGTACTAGTACTCGTACATGTACATGTACTCGTAGGCGTACTCGTTCGTTCTCGTTCCTTGGGCAAAAGTGTTGAAGGCAGCTATAGAAAAAAAAGAAGAATAAAACAGTGGACCAAACGGGAGCTCCACTCAACAATAGTCCCCGCCCCAACCGATCCAATCCGATCCGATCCCCACCCTGCCACTCGTACGATCTGCAAACCACTACCCTCTTTTCCAAATTCATTTATCTATTTATCCATCTATTGAGTCGTTGAGTGGTTTTGGTTGAAGATTAACGAATGGATGGACTAGTTGACTAGCGGACTTGTAATCGTATAGATATATTTCCTAACGAGTGTGCGACCACCTCTTCACCGATTTACCGATTAGTTGGCAAGCAATATCTCCCTCACCTGAAGCAAATAGTGGTAATATTAGTCTTATGCATAAGAACTTTTTGTTTTCATGTACAATACACCTGTCTGCAATGCAATGTCTGTATAAATTGACTCACCAAAATCCGAATCATTCATTTCACAACCGAAATCGTAAATCAATCCAATGGTCCTTTGTGCGACTCTTTCCTCAAACTCAATCTCAAACGATCTATCAGTGGTACAAGTTGGCGGTTCTAACTCTTCTTGTCTCATCATTCCGACAACATCATCCGACAATCAATCAATCCAATTGCTATAGACAATTTTCTACGTACACATAAAGCCAAGAGTACTCGTACGTTGAAATCGGAAATACCCTAGAACTGAGATGAGATGCTATGCTGAGAATGCTTTTGCCAAGAAAGGATATGCATATGCCCGCCCAAGGGAAATCCCATGTTTATTTTTTCATTGATAGTAATTTACTCTATACATATCGTTGGTAAATAAACAGTTGCTAGTTCTAAAACTATATTGTATAGCATATGACATGATGTATAGCTATGATTTTGTATTATTGCTAGAGGTAAACCGAACCACAGAAGCTTCAGGTCATATATCCTCCTCCGATATATCCTCCTAGATGAATACATATAGCGGTGGTGGCTTTATGTGTACGTAGTAATTGTTTTTGTATTCGATTTGAGCGTAATATTAAGGTTCACCTTGACACTTTCGTTAGTCCAACCAACACAGACACGAGTGCGTCGCCCCTCCCCCGAACAATACTCGTATTGTTGTGGTAAGTAAAGATCGGTTAACGTCCACGCTAATGGAAAAGGATACAGGACTTGACCTCCCAGCCATACTAACTCACACAAACACATACATATGTATATACATATATCCTATTAACTCACACACTTGTAGGCTGCATGCTGTAAATAATATACTGTAATATACTATGTAGTGTTATATATAGCTTACATTTTGATTGACATTCTGTCTTGGCTTGCTTCAAATCGCTTGCGCCGCTTTCGAACTGCTTAAACACCATACGCCTTACGCCATACGGAATGCTCTTGACAGTCACTCCATTTCTACTCCACCACCACAGCCATGTTGATAGCCTTAGCCTCTCTGTAGACTGTAGATAGCTATAACCAGCAATCGATTTACATTTCATTTTTATTTCTATTGAGTTATCGATTTATTTGTATGAGACTATATCTCATAAATATAGGACAAACTATTCAAAATTACGTAGATCAATCTGGGTAACAAACAAACAATTGAATTGGCATATTAAGTAAACGAAACTTAACTCAACTAAACTCAACGAGATCGGATACAGATACAGATATAACAACCACGATAGCTACTTACCATGAAAAAACCTAAAGAAATGAGTTCCAGTATATATGTATTGTATATGTATACTCCCCCGTCCCGCCCCGCCCAATGTAGTGTATGGAATTGTTTAAATGTTACACGCCCTATAAATAGGATTAGTCAATATCTACGATACCTACAATATAATACCTAAATACATAAAACCGTAATGTTATTCTGCATTTGAGAACCTTTCAATAATTCAATCTAGTACAATTGAAACCGCATTTGGATATGTATTTTTGTTGCAGTGAAAGTAATATTTGCTTAATATTTGTTTTGATTATATATACTACCCACCCATATATACCCCTATACTCAACCATATAGTACTCAGCAAAGTAAGCATACATGTCTCAATGTATATTTATTTTGTAGCTTTTATATACGAAACATATCTACATATATATGTACTACATATGTGTATATATATATATTGCCTTCCTATAAGCTCCTATAAGGAGCATAGGATCAACATCTGTAGTTCTTAATGCATACTCCAGATATACACAGATATACTCTTCTGTATGCTGTAAACCCGACCAATGAATGAATCCACAAGAAATCGGTCGACAGGAATTTCAAACAACATTCGTAACAAATTCGTATTTCCCCAACCCCCCACGCCCCTGATCACAAAACTGAATAAATTAAAGAAATAGACTGATTTCAAGTGGTGGTCATTCATGATTGTACAACTGATGTAACACAATGCCTTGTAAAACTCTTTCGAACAGATGCTGGAACTGCAAGATGCGTCTAGACGACCTTCGCAGGAGTCGCTTACCGGTGCCGATGCTGGCCATTTACATCCTGGACATTCGTACATGAACGGCCATCGGCGATCGCCTAGTTTAAGGTATGTATTCTATGGATTGCAATTGCCCTCAAATGTACGAGTGTGTATGATAACTAATTTCTTCCTTCCTTTTGCAGGCACAATGGCTCGCCACTTGCCAGATCTCCAAGTCCTCGACGACGTGGCCATCAATACATACATCATGATATCGGGTTCTCCGATACCGTATCTAATGTTGTAGAGATGGTCAAGGAGACACGTCATCCTAGGCATGGCAACAACCATCCGCGGTATCCAAGAGGTATTTATTGTTTTGAGAAAAACCACATATACTCGTATTTTATACGCCAAATGATTCGTATGTGTGCTTGTTGTAAGCGCAGCGCATACATAAATCAATCAAATGAAAACTATGGAAAACTATACAGAAAATTTAGAATTGTCTGTCCGTATACGACAGCGTATTTACCTAAGATTTTCAATTCGAGAACAACACATTGTATTTCAGTTATTCGTGCTTACAATGGGTACACACAGAGTGACCAAGCAAGGATTCGGCATCAGCCGGGGCTCTTTTTTATCTATTTTGTAGTATCTTAGTTATATGCAGATATATATGTCTACAATTCCATAGCCTTAAACGAAAATCTTTTGATACAAATACAAATACAAAATATATATTCAAATAAATATATTCATTTATGTTTTGGTTCTGTCCTCAGTTGGTTCGATTATTAATCGATATCGTTTTCATTTTCCTATTCAAACAAAAATAATCGGAGAAACAGAAACAAAAAAAAAAAACTATAAAATTAATGCAATTTCTTGAAAAAAACCTAACCAAATAAAACAAAAACGAAAAACAAAAAACAAAAAACCAAAAAACAAAAATACGTAAACTGTTGTGCCCCTACATCCTTAATTATTACGTTTTTTCTTTATTATTGTTGTTATATGTACAATATAGGTTCATGGTCAGCATCGACAAGTCCGGCCCGTTCGCCTTCGCCTTCTCGTTATGGTGGTCATTTGTCTCGCAGTAAACGCACTCAACTGCCTTATCCCACATATGGGACAACAAGTCTATGTCAAAGGTCACGATCGCCGAGTCCCGCTCGACTTCAGGAGATGCGTGAACGAGACAGACTTGGTTATGGGATTGATATGGGTACATCTTTAGCACTCTTGTTATCTAAAGTCCAAAAATCAAATCAAAGATCAAAATCAAAACTAAAATCAAAACTAAAATCGAAATCAAGCTACAATCAAATCAAAAATCAAATTTGTTTCTATATATGCTAGTACTACTTTCTTCTACACAAATTTCTTCAATCATATTTCTACTTTTACCAACAACATCAATCAGATCTCAGACATGCTTACTCGTAACTAACTATTCGTATTCGTACATAGTTGCCAAAACATGCTTAACATGTACATGTAATTGTCATGCCAAGACGTTCAATCAATCAATCAGTCAAACAATCAATCAGTCAATCATAAGCTTTAAACAACAGAATAGTTTGTTTAATACATAAACCACACCACAACAGCTCGCTCTCAGATCTGCGAGCGTTTACCATCTCGAACAACCAACTAAAAACCCATCAATCAATATCAATCAATCAATCAATCAATGTACTCAACTATTCGTACTCGTACTCTTGTTACTACTCCTAGCGTTACGCAGCAGTTCATCGTTTTCATTTCATTTCTCTAGATGCCCATATATCCTCCACCTACTACTCTTATATTATACTATTCGTTATCTCACATCTCGTACTACTACTACTTCTACTACTACTGTATGGTTCTACTCGTGCCATGTATGTACATACAGACTTCATCCCATGCTCATCCTCAAAAACTACAGAACTCGAAAACTACTCGTACAACAAACACACACACACAGAATATCTCTGGCAAATAACGTGTATTTTTTGTGTTTGTTTTTTTTTTTTTGTTTATTCAATTTTAAATACGCGTTGTAAGATATTTGAAATTTGTTAGATTACCAACAAGTCTGGTTAGATACGACTGCTACTCTTATTCCTTCACGGACAGGGACACGCTCGACGGACTTTGGGAAAGACATTGATTGGGGTTGGGATTCAAAGTAAAACCTAGTCTTATACAACAACATTTTGTACTGTCTTTTTGGTCCGCAAAAAACCTGTGTTTCCAGTGCTGAGAAATGACCTTCGTTAGTAGTACAAGCGTATCCTAGGGCCGTATCCTACTGACCAAGAATCTCTATTTAAAGCTTGCTTCTTGTTTCTTTGCCCTACTACTCGTACTACACACCACCCGTAAAAGTGCCAGCCACACTATGTTGTTCAGGGCTTCATTCTCGAGCATTTCTCTAATATATAACAAAAAAAAATATATATATAACATACATAAACTATTTGGGTGGTAAAAAAAACTAAAAAAAAACTGTCATTAGCCATTATACTATGTAACTAGAGAAATACTTAATTTGGGCTGCAGTTTATGGGTGTTTCAGTATCTAGACTTGTGTGTGTATATCTTAACTATCTCTATCTTAACTATCTGTGAATGTTTGTCCTTAGCATTTTGCACTCTACTCTTCCGTTGATATCTTGAACCTGATTTCATACGTTTTCGTCGCTCTCTCGTACTCTCACTCGTACCCACCACAGTCATGCATGTTGCTAGCTACCAATCGATCGACCACCGCCCTGAATCATCCAACAACTTATGTACAATATACTCTAATCTCTAGCACACTTGTTACTGTTATTGTTCTATATATCGCATATGTATATTCAAGGTCGTATGTATTTCAAGAGAGTGGTTAAAAAAAACACTTTCTAGACATACTTTTGCATACAATATGATATTTAATAGTGAATACATATTACTTCGACTTCTTTACGAAGCTGTTTGGCGTTTCTTACAGTTATGTTTGAACGTTGGACAAGTTTGTGGAAAAATTGAAGGGCTGTAAAGACCTGGAGCATGTTCGCCTTTTGCCAGATTTATACAATATTTTCATTATCCAAATGAATGGGAATCCAAGATGCTAATACGTTTTGTCCGTCTGTCAAGCCAATAGTTCCATAAAATTAAAAGATTTTTACTATTATTATGTTTGTCAAAGCTCGTACAAAATCCGAACATGCTCCAATTGAATCGTTCGAAATTGGTTTGTTTCTAATGTATATACTCGTGTTTCTTTGTTTAATGAGTCTTGCCCTTGTTGATAGCGCAATAAAGAACAATGTAGGCACTCACCGTTCAATGTCATACCTACATATATATACATAATATTTGTATCTTACTTGCATCGATTTATGCTATACATTGCGTTTGGTTAATAGACGCGACCGTTGGACAGTTGCACGGAAAAGTAATCTCTAATTGTGTTCCCGACAGGTGGCACGCATGTGCAGCATAGCTACCCAACGCTTGCCTCCCGTCGTGCCGGAATTGGACGACGCCTACCACCGACTCCAAGCAAACCGTCAACACTGCAGCTCAAGCCAACCAACATTAATTTTCCCAAGCTGAATGCGAGTCCAACTCACGTAAGTGATCCATGCCAAGTCGCATACCAAAATAATCAGCCCTTACATACTCCTTCATCTTACTCCTTTTCAGACGCACCACTCAACGCCCCACAGTGTTCACTCGCTGCCGCATCATCGTGACCTGCTGCGGGACCCTAGAGATATGTATTATAGTAGTAGAGACCGCGAGCGGGATCGCGAACGCCTTAGGGATCGAGATCGGGATCGGGATCGCCTGCACGAGTACGACCTGCGCTTCGAATACAGAGATCGGGAGCGTGAGTTGTATGAGCGGGAGCGTGATCGCGAGAGAGAGGTGGAAAGAGAAAGGTAAGTCTAGTCTAGTGCAGTCATGACCGATATGAAGCTCTAACCTGAAGTTGTAAAATGTATGTATTTCCCAGACTGGAATATATAGCACCGCTGTCGTTTGAACAAGCGCTGGCTATGGGCCGAACAGGTCGTGTACTGCCATCTCCAGTTCTTAATGGTTTTAAGCCAAAGAGCGGACTTAATACTCGACACTCCGATTCCGACGAGGAGGACTGGTGCTAGCAAAGGCTTTGATTGCGATCGCGTAATCGAAAGGATCAGATCTGGGTATAACATCAGGCCATATGCTCATCGTATTCAGCACCAAATTTAGATCACAATTTTGATACGATACGACGCATAAATCAACACCAACGCCAATACCAACACTTACACCAACAGCCACAACAATATACACCAATCAATCATCGGTATGTAGATATACCAAGATCCACTTTAACACTAACACCCACCACCCCCACCACACTAACACCAAAAGATATCAAGAAATTGGCTGAAGAAGAAGAAAGCTTACACGAATCAACAAACCCAAATCGACAACCGCAATCGCAACGAGCAAACGATGATCAGCAAATACAACAGCTACTAGTAACACAACAACAACAACAGCAACATGAATGGCTACCATGCTGCCACAAGCCGTACGAATCCTCACTGATGGCAATCTCATTGCCAGAAACAAGAACAACCTCGCCCCACTTCGATTATAAAGAATTCATAGGAACTATACCACGGACTAGGTCTAGGACTAGGACAACAGCAATCGACACTGCAACAACAACACAAAGGACAACAAGAAATGAAAATGAAGCAATGATATTAAGTGTACCAATTACAATAACAACACCAGTAGCTATTAAAAAGATCTATTCTGATAATGACATTAATTATAATGCTATTTCGGATCTACATGATGGTTGGATAGAAACACCAGCAGCATCAGGTGCCCATCATTATCACCAGCCAGAAGAACTACTACTACAACCACAAGAGCAATCACAGCCGCAGCAAACACAGCAACCACAGCAGCAGCCGCATCCACAGCATCATCACCCGCACCATCCGCTGTATTCGTATCATACGCTATAAGGGAAGGGGGATGATAATGATGAACAGAAGCCAGAACCAGAAACCGCTGAAAGTGTAACTTTAATTGTAACTGAAACTGAAATGAGGTGTAAAAAGTACGAGAGATCAAGGAATAGGAGTTAGGAGATCGCTAAGAGTAGGAGTAAGGTGTAAAAGGAGGATAGGGAAAAGAATATTGATATGAAAATGAATATAGGTATAGGAATAGCAACAAACTCAATGTCAGATATGAATGATATGATATGATGATATGATATGATAGAGTGTATTTATTTTATTGTACTAAATGCCTAAGAAACCAAACAAGCAAAAGGGAACTATATTTCGAAAAGCATAACATACTTAGATTGTAGGTCTACAATATAGGTAGTAATATTGTAGGGGTATTGGCATACATTATACATTGTAGGTTTATCTAGGACATAGCTCGATGAATCTGTAATCTGAATCTGCAAGCGTTTTTGTCTTGTTTGTATTTAAAGTTAGTAATTCAATTATGTACATTTAAATGCAAAATTATATTTATTCTCCTGTACATACAAGTTTAATGTAGATATCAAATTTTTTGTATGTAATGTATTTACCTACGACTACGATTATACACACACTTACACACACACACATGCATACTTTCGACCGAGACGTACACAGGAAATCCGAACCCAAAAAAACTAATACTTAAACTTGAATAGCAAACAAATGATTCGCATTTTGAATACCTAAGGATTTTTTCATTCATTCGTGTATATTCGAGCGAATACTCGCCCTCTCTCTATCTGTCCCTCTCCTTCTTTGATTAATCGAACATAAACCACTACTAAAGCTAAAACTAAAACAATAACTAATAGCAATAGTACTGCAAGATCAAAACCCAATACAATACCAATATACAATATACACAGCCTCAATCATGACCAGCTGCATACATACCATACGTATCTATGTAAATTAGAGTCTGTGTCTGTACAGACTTTGACGAGGTAGCGGAACATTACTTTATTTTCTGATACACAACAATATACGTGTACGAACGAGCCTCATTTTCATTTCTCAGAGAACTTACTTTAACTTCAGGAACATGCTTTGGCATCTGCTTTTTGAAGGTTAAAACTGTTTCGATTCGTTCGCAAGAGAAGTCTGTACATGATGTGAGGTGTAGGCTAGGCTAGTGTAAAAGATGATGATGATCACACCTGATAGATAATCCTCGTTTAAATAATATACATGCATAATCGATATCGCCTATCTAATCTTGCCTTCACGAGCAAAAGCCTTAAAACATTGCCATTTTATTATTCGAAAATATGAATCTGCTTTTAAATTTTTTCGGTATATCCGTAGCGACACATTCGTACATATATATATGTATGTAGATACCAGTATCCGTATACCTCTCCAGCTCATGCAAAATGGAAATGTGAATCTCATGCACACACATACACACCTCCACCTCCCTCACTCGATATCGAAATCAGCATCACATTAACGCAGGCATATAGCAGAAACAGCATTATCACAGCAGTCATTAAGACATTAAGACAACAAATGATTGACTAATAAGATCCTAAATCAAAACAACCAGTTAGTGTGTAGATAGACGACGAATCATGGGTTACATGACGAACATGAACATGACGAAGGGATATCGAAGAGCGCACAAATATTGTAATTTAAACAAAAAAGTGAATCCATAACTTAAGTAAATAATTATAACCGCTGAGCAGTTATGCGAATTTACACAGCAAATGTACTTACGATAACGAATACGAATATGATTATGATTACGATTACGAGAGTAGGGTTTTAGGAGGCATACATACAGAGAAGGTGCATAAAAGACGACAACCAAGAAAAGCAAACACCAAACCGAAACCAACTTAGCCATGTTCACTACAGCAATGTACTATAATTAATTATACATATTACGAGTAAAACTTAGCAATACGGAAAATACCGACAAACCAAAAAAAAAAAAAAAAAACCCGGAAAACACGAAAACCGAATACAGCAAAACTGAGAAATAGAAATGCATACATTTTTAATAATTATATTATATTACGGATACATACAAGATCGATTTATAAATATACACTCACAAGCATACATATATGTACATGCATAATTATACAATTTACAATACAATAGTCTATAAACTAGTGTCAAACAAAAAACAAAACAAAACCAATCCAAAACCAAAACCACAACAAAAACCAAAAGAATCCATAGCTTAACAATGGGAAAAAATTAAAAGAAATGAAATCTAATATCTGATATAGAAAATCGCTCGCTCGCCAATCTGCTTGCCTTACATACAGTTCAGTACAGAACAGTACAGTACTAAATGTATTACTCGTGTTTTTCCAAGGTGCCACCCTTTGACTACTTCCAAAAAACAACATCAACAATATTTGTAATTGTAATTCCGATCTATCATTCTGTTGTCCATTCATTGAGCTATACGTACGCTACGAATCTATTCCTTTTCGAATCCTTTATCGTAGGCTAAGATCGTGTCCACATTTCACTCTGCTTGCTTAGGCCATCCATCATCCTCATGGGAGTGGGTGGAGTGGAGTGTAGAGTTCTTGGTGAGGCAGCTATTGGCTTCATTTCGCTATTAATGCCAAAAAAAAAAAAATAAAAAAAAATATAACAATGCAGATAGTATAAAGAATACAAATGGAACATCAAAAAGTGGAAATGAGTACAAAATGTGAGAGTTAGTTAATAATAAGGTTCTTATTTTGATATCGTACATATGTACATATATCCAATCCATTACGCCTCTAGAGGAACTATTTAGTTTTAGCAAGTTATTGGCATCTAATTCGATTTCGATTTGCTTTTGAAGGCCTTAACCAACAAACAGTTCGCTTCTCCCATTTGGGCCCCTAGCTAGCTGACTGTGAACTCTACCAAAGTACTCTACCACATGCCCCAAGCCACACGCGTCACACTCGCCACATTCGCCACAGATGCTTAGCCACAAAGTACTACCACATACAACATATATTGATTAGGAGCCAGGTGCCAGGTGCCAGGTGGCAGGTGCAGGTGCAGGTAGGGACTAGATCAACATTAGACCATGAACAGGAGAGATCGGATGCTACGATATTTCGGGGAAGAACAATTGGGGGCCAGCAGGCAAAAACCACGTCCCTCCATCTACCAAACTAGATGCCAAACAAAAACTGAAGTATCCTATAAATATAATTAAATATATTTATATGTACTACCATGTGCTGCCTAGCGTCGCGTCGCGAGTTCGATTGTTCTTCCAGGTTCTTGAATTATTGATTTTTTTCATACATAGAACTACTGTACAGACATTGCCTAAACTCCACTGCGATCCCCGATGCCCGTTACCCGATGTCCGATCCTATCCGACTTCAAAACCGATAGAGAGATATAGCTGGAAATCTGGTGAAATAGTGAAATAGTGAAATACTATACTTGTGTATAGGTATGTAGCCCGTGACCCAATGAGCACAGGGTACGGTACGGTGGCTGCCGCCGTGCCAGGTCCTACGTCCAGGTCCACCCCCAAAGCGGTCCACTGCACCACACAATCCTGTGCTCACTGTCTCATGCCGTGCCGGTATGCTGCTTACCTTCTTTACCTTAACCGTAACTTGAACTTTAACTTTAACTTTAACTTGAACTTTAACGTTAACCTTAACTTGAACTTGAGCCCTAACTTAACGATTCGCGATATTCGTATATTTTTGTTAATTGTTTACTGTCTGGTTTGAAAGGTCACATGAGAAATCTAAAAGTAGCTCGGAATTTTATACAAAGCAACCGAAAGGAAATCAAGAAATTATGATATGATGATATACTATAGTAGTAGGGGATTGTCTGTGGTCTCTCTGGGGAGTAGACGGACGGGAAAAAGCGGTATAATATATATACACTATATATATTAATTTAAACTAGACAAATTAAATGGTAATCGCTAAAATGTAATGACAATGCGCATATACATTATACATATATATTGTATATACACGTATGTATGTATGTATACATATATAAATGTATGTATATATAGTATATATTGAATAACTGAATACACTAAGTAAATGACGCAGTTTAACTAATGGTTAAGAGACGCTAGAGATAATTGAACTACATTTAATAATACGTTTAATTATGTATAATTATAAAGAGGAACTTGTAATTTATATACAAGACAAGATATACATACATAAACATATAATAACATAAATACCTGCCTTCAACAAATTTGTTAATAAAAACTATTAATACTTTCTTATTTTACATAAAGTAAAGGAATTACATAATAATACCAAAAACAAACAAAAAAAAAAACAAAAAAAACTAAAAAAAACCAATAAAACCAAATGAATGCCAGAAAAAATTACAAACCTAATGGACTTGGAGTTTTTTTATTAGCCATTTAAATTATAAACTAAAAATTAAAAAATGTATTAATTATTTTATTTATATTTCACTATTATTATATACTTAAAAATGTTGATATTTTATTGGATTACCCTTAAATATGATGGTATTTATGGATGGATACTTGTGTGGTTCTCATATGAAGCCCTTTTTGCACTTGCTGTCCTGCTCATATTCATGCCTATTCATGAAAATTCAATGAGTGGAAAATGTTCAGAGTACACTTCCTACAAGAGTTCAACAAATGTGGCTGTGGCTGTGGTTGTGGCTGTCCCCAAACCCCTAAAATTCAATTTAAAAGAGTTCTCCCAACATGAACAACGTTCTATGAAGAATCAGAATCAATGTTTATATAAAGCTATAGCTCCCTCAAGTGCTCCAACCCCTTGTCTGTTTCTGGGGTTTTTCTCAAACGCGTGTCGTCGTCCAACCCCCCATGTGGCTACTGTGGCTGCACTCCCACTATTTTATGGGATTTTTATAGGATGAGTCCTGTAAGTGGTTTTTGTGGTCCGTTATTGCCACAGCTGTGCATCAAGTATTATGAGCCAACAGCTGGGCGGCTGAGCTCTGGATATACTCTGGCAATCCAACCAACCCCCTAGGAAGCCAAGTCAGCTGGTCAGGGGGCATGCGCACGGGAGGGCCAAGAGCAAACTAAGGCGCAGCCACAACTACGGGTACATATTGATTTTGGGTCACACAGTATACAGTAGTTACAACAATTGGGAACGTTAGCAGTGCGGCTCGCATCAGAGAATCCACCTTAGACTACTCCCATCACAAAGAAAATCTTCACACAGTCAGGGCACACACGGAGCACTAGAGTCCAATGGATGGAGTGATAAGCTAGCACTGGAAGACAGACAGACATAATTGCTGGCATCGTATGCAAACAACACAAACAATGAGCGATGGGCGAGACATCTAGAAGGTAATTGAAATTGAGAAGACTGAAATCGGATTTTTGTGGCATGCAAGTCTCGGGCCCATAAGCAGAGGCCCTCACATATCCTCCCCGCGCAGCCTCCTACAACTAGAGTCAACTCTCGAGAGTCCCGTCCCGGCCCCAACATGGAGATACCCATTTCGAATATACTGCTGCTCTGTCTGATATTTTTGCTGATTGGCGGGGTCATCATGATACTGCTGCAGTATCTGATATTCATAAAATTCTCCAACCTGCCTGACGAGAGCGAAGAGCAGAAGCGGATGAATGCCAAATACACCCTGCCAGTGGTAAGCCATCCCTATCGCCACCTATCTATTATCCATCTTATTAATTCATATTTATCTATTGACAGAACATCAAACAGACAGCAAGGAACCTCAAGGCCCCACCCAATCCCGTGAACAGCTGCGAGAACCACCAGGAGAGTCTTCAGGGTGCCTCGGCTTTGATTTCCCTCAACTTTGTGATGCAGTTCCTGTTCCACGAGTTCAAGAACTCGAACCGAGTGCGTAAATGGTTTTACCGGAAGCTCTCCATCGAACTGGATGAACTGATTACCAAGACAACAACCGGCAAGCTCCTTGACAAGCTGACGGTGAGTCCTTAATCTCAGAGAATATATTGCACAGGCGACAGGACTAATGCCCCGTGCCAATTTCAGATCAAAGAACTGGAGTTGGGGGATCAGTTTCCGGACATCAAGTCGCTCTCCGTGCACAATGTGGAGTTGGACGAGCGGGAGCAGCGCATCGAGAATCTGGACCTGCTGCTGGACATCAACTACGTGGGCAACTTCTCCACATCCATCGATGCGGACATGGTGCTGGGCAAGAAGGGCTCCATTACGCTGAAGGTGAAGCATTTGTCAGGCATGGCGCGTCTGCAATTCACGCGAAAGCCATATACCCACTGGTCCCTGAGCTTCCTGGGCGATCCGGAGCTGATCCTGGACATAGAATCAAAGTACCAGGGCCGTCAGATGCAGTCGAACATCACGAACCTCATCTCTAATCAGATACGCAAGGCGGTGAGGCGGAAACATACCCTGCCCAACTATAAGTTGCGCTACAAGCCCTTCTTCCACTGGACAGCAGAGGAGGAGACCGTCGACTGTGACATCCAGCCCAACGGTCTGCTCACGGTGAAGGTGGCAGAGCTATCTCGACTAATGCCCTGGACATCGCCGGGTAATGGCGACACCTACTGCACCATTACCCTGGCGCCGGTGCCCTTTATCGAGGCGCATCAGAAGGACAACCGGCATGTGCTCATCTCCCTGGATGTGTTCATTCACAAGGCGAAGAACCAGCAGATCGGCATCGTCTTCAAGCAGAGCAACAGCCAGCTGGTGAGGATCGAATCCGTGCTGCCGAACACACCGGCCTGCAAGTCCAATCTGATGGCCGGTGATGCACTGGTGGCCATCGAGGGCAAGCAGGTGACCACCATCCAGCAGATCGCCAAGGTCGTGAAGACCCTGCAGGCCACCGTCTTCTGTCTGCGCATCGAGCGTGTTATTCCCGGCATCATACGTAACGATGCCATCCTGGAGGATCTGGAGAAATACGATGAGCTGTGCGACATGACCTCCGCCACCACCAAGACCGAACCCGAGCCGGAGGCCACTACCGCAGAGACGGTGGCCAAGCATCTGGCGGTAAAGCCCAGTCTTAGTCGCTATGCGGCAGAGTCTGGCCTCACGGGCCAGACCCCCACCAATTCCCCAAAGAAGTCCAATCTGATTGCCAAGGCCATCAAGAAGACCATGAGCCGGGAGAGCAGTGACAAGGATAAGGATAAAGATAAGGAAAAGGAGAGAGAGAGGGAAAAAGATAAAGATAAGGATAAGGACAAGAATAAAACTGATGACTCTTCCACGGACAGGGGCACCGATGAACCGGTAAACTACTTCTATCAGCACTCGACGATCGACTGCGCTTTCAGTCCCCTGATACACATGGATGATGTGTGCAGCTTCCAGCTGGATGCCAACAGTCGCTTCCTCAATGTCTGCGTCTTTGGCAAGTGTGCCGGCGAGAGTGTCCTGCTGGGCTACAACAATGTCCAGATTGGCCAGATACTTGTCGAGTGCTCGGAGACCAGTCTGAATCAATGCCTCCGACAGATAGCCCTGAATCCGGCCTCTCTGCAGGCAGGGTAAGTCTGCCATTCGCCCAAGGATAGCTTGTATCTGCAAAGGACCTGTTTTACTTTAAATCTGTCTGTAATTTATCCACAGGAAGATGCACGACCTGGCCAATCAGTCTGGCTTCAATCCGAACCTCTGCTTTGGCGATATTCTGTTTGGCTTCGCCTGGATGGGAAATCCGAACGTTACCGTCGGCGACCCACCCACCACCAAGAGCGGCTCCAAGTCCCATTCCCCAGCTAGGTAATCTCTGATCATTGCAGTGAATGCGAGGGATAGTTCCTAATTGTAATTCCTTTCGGCAGAACTCAATTCGAACGTGGACAGGACGAGCCCCCATCCGAAACAGTTTCACTGAAGTCATCGAGCACTCTGGCGGACAGTGCCATTTCCAGTAGTGGCTCCAACAGTGCGGCCCCAAGAGCCCACAGCTTTGTGCGGACGCACTTCCATCGGGCCACGCAGTGCGACTTCTGTGGCAAGAAGATCTGGCTGAAGGATGCCATGCAGTGCCAGGAGTGTTCCATGTGCTGCCACAAGAAGTGCATAGCCAAGTGCCACAATGCCACCGTCTGTGGGCCCGTAGACTGTTCGGGTTCCCTGCCGCAGCCATCCACCTCCGCAGGCACTCCATCGGGGGTGACGAAGCCAGAGTTCACCATCACGCAGGCGGAGAACTTGGAGCTGTATGAGCCCAAGACAGGCTCCGTGCAAGTGGAGGAGGCAGCCACGACGACGGGCGAACAAGCACAGGTGCAAGTGCAGGCTGGACTGGACGTGCACAGGTCTAGTCTGACGGGGATGCTGGCGCAGGGGATCAAGCGTCAGGCGAGCAATCTGGACATACCCGGCATTGTCTCTTCGCTGACTGGCAGCGGCCAGCAGATGAACTCCAAGAGCCTACCGCCTAGTCCTCAGCACACTCCCTCGCGGTGAGTCCACTAAATGGGTCTATAATCTCTTTTTTTAACCTCTCTTTGGGTGGGCTCAGCAAATCGTCAATTGTGGAGGAGGTGGCGGCTCCCCTTGTGCATCAGAATCCCTTCGAGCGGGTAACCCAACACCTGGAGGCACTGCCAGCGGAGTGCACAGTCCTCAGCTTCGAGCAGGTCATCATCATCACCGAGCCAATCATTAGACACAACCGCAACGAGGATCTGATGAACCTGGCCAAGAGCTCCAGCAAGCATCTGTACGCCAGTGCTCCACCTGACGAGCGGGTGGCCAAAATCAATGAGCTGGTAATTGCCCAACACTCATCAATAATACGTTGTGATATCTAAATGATCCGTTTTGCAGCTGACAAAGCTGAAGATCGCCTTAGATGCGGAGACAGAGGGCTATACAATGATGAACGATGCCGAAAAGGCCACAGAATCATCGCCCTATAAATCATCGACGATCAGTGTGGAGAACAGATCAGATGAGCGGGTGCAGGCCCTCAGTATTATCATGCTCTATCTGTGCACGGGACTCCAGCATGCCCAGGGTGTGGTCCTGCAGTAATATATACCAGATGACAGATGCCCCATTAATCATGATTCATAATACCTACCCTACCTAAACATCTACCTAAACACCTACCTATACACCTACCTATACGCATACATATTCGTGTGTACTCGTAGTCGATTCGCAATTATTTTTAAGATCGTAGACTGGAAATGTCAATGTTAGTGAAACCTAAAGGCATTTTTAATCCGTGTTGTGGCATACTCTTACCTAAAAGTATTTAATTTTTAGCCGTTTGTTCCAATCAAATTTTAGTTGTCTTTTGCGCTTTATTTGTCGTATCGGCTCGGTTTTAAAATTTGTCAAATTTGTATATAATATTTAAACGTTGGATGCATCAAAATCCGATATGAACATCAAATGATATCTCTAGTGTTTCAGTTTTGTTTTTGACGAATAAAAATTTTAAACCTAGAGTGCATTTCTATTGAATGCAGGCCCCCCCCCTCACCAAAGCCTGTGAGAAAGAGATTACATATATTGTGTTCATTCGAGGAATGCAGAAATTTATTTGAATTCCATTACCTGAAACCATATATTTCATAATTAGTGTTTGTGTTCTATAAACACCCCAAGCTTTTAAGCTTGTATACGACCTCTTCTTTAAGCACAGAATAAATATTTTTAGATACCTTTTCAAAAGCTTGAAAAGTTTTGTTAGCTTTTCAACTAATATTGCCTTGCCATCAAAAATTATTGACGGGGCTTTTCATAGCAGCAATCAAGCTTTTAGGGCTTTTGCGTCTTTGGTACCCACACCCATGCAGTAGATTCACTTTAGATTCATTGTAAATCAGGCAAGACAATGACTGGAATGGTATGGCCTTACGTGCATATACGTGTCCTTGTCAGGCATTTCTTTGTCGGGTTGATAACACACAGCAACGCCATTAATTAGTGTACAATTATATATTAAATATGCGCTACATGAAAATGTCTTGCTCTCTGACAATTTGTTTTGACTGGCAAGTGTGCGGAAAATTTCGTCTATATACATAGGCAGTTCCGGTATCGCAGCAGCAGATGCGTAAAAGTCGCTTCTATAAGTATCCCCCCTCCCACCATACATCACATACATACATACATATGTACATATACGATCGAGGATATGTACATATGTATATTATTAGCGTTTCGCACTGATAATATTCTGGGCTCTCGCACTCTCGTAATGTCATGTCCCTCTCTTTGGGGCTCTCTTTTCGCATTGAACTTTTATACTTTTTTGTTGGCAGAACAAGAGCGTTTGGGCCAAGAGAAAGAAAGACTGTTTATATCAGAGGCTATTGCTCTTACGATGACAAGACATTTTGGTGCGATGCAACGGCTACCCTTATAGATGGGGTCTTTAGACATACGGATTGCCATTCGCCAATGCCATTTCATTTATTTTTGTTTTAAAGAATCACGAAAATGCATTCATAAATAGGTTGGGAGTATAATCTTCTAATCGAATCACCGAAATATTTTTGAGATCTCATCTATTAAAGATCCTATTGCGGTTGTCATGTCTGGGGATAGCTCTAATTTTAAGAGATACATATGTATGTATTTCTCCTTCTTCTGGCGCGATGAGGAACGACTGAACAGGTAGTAAAAGGACGAAGTACCCCCATAATACTGATCACTAAACGAGATCTTACTGTAGGAGTCGTGTAACATTAAAGGATTTGCCATCTAATATTTTATTTTTGATTTTAATGTAGATTAACACATATCACACTTTATAGAGTATCGTCTCTTCGAACAACCACAAGAAATGCCAATTTGTGTGTTATTATTTGTTTTTCTTGCCATTTTATTTTTCATTTGTTTTGTTGTGCGCAGTTTTCTTTCTTCTTCCGTGCTATAAAAACCGAAAGTAAAAAGCATTTTCAATATTTCAATGCGCAAGAGACACACGTTCAGTTCGTACCGGATCAGTAGGACGTTCAAAATAATTGAATTTAAAACCGCGACTACAGTTTTATTTGTGTCCCTTCAAATACAGCTCGAATAGGCAACACACACACAAATCGGTGGTGGACAAAACTAATTGTTTTTTCGAGTGAAGTTCGAAGTGAAGTTCTGCAAAAAATTATTTGCATATATTTTTAACGCAGAAAAAAAACCGTCGGGACAAGATTATAAACAGTATAGCAACGAAACTAACAAACAAACAACAAAGATGAGGCCCTTTGGAAACGATATTACAAACTTTGGGTCCAATAACAGTGGGGGCAATGGGGGCGCAAACGGTGGCAACCGAGGAAACAACAACGGCGCCAGCAACGGCCGTGGAGGTAACAATGCAACCAACAATGAAACCAACAATGAAGGCACATCTGATGGCACAACTGATGCCACCACGAGAGGTGGAGAAGATCACAATGTCAGTGATGAGATCACACCAACCGACAGCTCAAATGAGAGTTCCAACGAAAGCATAGAAGATCCACGGCTGCCAGCGCACATAGCCCGTATCGGGGGCATCGCCACATGCTCACCTATTGCCGGACGAGGTATCATCCGTGTGGTGCATCGCTGTGAGGATGCCAAGGAAAATGAGCATTTGGGTAGGTATTCATAGCCACGGCCAATGCACAACGCAGTTGCCTCTATAGCGATGGTATTTTTTTATGGGCTCCAGAGTCGTTCCCAAGGTCTGATAGGGAGAGCTTTCACTGTATAGATATTTATATGTATTTGTTTGATCCGTCTTTTCGATCTGATTCTTTCATATGTAAGTCGTAATATATATGTATATGGAATTCTCACAACAAAACAGAAATTGGCCAAGAGCCAATTTCAGTTATTGCGCACTTCCCCATACGCGAATGAGTGCAACAAAATTGTTTATAATTGAGTGCTGCCCCTACAATCCATCCCGAGCACGCAAAGTGCGTCGCTACCACACACATACATCCATATGTACAATCCCATATGGGTGTAACTGTGCGTCAGTTTAACAAAGAAAGGTAATTTGTCGCCCCATCAATTCAATGATACACTTATCATCACAAACAGCACACAACACAAATTGTTGATAACTTTGGAGAACTTTGGTGGAGATTAGCGATCGAGCCGAGTCGAGTTAATTTTGTTTTGATTCGTTCTGCAATGAGACATCAATCAATTCCTTCCTATAACTCAATAGTCCCCAGATACAACAGAGAGTGTTACCACGTTGGAGTTGGCTTGCAAGTTGCATGCAATGCATGCCATTGGACAGCTGATTGTATAAGCTACGAGTATGTAAGCTGTATAAGACTATCCAACTGTTACACTTTCCCAATCGTTTATATGCCACTCTTATACTCTTACGTTTACACACGCACTCTCTGTGGGAAGGGAATTCCTTCGTCTTTCATTTTCGCCATGCCAGAGCTTTTTCGATCGCTGACTGATTCAGTGGCCCAGAGAGAGAGAGAGAGTCGGAAAGAGAGACAGAGAGAGAGAGAGAGCTGATGTCCCCTGCGTGTGGTAAGGGGAATGCCTCATCGTATTTATATTTTTAGTTGGTTGCCCCTCACGTGCTCAGTGTTGGCCAACATTTGCGTCGCGTTCGTAGTTGGGTTATCGCTGGGCCCAAATAAAGAGTAGAGCAAAACACTGATAAGACGGCCAACGATCAGCTGTAGGAATAGAGGATGGCACACCTGGTGGTAAAGGTGATTCAACAGTGCGAGACGGCAGAAGAAAGTGCACATCTGGGTAAGGGTAACGCTGCTAAAATCACGTAGATCGTATACATACATACATATACATACATACATACGTATAATGGAAAAAGACTTTCCGAGAGCTTTACATGCTGGTAAAAGCGCCATCGCTTGTAAGCTTTTAGCTGGCGACACTCCTAGTCTCTTATACTCGTATTAATATCACAGATTAGCGGTTCAACTCTTATACCCAGGCAAAGTGTAAAACAAATCAAATATTTGCCCTAACCATAAACTTCTTGCAGACCTTTCCGAGTGCCAACTGATGACATTACCAGATGCTGTTTACCACTTGATGCGCAACACAGTGTTGAAGTCTTGCGACCTAAGTGGCAATGATCTCAAGTCTATCACACCCAAATTTACTCAGAAATTCAGCGCCATAACAGGTGATATATTCCATTCCATTCTATCTTATTATACTGCCTGGCATCTGAAAAATCTAACAAACTCTGAAAATTACAGATCTCAATCTCTCGTCAAACAATCTGTCGAGGCTGCCCGACGAACTTGCCAATATGACCGCCTTGGCAAAGTTGAACATATCCAGAAATTCGTTTATCGTTTTACCTCAAGTTATCTTTAAGTTAGAGAGTTTGACACACTTGGATGCTCAGGAAAACAAGATATATGGTGAGCGAGAAACTACATCACAACGATTCCATTACCATGTTAGATGTCTTATGCCCTCTATAACAATCGCCATTTATGCACTTGCAGAAATTGATACCGATGAGGCTATAGTGAGCAATACGCTGGTCGTTGTTGACCTGCGCAACAATCCGCTGGGAAGCCTGTGCCGTCGCAAGCTGCAGAATTTGGAGACATCGTTCCGCCTAGAGATTAGCAATGATGATGAGGATGACTGGTAGGCCAATGCATCAATGTCATACACGCACGTGCACGCACAAAGAACAAATCTCCTCATCTCGGGAAGGATCCGGCTCCCTCATCCTCTGAGCACCTCGTCTTCGTATTTATTCTGTTTATAGTATATTTAACACACACAAACAAACACACAAACAAACACACAAACAAACACAAAAATCGATTGTTATAAAATAATGAATTAACGTTGGTAAGCCCAACATTCTGGCTATTAAAGAAATGCATACATAATGCACACAATAGTCCATCAATTGTTTTAATCTCATACTAATAAAACATATATTTTCCTTTGGAAATCTTCAACTAGGCTTTAGATATATGACGTCAGTTCCTTCTGTCGATTGGCGCAATTTATGGAACAATTCTTATTTTGGTCCCTCTACAAATGCAATAATATTGGCGAAAAGTCTACAACAGAAGCACAAATTAAACAAATCATATGAATGCAGAGATTGTACAAAATAAAGCATTTGTTATGAATGATTTTTTTCGAGGTCCCATTATTAGTGGGTAATTTTTTATTCTCCAGGTACTACCATTGCCTTTGTTCAATCACGAAAAGACATGCCACGCCCTGATCGGCTGCCCAGTATTTCAATGGTGTACAAATCTTCGGACGGCCATATCTCAGATAAATAGGACCAGATCGGCGCAGGACCCACTCTCCCAGGATATTGGGGGATGTAACCATCATGATTTTTTGCGAAAATCGTAACAAAATGAATGTCCTCTTTTCTGATGCCAAACGGTTGCAACCATGTCGTCCAAATTCCGCAGAGCTAGAAGGGTTACTGGAAATACTAAAAAAAACATATTAACCATTAATTTAATAAAAAAAGTTAGTTATTAACACTTTTTTCTGAAAATATTCATCTGTTTTCGTTTTCTTCAAGCTAAAAACAGTTTTTTTTCTTTTTGAAATGTTGGCAGCTCTGGACATAACAATTGACCTGACAGAATATGGTCACACTGACACTACCCGGGAAATTCAAATTTTGATGGAGCAGTGTTTTCATCTCCCATCTCTTCCTTCAGTTAGACGAAACGCTGCTTCAACTCCACTCGTTACGGCAGCAGCTTGGCATATTCCTGCAGCAGGGTCCCAGGTCGCCATGCAGACACAGGTTCAAGCTGCTCAAAGTCCTCCACTGTGGCATTAATGGGTAGATAGCTTTCGGGCGGAATTGAACCGATCCGTTTGGAGCATGCTCATTCCACATTGAACTGTTGTACATGGAGGACCGCCAGAATTACAACAACAGGAGTAGATAGATATAAATGCATAAATAAATTATACATGAATATATCGATATTTGTTAGACGAAAAGTAGAAGCAAGCACTATAAGCGACCATCACACGAACAATCCGACCTGCAAGCCCTGCAATCCTCTCCTGTTTCAACATAGAGTAAAGAATATTGAATCAATTGCTTCAATCTCCCACTAATATATACATATATTTTTCCCTTTGGTAACACTTGACAATTGAGGCTGTGAATTTATGACGTCAGTTGTTGCGACCGATTGGCACAAATGACGGAACTATTGTTATCGACTACATTCAAGAGTCAATTGTTGTAATTTATTCGAGCTACGAAATTTAGGCAATTTTCACATAATTCTTCAAAGAAGTTGGCAGCGCAGCAGACATTTAATCGAAGAAAAGATTGCGTCAAGAGCGAAAATTATCAAGAAAGTTCAAAAATGGATCAAGAGCAGCTAATGAACGCCGTTAATCCGCTGTTTTCCAAGTGCCAGAACGCCAGTTCCACGGGCATTTTGGGTAAGTTTGTGCAAAAGCCACCACAGGCACACGAACACGCACACGCACATGCGTGCGTACAAAAATTTGCATTAGAAAAATACACCGATATGCAAGCTGCAACACAAGGGAACCTTTTCATATGTGCAGCTCCATTTTGTGGAGCACCAGGGCTCCTGCCCCTACTGCCCAAAGTCCGCGTGCGCATGCGCAACGTTTTGTGGAAGTAAGTGCCACTTTCAGCCGCTGTCAAGGCACTATTTTGTGCATTTTCGTACAATTCTTTTGGAATTCTATGCGTGTGGTGGTGCAAAACATGTGAAACGCGTCACACCTTCGGCAAATTGTGGTATATTGTATGTACATTTTCTTGAAGTGCATCAGCCTGTTACAATGGGAAATAACATATTGTATTTGCTCGATTTGTTGCCAAGTGCATCTGGGAAATCAGTTTGCAAAGAAGGTTCCTTCAGAAAGTTTGCACTTCAGCCTTTACACTTGTCAGTCCCGTTGCCTATGACCTTTCAGTGAGTTGCATCGATTGCCCCGACAAGGAGGATTGGCTGCAGTACGTCTGCCAGGGGCCTATGGACCCATGCGCCCTTTGTGGGCTCCTCGCTAGCACAATGCCCTGCCAGCTGGGGGAAGGAGCCGTCAGACGGTTATTACAGTTAACCAGTTTTTAGGATTTTGGTTCCGTTGGCGAGTAAAACATACATAGCTCTCTTGAAGATATATAAAATGGATACCTGTATTTGAATCGCACTTTCCTTCTTGCAGATCTCAGTCATAGCCAACTGACTGCAATTCCTGAAGTTGTTTTTAATTTTATGTCCAATGCTGGGACTGAGGTTAAGGAGTGTGATCTTAGCGGCAATTTAATGCAAGAGATACACCCAAAATTGGCCATCGATTTCAAAATCTTAACAAGTAAGACACAATCAGCATTACCTTATACATATAGCTACATTCATACATATTGTTTATCTAATCGTTTCAGATCTCAATATAGCACATAATCTTCTGATGACACTTCCAAAGGAGATTGGCAATCTGCGAGCCTTGGAAAGACTCAATATATCGTGTAATTATCTGTTTGAATTGCCTGATGTAGTTTTCAAGTTGCCAAATTTGACATATTTGTATGCTCAGGACAACTTGATTACGGGTAAGTTCATGTCCGAGGAGTTCTCAGAGCCGAACAACATCTTAATCGATTCGACATCCTGACATCCCGACATCCCATGCAGAAATCGATATAGAACAGCCAATTGAGAGCGATAACTTGGCTCTAGTTGACTTACGTTACAATACTCTAAAGCCTGAGTTTCTTCGTAAGCTGATGAAGATACAAACCACATTCCGTTTGGTACTCAACGACGCAGAAGTGAACGACAACGACTATGAAGATTATGATGATCAGGATGATGATGATGATGATGATGGTTTCATCAAAAATTAAGCATCTTTATACACCCACACTCAAGACTGTTCCATGTTCTCCAAGGAAGCAATACACAAAACAAAACAAAAAACAAAAAGAACCAACAAATCTATAAGATCGATCTCAAGCCAAACACTTTCACTGAAGAAATTGTATATTTATGTTACGATTTTGATATGAAACAAGTTATGTATTGTGTTAAAATCTTGTTTAAAAATCTAAGATCTCTTATTAGTGATACAGAAAAAATAATGGATGGAGAAGAGAAGAGAAATATACTATGGCCTTTCAACTGATGAGAAATTAGACCAAAGTTGAAGTTTTATAACATTTGTTACGTTTCTTAAACTTTGCTACTTATTGTTTGTTTTTAAGCTCTTTGCAAGGTTAGGTATTTTTGTAATATTTTATTTTTGTAGTGGCAGTTCCCAACAAAACAAGCTGCTAATCATGAAAATTGTCCAATACGTACTTTTTAGTAAATTCCGAGCGGACACGCTGCAGAGCAAGCCTGCAGTTGCAGTTGGAAGTACATAACGCATTTTCTTGAGTAAGAACCTACTGATCCTGAATCCCGATTGGACTTGACTATTTATTTGCCAGGGCCCTGGGTTCTCTCCGAAAGAGTATAAATGCTTTTCTACCTCCCAACCTACCTGAGCCCAGCCCACTACTGAGTGGGGGCAAATACAGTGGAAGCTAGATAAATGGAATGGAATTGAAGTAAGCTAAAGACTAGTTCATTATTGGAATTTTTGGCAAATGTTTGCTATTTAGAGGGCTCACTGTAACGCCAATGATTCGCTGTACACCATGGCGAGCTTGGCTTGGCGAGTGCATTGCCTGTTTCTCGTTGCTTTGGGTCTGTGGTGTACTACGTGGCGCTCTCCCATCCGAAAAGAGCTGTGCTGACGCTAACTCTCTCAGTTTGTCGAATGGACAACAAACACCAGAGAGACAATGAGGTAGAGGTAGAGGTGGGCAGGCAGCGCAATTAAATCCAAGCAACGCAACAGGTTTTGGCAATACACGACGGTACACGACGAGAGATACTTTGGGCCAGAGATACAACGATACCGATCGTGGCTCGCTCTCCGAGCTGGGCTTTCGTCTGTGGCTCGTTGTAGATTTCGTTGGTTTCGTGGGTTTTCGGTGGGTCGAAGGCCAGCTCCGTATAGCAGAGATATAGCGTATCTAAGATACGCTATGGCTTTTTCTGATCGGAAAAATATCCTTGATCCTTGGATAGGGACTTCGACAAACCGAGTCATACATATTTCGATTTCTTCGCTATTTACGGTCCGATCTAGGCAGGCGATGGCTTCCTGCGATCGGAAGAAAGTCCTTATTTTGATGAAGTCCCTATCAAGAACCAAGGAACAAGGACATTTTCTCCAGTCATATTTTTCCTGTTTTCTCTGTTATATCTGGTCATTCTGTAGGTTCCTTTAATTGGAAAAATATCCTTGATCCTTTGGTAAGGACTCACACAATACCAGCCAGTCAAATTTCTCCGATTCTTTGCAAGGATGACATTGAATGATATGAATAAAAAAAAAAAGTGGAAAGCAGTTGTATCAATCTTAAACCTAATAACAACAAGTCTAGTCTAGTAGCCCGCGTAGCCGCTCCCTTGGTTGCCGTAGTCAAATTCCTTGTTGTCGATGTCCAGGTCGAAGTATAGCTTGTTAGGCGCCGGTCTGTCTCGAATACGCCTCATTAATGCTTGGATAGGACTCCGTATGGCGGGGGAAATCGGATGCGACTCGGTTTGTGGCAATGCGTAGGCTACATAAGCCCTCTGTGAAGAAATATATATTTTAAAATATATCCATAATTATATACTGATTCACTCACGCGTCTCGAAGCTGATGCCCACCGTTTGGTTCGGCGGCGTATGAATGGGGGGCTGCTGACATTATTTCCCGTGGGCGTGTACCAACAATTCCGCCGGGGAACACTGGTCCTCAGCGACATAGCAGCGGCATCATGGCTTTGGCCCGCAGCAGGACAGCTAGTGTCTGCCACATTCCAGCCAGCAGGACATCCCGTTTACCTTCCGAGAGGACGAAGAGCTATGTACGTCGGAATCACCAACGGAGGAGATACCAACGGCGAACGGACTGGAAAGGCGGAGAGAACAGCGAGGGAAGCACGGAGGAGGGCCATGGCAGTGGACACAGGGAGGGTGATGACGCGCCGTTAGCCGAAACTAATTATAACACTTTTCGTTTTCTTCAAGCTAAAAACAGTTTTTTTTTCTTTTTGAAATGTTGGCAGCTCTGGACATAACAATTGACCTGACAGAATATGGTCACACTGACCCTACCCGGGAAATTCAAATTTTGATGGAGCAGTGTTTTCATCTCCCATCTCTTCCATCAGTTAGACGAAACGCTGCTTCAACTCCACTCGTTACGGCAGCAGCTTGGCATATTCCTGCAGCAGGGTCCCAGGTCGCCATGCAGACACAGGTTTAAGCTGCTCAAAGTCCTCCACTGTGGCATTAATGGGTAGATAGCTTTCGGGCGGAATTGAACCGATCCGTTTGGAGCAACAACAGGAGTAGATAGATATAAATGCATAAATAAATGATACATGAATATATCGATATTTGTTAGACGAAAAGTAGAAGCAAGCACTATAAGCGACCATCACACGAACAATCCGACCTGCAAGCCCTGCAATCCTCTCCTGTTTCAACATAGAGTAAAGAATATTGAATCAATTGCTTCAATCTCCCACTAATATATACATATATTTTTTCCTTTGGTAACACTTGACAATTGAGGCTGTGAATTTATGACGTCAGTTGTTGCGACCGATTGGCACAAATGACGGAACTATTGTTATCGACTACATTCAAGAGTCAATTGTTGTAATTTATTCGAGCTACGAAATTTTGGCAATTTTCACATAATTCTTCAAAGAAGTTGGCAGCGCAGCAGACATTTAATCGAAGAAAAGATTGCGTCAAGAGCAAAAAATTATCAAGAAAGTTCAAAAATGGATCAAGAGCAGCTAATGAACGCCGTTAATCCGCTGTTTTCCAAGTGCCAGAACGCCAGTTCCACGGGCATTTTGGGTAAGTTTGTGCAAAAGCCACCACAGGCACACGAACACGCACACGCACATGCGTGCGTACATAAATTTGCATTAGAAAAATACACCGATATGCAAGCTGCAACACAAGGGAACCTTTTCATATGTGCAGCTCCATTTTGTGGAGCACCAGGGCTCCTGCCCCTACTGCCCAAAGTCCGCGTGCGCATGCGCAACGTTTTGTGGAAGTAAGTGCCACTTTCAGCCGCTGTCAAGGCACTATTTTGTGCATTTTCGTACAATTCTTTTGGAATTCTATGCGTGTGGTGGTGCAAAACATGTGAAACGCGTCACACCTTCGGCAAATTGTGGTATATTGTATGTACATTTTCTTGAAGTGCATCAGCCTGTTACAATGGGAAATAACATATTGTATTTGCTCGATTTGTTGCCAAGTGCATCTGGGAAATCAGTTTGCAAAGAAGGTTCCTTCAGAAAGTTTGCACTTCAGCCTTTACACTTGTCAGTCCCGTTGCCTATGACCTTTCAGTGAGTTGCATCGATTGCCCCGACAAGGAGGATTGGCTGCAGTACGTCTGCCAGGGGCCTATGGACCCATGCGCCCTTTGTGGGCTCCTCGCTAGCACAATGCCCTGCCAGCTGGGGGAAGGAGCCGTCAGACGGTTATTACAGTTAACCAGTTTTTAGGATTTTGGTTCCGTTGGCGAGTAAAACATACATAGCTCTCTTGAAGATATATAAAATGGATACCTGTATTTGAATCGCACTTTCCTTCTTGCAGATCTCAGTCATAGCCAACTGACTGCAATTCCTGAAGTTGTTTTTAATTTTATGTCCAATGCTGGGACTGAGGTTAAGGAGTGTGATCTTAGCGGCAATTTAATGCAAGAGATACACCCAAAATTGGCCATCGATTTCAAAATCTTAACAAGTAAGACACAATCAGCATTACCTTATACATATAGCTACATGCATACATATTGTTTATCTAATCGTTTCAGATCTCAATATAGCACATAATCTTCTGATGACACTTCCAAAGGAGATTGGCAATCTGCGAGCCTTGGAAAGACTCAATATATCGTGTAATTATCTGTTAGAATTGCCCGATGTAGTTTTCAAGTTGCCAAATTTGACATATTTGTATGCTCAGGACAACTTGATTACGGGTAAGTTCATGTCCGAGGAGTTCTCAGAGCCGAACAACATCTTAATCGATTCGACATCCTGACATCCCGACATCCCATGCAGAAATCGATATAGAACAGCCAATTGAGAGCGATAACTTGGCTCTAGTTGACTTACGTTACAATACTCTAAAGCCTGAGTTTCTTCGTAAGCTGATGAAGATACAAACCACATTCCGTTTGGTACTCAACGACGCAGAAGTGAACGACAACGACTATGAAGATTATGATGATCAGGATGATGATGATGATGATGATGGTTTCATCAAAAATTAAGCATCTTTATACACCCACACTCAAGACTGTTCCATGTTCTCCAAGGAAGCAATACACAAAACAAAACAAAAAACAAAAAGAACCAACAAATCTATAAGATCGATCTCAAGCCAAACACTTTCACTGAAGAAATTGTATGTATATTTATGTTACGATTTTGATATGAAACAAGTTATGTATTGTGTTAAAATCTTGTTTAAAAATCTAAGATCTCTTATTAGTGATACAGAAAAAATAATGGATGGAGAAGAGAAGAGAAATATACTATGGCCTTTCAACTGATGAGAAATTAGACCAAAGTTGAAGTTTTATAACATTTGTTACGTTTCTTAAACTTTGCTACTTATTGTTTGTTTTTAAGCTCTTTGCAAGGTTAGGTATTTTTGTAATATTTTATTTTTGTAGTGGCAGTTCCCAACAAAACAAGCTGCTAATCATGAAAATTGTCCAATACGTACTTTTTAGTAAATTTCGAGCGGACACGCTGCAGAGCAAGCCTGCAGTTGCAGTTGGAAGTACATAACGCATTTTCTTGAGTAAGAACCTACTGATCCTGAATCCCGATTGGACTTGACTATTTATTTGCCAGGGCCCTGGGTTCTCTCCGAAAGAGTATAAATGCTTTTCTACCTCCCAACCTACCTGAGCCCAGCCCACTACTGAGTGGGGGCAAATACAGTGGAAGCTAGATAAATGGAATGGAATTGAAGTAAGCTAAAGACTAGTTCATTATTGGAATTTTTGGCAAATGTTTGCTATTTAGAGGGCTCACTGTAACGCCAATGATTCGCTGTACACCATGGCGAGCTTGGCTTGGCGAGTGCATTGCCTGTTTCTCGTTGCTTTGGGTCTGTGGTGTACTACGTGGCGCTCTCCCATCCGAAAAGAGCTGTGCTGACGCTAACTCTCTCAGTTTGTCGAATGGACAACAAACACCAGAGAGACAATGAGGTAGAGGTAGAGGTGGGCAGGCAGCGCAATTAAATCCAAGCAACGCAACAGGTTTTGGCAATACACGACGGTACACGACGAGAGATACTTTGGGCCAGAGATACAACGATACCGATCGTGGCTCGCTCTCCGAGCTGGGCTTTCGTCTGTGGCTCGTTATGGATTTCGTTGGTTTCGTCGGTTTTCGGTGGGTCGAGGGCCAGCTCCAGCTCCAACTAGCGGTGTATCCGATGCGCATCGGTGGGCCTGCAAAGGTGATCTCGCGTCCAGAGAGAGAGAGAGAGACACTGGCAACAGAGAGCGAGAGAGAGAAGAGTTTGAGTTGGCTAAGAGATTGATGAATGCACAGACTCAGCGGTGGAGCCGCCGAATGGAATGGCAAGCAGTTGCGCCAGTCAGTCGCTAGCAGGTAATCCACTAGAGCGCGTTCGGGGTACGGACACAATACAGACCCATCCGATCTGATCCGATCCGCAGTAGTTCGCACAGAATCGGCATTGAATAATCCCACAGAAACAATACCCACACGACGAGATCGAGCGGCCCAGCGCGCGGCTAGAGCTAAGTGTCGGAGCGCGATCCAAATCGAAACAAACGAAAAAGTAACGAAAAGAAAAATATCCAAGTTGTTTGTGTATATTTTTGTTGTTGTTTTTTTTTTTTTGGTACAGAAAAGCCAAGTCCCGTAATACCGTTGCGAAATTACTTGCTCTCTCTCTCTCTGTCTCTGTTCATCTCTGGCTTTTGAAGCATAACCAAAAGCAAACGAAAAAAATATATACATACATATACATATACATATATATACCTACCAACAAAAGTGCAGTGTTCATGTTAGTAGTTTACTGATAAAATACTAAAAACTTTTCTATTGTTTCCTCTTAGTGAAATTTTCTTTATTTTTTTTGGCATACAAATTATGAAAACAAACAATTAATGTGCAGCCCTCGCCTTCGCATGTCCAACGTAACCTTCGCCAAAGGAAATACTACATGTGTATCCATATATTTAAGACTTTAGTTTTAAGCTATTTGTACAGCTTTGTTTTAGCTGCGGCTGCGGCTGCGGCTGTGCATGTGCCCCTGCCTGTGGTGTGAACAAACAAATGCAGCGCACTGTGCACTCACGAAACATGCAAAAACAGTCACCGTCTAATTAGTATTGGACGCCGCACGGGCCTATCGATGGGACAACTTCTGCGAATTGGATATACATCATCGTCCGGTCCGCATACGAGATCAGCCAGGAATTTGTATTACTCATACGACTGTCTGACACTTTTCACACAATTGTTTGATAGTTGGCAATGCCAGCCAGCAGCCCCCAATACTCAATACCCATTCCATATTCCCCACAATATAACTTAATAGAATAGAATAGAATAGAATAGAATCGATCGAGAGCCTGCTTTCCCCCACACAAAAAAGTACAGTAATCCCCCTGACGAAAATAATTGCCTCTGATCCGAGAAAGTGCCACTCAATTGTATCCGAGCATCGAGTGGAGTGGACTCGACAATGGAGAATAGAGAGTGGAGAGGAGGAGAGTTCTCCCCATTCCCATTCCCATTCCCATCCTCATCCTCATCGCAGTTGATGTGTTCATTAAATTCTATTGTTCCGTCGCTTCACGATCATTTCCGATGGCGTCTGTCTGCCTTCTGTGCACAATCATTTCTGATGCTACTTCTTGCTGATGCCGATGCTGATGCTGCACTTCAACAAGTTCTTACACTCCACTCGAATTAATTATTTGCGGCAACTTAAGCAGCCGAGGGTTCTTTGAGTATTAAGCGGGTAATATATTTAGTTACTGGGGTTCCTGGGAATTCAATTCAATCGAACCTTTCCTTTGGATGATATTCTTGAAAGGATATTCTATTTGGTAGCTTAACTATAACTAACTATGGCTTAAATATATTTTCGACTGGACTTTGACCACAGTTTCCTATCCAATCAAAAACCATATGTACATACATATGTAAATTTTAAGTCAGCTTTAATCGGCAATCCAAGCTAAAAATATGATACTCGAATGATTCAAGTGAACAGATTTGCAGAAGATTATAATTATGAAAGTGATTCCCATTATTTTAGGGCATTTCAATTCTAAGCAAGAAAATAAAAGCGGACCCTAACAAATATGGACACCTTAAAGTACTTTCTTTTGAAGTCTTTACCACCCAGCGATTGTTGGGATCCCGAATGCCTTCTAGTCAGAACTGTAGCCTCTGCCCTCGCCCATAATCCCATCAGCAGGGCTCAGCTCCGTGGTGTACGAGTACTGGGGGCTAATGCGTGGGCCTGGCATCGGCACGGCACTGTTGGAATGTTGCCCAAAACGCCGCCATAGAAGCCACCGCTACTGCTGGTAATGGTAATGCTTCTCTGATGGTGGTAGTGGTGGAGGCAGAGCTTAGCACTCACTGTATCTTGGGCTTACGCATGAGGCCTCCCTCCGCCTGCGATGAGGCAAGCGGTCTTTGTGGAGAGCGAGAGAGAGAGAGAGTGAGAGAGAGAGACTGGGCGCATGCGCAGCTTGTGCGCGCGTTACATACTTGACGCTGTACTCCGGCAGTCAGGGCGCCTTTCCGTCAACTTTGGAGTAGCAGCAGCAGCAGCAGCGACCGCGTCGCGTAATCATTAAACCAGAGCTCCCATCGGGGTAGGGGAAAGGGGCAGTGGAGTGGAATGGAATGGAATGGGGCAAGGCAGCAACAAGTTAAAATACCAGTTTTGTTCGTTATTCGCCGAGCGACAAAGCAAAACCTACGTACAGATGTATAGGTGTACACCTCTGTTTCATTATACATACACACAAAAGTACCTGTGCATATATGTATGTATGATGTATGTGCATCATCTGTATGTGTATGTATGTGTTTCCGAAATTTCCATACACCTGAAAGAACTCTAATCCCAATTAATTGCCAACTCTCTATATCTCTTGAGTTCATTCTGCGTGACTCGAGATAATTTAGGAAAAAGGCATACATATGATATATGTATAGTATCTGTATGTATCTGTCTTTACAATATAGTATGTATATATGTTTTTCCTTTAAAGCTTAACGCATGATCGCATCTGCAGAGAATTTCATAACATATGTACCTATAATAGTATATATTTAGAAACAGAGTTTGTCATGCACAAAGCATTAACTGAATTACCAGATAAATTACACAAGATTTCAATGGGGGGTCTCAATGGCTTTATGACAGCCTACGATCGGTAGCCAATATGGTCTCAAGGTGTCACGTATTTTGAAGCTACTCGTATATGAAATGTCACACAGAATCATCACTTATAATAATTTATCTATCCACAAGGAAGTCATTCAATCTATAGAGGAGAGGGTCCTCATTTGAAGCCAGTTGCTAGTAGAACAACATGGTATACATAGTATGTCTATTTTTTGCTTATAAATTAGTATTTTACTTCCAAGAAGATGATGATATTGATTCGTATTGACTCATAGACATGTACGAGTGCTTGTTCCGGCTTTTCTTTGTCTGCGACAGTTGTCATCTAATTTTCACATATGTCTGTATGACTCAGAATATCTTTCCAAGTCAGCCTTTCAAGTGCTCTTTTAATCAAAGTTTAGAAATGAAATTGAATCTTATTTGTGTTTATTTGTTTATTTATTTGTTAATAAACCACTTTCTTAATGATAAACGACCTATGCCATATGCCGATCGGGTTTTGCTGATCAAAACAAGTTCTTCTAATATGAAGCCAACTTCTGAGATACTTATAGCCATGACTCATGGGGGAATGATAACGAAAATATGTTTGTATGTATGTGCATATGTTTCTGGCCTGCTGGATACGTGACAACAGCCTTGACAAATCCCAGGTATGTCTCTCGTTCTCTGTCTCTCTCTCTCTCTCTCTGCGATAACTTTGTGGCCGTTGCAACCAGAGAAGGAGGCGGCACAGGCACCGTCATTAGCCCCACTCTTTGGTTAGGTACTACGTACCCACCTGGCCCTGTTGCTGTCTTACCTTTTTGCTGGTGCCGGGGCTGGGGCTGGGGCTGGGGCTGGGGCTGGGGCTGGGGCTGGCTGCTCTCCTACGTACATTCAAAGATTCGCCCGTATCTGTGTGCGCGTGTGTGTGTTGGCTGAAAAACTTGTTTGGCGAAAAATGGTTAACTCAAATCAAGTAGAATTTAAGCCACAAAGCAAGCCATGTCTGCGCTGGCTTTGCTTTACTTTTGCTGTCTTGGCTTTTTGCCCCGACTCGACGCGATTCGACTTGGCTTTTGTGCGAGAGTAGCTTATGGCAAATGCAGTCGAATGGTTACGAGGGGAGGGTAGGGGAGATCCGCTTCAAGGCGACTCTGCTTGACAAATATGGCAAAATTGTCGTAGGTGTTGTCTCGCTTTATTGGTCTGCGAGCATCGACATCGACATCGACTTCTCAACATCGAGACATCGACATCGATATCTGTCTGCCTCGTTTCGCCAAGTCTTTCGTATTGCGTATGACAGCGATTGCTTTGCTGTGCTTTGCTTTATGCAATACGTAAACCCATATCCAGCGTCCAACGATCCATCGATCCAGTGTAAGTGGATCCCCCATTCCATCCATAACTGAATAATTTGCAACAGTCTTCAGTCTTCAGTCTTCAGTCGTGAGTCGTCAATCTTTGCTGGTCTTCTGGTCTTCGGTTTGGGGCGACCTATCAATCTCTCGACATTGACATTGAACATCTGTTGTTCGACTCGCCCCCGCCTCTCCATAGATCAGAGCCCCCAAATCTCCAGCTACAAACTCCATCGCCTGCCATCGCCAATCCACAGAGAGAAAGCTCTTTTGAATATACTATACACAATTCAAAGGGAAAATTGGTTCTACCATGTATGTATCTGTGTATCTTTGTATCTCGTTGTGGTTTGCTGTTAAACGCAAAATATTTGGGACGAAGGTCGTTGACAGAAGGCCGCTGATCTGAGCGTGGCACAATGGGCGAGGCAGGGGCTGGCCGCTGACGGAGAGACGATCGCAGATACGACCTAACGGCATACCTATGCATACATGCTCATAGATACTCACACACATATGCACACATACATCATCGCATACCCCACTTCCGCCGTCCGCCATTGCAACTTTTCGGTGATCTAAACTCGGCCAGAAACCGAAGCCAGCCAAAAGGCCAGCCAAAAGGCCAGCAGCTGCGTGCGGGCCAATTTCCAGCAGATAAATCAAATATCGGCCCAGAGACCAGACACCATTTTCGGCCATTTTCAGTGGGTTCTGTTCAGCTTGTTCAGCCCGACCCACAGTTGTGCACAGCTGCACTCTCATCGAATTGAATCGATCGATCCGACGCAGCTGCAACTGCAACTGCGGCCTATTCTGGGTCTCCGTCTCCATCTGCGTCACGATCGCCTAACCCTAGCCATAGCTCAAGCAAAGTACAGTGCACACTGTAGAACGTGAACAGTGACGGGAATATTTCACGGGAGGAGTCGCTGGAATCGTTTCTAAGCTTTTCAAAAGAAACAATCACTTGGTTGTAATAACAGTCTAGGGATTGAACAATTTGTACTTTGTCCAAAGACAGAACAAATGGGAGTTACATCTTACAATTTGTGAAAACAAAATTCAATTTACAAATTACAGTCTTTTCCTCATTTAATTTCAATCTTACCAAAAGTTTTCATCATCTGACCACACACTGTACTTACTACCTTCTATATGCACTGAGAGAAATTAAATTCTGTATTCGGTTACAAAAAAACAAACAAAGACAAATATAATTCAATATTCGTAAATTGGGTAGGAATTTTTTGAATCGAAGTGTAACCATTCGATTCTCAGGGTGTACATTTATATGTATGAACGAGTATATAGAGATAGTAGCCCACAGTTTGGATTGTACGTCCAGTCCAGTGCGATTGCCGTGTGCTAATTTATATGCATTTTCCATTGCAGTCTCCAGTCTCTCCAGGCGACACTACGATACGAGAATGAACTCGGACCCGGGGCCATTGTGGGCCAGCAGCCGCAGTCGTTGCCTAATGGCGGCTCTCCTGCTGCTTATCTGCGGCGGACAGGTCGCGGCCCAATCCAATTACGTGCAACACGGCGATAGCGGCAACTACACCACAAACGGCCTGCCCGAGGAGGCGACACTGGATGGAAAGGTAAGAGCCCAAGTCTAAGCCTAAGACCCCTACATAAATTGGGTTTATCTACTGGTAAGAAGCTCTTGTTGGTTAATCGCCGGTTAAATAGCTTCCCAGCTTCCATAAAGGAAAAAAGTTAAGCCTACGATCATGGGTGTAGGCTTCAGTCCAAAGCCTTGATTAAATGTCTTCATTTAAGTGTCTTTTTGTAACATGAGCTTAGACTTAAGTGCTTCATTTGCGGATTAGAAATCAGCCTTAAGTTGTAGCTGCTAGATGAAACACATGGGTTTGTCCTACATAATTAAATGCTGGCCCAAAAGCAGCGGAAAACTAACAGCTCTTATATAAACTGTAAAGTAGTAGGAAGACATCTCATGAGAGTCTCTCTTGAGAGTTCTGGCAACCTATATACGAGTACTATAGTTTTACAGTCCCCCCGTAACAATGTAGGTGGGTAGGTCCATGCATATTCGGTGGGATTGTGCCTGTGCCTGCTGTCTTCCTGCTGTCACGCTCTCTTGTTTCACATTGGCCCCCAAAAAAAACAATGGAGTCTCGGGGCCCTGGGAGTTTCCCTGAAGCCACAGAGATACCATCCCGTATAGAGTGCACAATGTGCCAAATCGGAAGCGCAGTCATGGAGGGTACGAGAGTACGAGAGTACGAGAGTAGCTTACATAATATGCTAATCAGTGGAGTGTGCGTGGGTATCATCGTATCATCGCTTGGAGAGCATCTCTCTTTTGGAGAGCGCTCTCTTCCCACGCACTGGCACTGACTGTTGGGAATCCAGGTGATGGCGCCATCCATATCGTTAATATGCTTCTTCTTTTGTGTATCTCTTTGTGAAGGTTACCAAGCTGGACGACATCAGCCCATTGATCTTTCTGAACCGCACCAAGGCAGCGCTTAATTGTGCCGCCGGCTCCATGCAGGTAATCCCGAACCCGAAGCCAACCCCGACCTAACCCAAGTCCTCCTCACCCTGACCCTGAGCCCTGACCAAAACGATTTTCATTGCAGGTTGATCTCAAGTTTAACGATCCGTTCCATGGCATCATCCAGGCCGATTATGACCGCAGCAGTGCGTGTCGCGTCAGCGGCAAGGGGGCCCTCAGCTATCGCCTCGAGCTGCCCCTCAAGGGTTGTGGCACCATTCAGGTAAGTGGCGCTCCCCTTCCCCCTCCCAGTCGAGGTGGTGTTCCTTTATTTTCGGTGTCCTTGGCGTCGTCCCACAGAATCCCACACGTGTCTTTACCAACAACATCATTGTTCGCTTCCACGCGAATCTGGAGATGGACGGGGACGAGATCATCACGATCGTCTGCCGCTATCCGCCGCCAGTGCCCTCACTGCCACCCGCACTGCCAGCGCCCATGTGAGTAGTCCTGGACGCAGAACCAAGCTTTATCCTTTGAACTCCTGCCTAAACTCTGCCCTGTTGACCTTGACAGCCTCAATCCCATTGCCACGAGCTCTGTGCTGCAGCCGCCGCTGAAGAGCATCCAGATACTGATGATCATCTGCGCCATCATGTTCTTGACCCTCCTGCTCCTGGGCCTGGCCGTCTCCTACTACTGCCTGCGCAGCCGCCCCATACCGGTGGTGCGACGCCTGCCCATGAGCATGGGCAGTGGATCGGAGATCACGAAACTGAGTGGCAGCAGCCTGGGCAACATCAGTGTGTTCGAGGGCGTCAAGATACCGCGGGCCCACGCCGCCCTGCAAGCCGTCTACTCGTCCTCGGGCAGCGAGGGTGCCCTCATACCGTCGGACTATCCCAGCGAATCCCACTCGGAGATCGAGGAGATCGACACCAGGTCGCTGCCGTTCAGCTCGGCGGGCAGCTTCGAGAATCGTGCCTTCGTGCAGGAGACATCGAGCATCTACAGCGACCACTATGCCCCTGCACAGGAGATGCCCGTGGCCAATGCGGTGGTCACGACGGCGGCCATCACCACTCGTCATGCCATGCCCCTCCAGGAGGGCTCTCCGAAGTTCGATGTCCAGGTGCGTGTCAAGAAGTCACCGCCGCCCATTCCGTCGCCCGTGACCTCGGACACGGAGAGCGTAGCGACCCTGCGGCCCGATCGCAACAACCTGTCCACGATTATGGAGGCCTACGAGGATCGCGAGAGCATCATGACCATGGACTCGCTGCCGCCGCAGGTGGAGACAATGCAGTCGCAGTTCACGTACGTGCCAGAGCTGCACCCTGCCCCACAGGTCCCACCGCCGCTGCCAGAGCCCAAGTTCTCCGTGTACACGCGCACCCACCACGAGGTGGTGGATGGACGCCCGGAGACCTGGTCCGACTACACCGACGGCACTCGGGCACCCAGCGAGATCACCGATCTGTCCTCGGAGGCGCCCGACCGGGCCGTGGAAACCATGCACTACTACGAGGACGAGTATGTGCCCATTGAGCCCCAGCCGCATTCGATGGCGGTGGCAGTGGCAGCAGTGCCACCCAAGCCTCTGCCCCTGCCGCATGTCACCTCGCATACGGTGGACGACGTCTATCTGCGAACCGTCACCGAGAAGAAGACCATCGAGGACATCGAGAGCCACAAGCGACGGGTCACCGAGTACAAGAGCAAGCCGAAGGCACCACTGCCGCCGGTGGCACCGCCAGCGCCACCAGTGGATCCCAAGTTCGACGTGAAGGTACGCAACTATCCCAGCGAGCGGGAGCAGCAGCTGTGGGAGAACTTCTCGGACATATCCAGCGCCTCGGGGCTGACCCTGACGCCCAAAATGGAGCGCAGCGAGCTGTCGCTGCCCCCAGCGGAGCCCCCATCCCAGATCCACGACAACAAACTGAAGCTGACCAGCCCTGAGCTGGTGGGCAACATGAAGCCCATCGAGGTGCCGCCTCAGGACATGGATGTGCCAAACTGGGATGTGCTCATACGCATCCTGGAGGAGCCCGAAATGTCCGAAATCTCCGGCGGCGGCGACAGGGATGACACCAGCTCTGTCCACAACAACATCAGCTATGACGACCGGGCCAAGTGGAAGGAGATCATCACCACACAGTCCACGCTCCGGTCCATGCTCACGGAGGCTGTGGTGCGCGAGGACTTTGAGCGGATCCGCCAGGACACGCGCTACGAGCGCATGTTCGAGCCCCAAACGTGGGACGTCATCATTCGGATTCTGGCCCCGCCCAGCGACGATGACACCGATGTGGAGATGCGCCTGCCCAGGCGCGGCGGCAAGAAGGCACCGCCCCAGCCATGGGACACACGCTCCCGTCGCAGCTCCCTGCCGACGCTCTACGAGTACGACAGCGATGGTGGCTCCAGTGTGCGCACCATACGCAATGATCCCGGCCTGCCGCTCCATGTGGGCGGCGGCGGCGGCCATCCCGGCCAGCCGGTGGGCCTGGGACCCTTCAACATGCAGCGATCGCGCCGCAGCTCGCGCACCTCCTACCAGACGGACCACAACGACTTCCGGTCCATGTCGGAGGTGACGGTGGACTTTGGGCGCCCCCAGGCGGACCAGCTGGACAATGTGAGCGATGCCAGCAGCTATTACCGCATGCAGTACTACGACGACGAGGATCGACGTTCCTTCCATCGCTCGCTCAGTCATCCCTCGCTGGCCCGATCCGCCAGCGAGTTCACCGAGCACTGGACAGCACCCGACGATCTCGAGATCGAGATCTCCTCGCCAGAAGGCACGCCTCATGCTCGTCGAGCCCGTCAGGTGAGCAATCGCCTGGGTCCTGTGATTCCTCGACTGACTGACTCAGAAACCGTTTATCTTTCCAGCCCCTAGCCATAGCCGCGGGACGGACCGGCGAGCAGCGTGTCCTGGCCCAGACCCAATCGCAGAGCGAGTATGTGGAGACCCATCGCAGTGTCTATCATGCGGAGAAGGAGCTGCCCATGCCGCCGCGCAAATGGTAGAAGCCGCTCCCAAACAGAGCCAGAGCCGCCTTTCGATTAGTCACTTCTACTAACAATCGACTAAAAAATCAGCGCACCGGAACGGAAAGGGAAGGGAGGAGGGTAGGGTATCGTTGCCGGTATCGAATCCACGAGCTCCAGCAGGAAGGCGCAGGACGCATCCGCGTCTCATTTGGGTTTGGGGTGGGGTGTCTGGCCCTTCTGCTCGAGCTCGGATCCAATCCAATCCTTCAACATGGTTCACATATACAGATGTAGGCTCTCGCACATTCCATAGGTCGTAGACGATTATATATCCTTACAATAATTAACAAAACAAAAAACGTGCCAATTACAATTGCCTGACATTAAAAATAACTGCAAGAAACGAAATGAAACGAAACCCCCGAAAATGTCAGTTCAAAGCGGATGAGTTCCAGGTTCCCATAATGGGTTTCTAATCAGTGGAAATAATTTTTTGAATAACTGAACAAACGAAACTTTTGTGTTCTGAAACACCCAGCTCCGAATGAGAAAGAGATAGGGAAAGCCAGCCAGCCAGCCAGCCAGCCGGCCAGAGAGGGAGAGCGAGAGAGATAGAGAGCATGGGGAAAATTTCCAATTTAGATAATACATATAGTTCGTATAAGATCTTATGCTGCCGCCCCATCTTCCCACTGAGCATTTCGATGGGAAATATATTGTCACAATGGGGAAGAGAAAGGGGAAGGAAATGTTTTTTTGTATTAGAATATTATGTTGTCCACCCTGTCGAATGCATATACTCACGACTTTCTAGTTACTAATGTATGTATATACTATATATGATGTGTATATACAGAGTCCAGAATCCAGCCCAACCACACACACACACACACACACACACACACAGACACAGGGTTTTTGGGGCAACTGCCACACGCACAAAAACGAAAAGATCTACCACACGCGCCCCCGATGGGAGAGAGGGGTTCCACAGGTTTGAAATAAAAGTATTACTACAGAATAAAGCTAGAAGATACGGGATTGAGATGCCAGCATCCAGCATCCACTGCGACTTGAAAAAACTTTCCTAATTGAACACGCGACACGGCAGAAGATCAGATATCAGAAGATGATATGCGGGCTTCCAGAATGGATTCCCTCCAGAGAGAAACACTAAATACTTTTGACGATTATCCTCCCTATCCTTATATATACATATATAATATTATATTTTTTTTGCGCATAACGTAATACTAATCCGTCCAAGACACACCCCATAAATGTACTAAATCCTTAGCGTAATCGATCAGTAATAAAAAATAAACAACAAAAAACGGAATAGGCTCTCATTCACAATCCACAAGATACAAGATACTTATTATTAAATTAGCTTCTTGCGTGTAATCTAAATTAAACGAAAACGATAAATAAATCAAATCAAATAAACATATCTACTAACAAATGTTTATCGTGTTTTATCGTATAGTCAGAATCGTGTTCATCAGAACTTTGATTCAACAGAAGCAAGGGGTTCTGTGAAGAGAGCTCACCTCATGAGCTCACCAAAACATAAGTGGAGACAAGAGACAAGAATTGCAGAAAGATTGGAAATAATATAGAGTTATATTCTCGATAATCATGATCACGTTGAATTGGATTCTTAAGTCCCACTAGAATGTATCTTACATCTGTTTTATGCCAGTATAATCTCTCCCTCTTTAAAGTCCCTTGTTTTCCAATTTTCGAACAACACTTTTTTCCTGCAAGTTAGGGTTTCATAGTATCTTTTAGGGGCCACCAAAAAACAATTTGCTTCCTAGACACAATCTTTAATACATACTACATCTATCATCTCTTAAAAGTGAAGCTCAAAGAACACTCTTGCCTTGAGACACATATTTTTCTGTAATCTAAGATCTAAGAAGCTCAAGATGCAATGAAAATCGTACACTTTGAACATCGCAAAGAAAAGCAAGCTTAAAGTTATAGAAAATGTGTTTTCTTGATAACAGAATGAAGGGTAAAGGTTTATCGTATAGTAATTCGAAATGCCATTGCTAAATATCGATAAGAATATGATGTAGATGACGATAGCGAAACGATAGGTAAGCGATACCAGGCAAGCGGACGGGCATTCTTAGCCGACACCCTGCGAAGTAAAGACAAACATTACTATATCCCCATCATGTGGTCCAAAAACAATGATGTAAGTGTGTAAAAACCTTGAATCCTTAAAGTTAATAGATCTACAATCTATAAAAAAAAAATTAAAAGGAAAAGCCTGAGATGTCTTTCTACGCTCGGCAGGAACGCGTAAATAAATCTATGGCCGAAATTAAACAAACCTTTGACGAACGTGCTACGATGACCAGAGAAGATGCGCTTCAAAAGAAAAAGATACAAGAGGACATGACAAAAGGTCTGGCAGAAAATAAACGGCAGATGGATGTACTTTCCAACAAAATTAAGCTGTTGAAGGAAGCTCAGGGATCTATTAAAAAATGATACAGTTCTCACAACTAAATAAAGATACACAGTCCATAAATCGGTGATTAAATAAATGTATCTTTCTGCATCTTTCTACACACACAAAAACAATAATATGATACAAAATTACAATGTCAATTCCAAGAAAATCTCTCTAAATCGATGATTAAATAAATGCATCTTCCCACAGTATCTTTCTATTTTGATTTCAGGGAAATGCTATTTAAAAATTCTATCTGCCCCGTCCTCGAGGCTTTTCAGGAACACATGTCAGGTCGGCATTTGTTCCATAGATTTGATGTTAATTAATAATACTTCCATTGAAGACAGAAAAGGGGGAATTTTTACTGAATTATAGTCTGATGTATTCATGTATTTTTTTCCCAGTACGGTACCCATTGGGAATCCAAATCATCCAATAAAGAGGGGAACAAAGCTTCAAAGGGGCGACTATGCGCTGACTAGTAGTCTGGCTCCGCCATGGCTATATTTACGACACAAAGATACATATCTACAGACATACTCGTAAATGTAGATATACTTTGCTATGCTATGCTATAATTTTTTGGAGAGTATACTGATTTTTCTAGCCCAAAAAAAATACACACTTATTAGTTGGAAGAAATTCAAACTTATTGGATTGGTATCCCAGACTCCCAACATAAATGCCAAGCACCGTACGTATTTCCATCTAACGGTGGCTTCCTTGCGGCCTCACGTAGTTATTCGGTGGTAAGAGGCTGTCAAAGGGCCTTTTGACCAGAACTTTATTTAAGAAAAGATGTTGGAAAGATTCCAACCAAATGAGTAATAATCTTTGACTCCTTTATATGCCCGCTGGCCCCGACCCTGAATGGCACCTTCATTTGATTCTCAAGTGAAATTGTTTATTCTCCAGTGAGGCTGTTTATTTTGGAGTCGCTACGATTCACCATAAATACGAGTAATACGATCTCAAGTGCCTTCTTTTCCAAAAATCATCATTACCTAATCATCACTTCGATCCCCTATGGTCGATGAGGCAATAAGAACGTGCTCCATAGACACTTTTTGGAGTGTTAACATATTTTGATAGTCTGCAGTATGTATTTATTCTGCAGGAATATTTTCAGCAGCTCAGTCAACTTGGAGCTTGGAGCACTCACCCTGGGGGGGTAAGGGAACGGAAATTAAAATGGCATCATCCAAACATCCGATGATTGAAGTCTCGGAAAAAGGGGAATTTTCGCTGACTAGTCATTTTCTGATATAGATACAGTACCCATTTGGTAACCGAATCTATCGTAGAAAGGGGGACATTTTTCCAGTAATCTGTCGCCGGGGCTCCGGTTCCCACACTTCTATTTCACTGCGAAAAGATGCGGAGGTGTATAGACACATATGTACCTTCAGACATACTCGTAGATACATGGGTTTACATATGTACATATATCTGATCTGTATATTTGTAAATCATTTCGGATGCTATGCTATATTTCCAAGCCGATGATCCCATGAACAGAATGGAGAACCTACAAACAGCAAAACTTTCCATTGTTTACCTTAAAAAAGGTTTCTTAGTGGACCGTAAAATGAAAATCATTTTAGACGGTTTGTGGGGGGTGTCCTTTAGCATAGAAAATAATTACACTGTACAATTTTCTGTATGTTTTTAATGTTGGTGATTTTACAATACTTTATAATTATTTTGTATGGTCCTAGTGTAAATCTACAGAAAATGGCAGGTGACGACTGGTCATGGCGAAGGCGGCAGCTTGGGATATCCGAAACATATGTATATTGGTCCCCAAGGCGAATAACAAAATTTTACCAAAATCGTAGGAGCCTTTACTGTGATAAATAGGCAGGTATTTATAATTTTTGCCTCTATTTGCCTCTTAATAAAAATAAGGGTAAGGGACAGCTATGTATATCTGTCCGATCTGTCCGATTCCGACAAATGACCTGTGTGACCTCATGAACCATATAATCGAATACTTAGATCCCCTTGAAAGTGATAAAGATCCTCTAAGGGCACTTCAAGGGTACTCTCGTATGTACGTATGTATGTGCATACGTATATGTAAGACCTGGCTTGAATTGCAGCTAAATATGTACATATGTATGTGTGTACGAGTATTTACGTTTATTGGCATTCTCCCCGGTTTTGTATAACACTTTTGGATCGCCGTATAACACCTACACATATGTAAGTCTGACCAATCAGAGGCTCATAGGCACGCCGCTCTCCCGAGCTTTCTTCGCGACTGTTCCCCAAAAGCCGTGCCAGGGCCAAAGCTCGTAATTTGATGCTGCATATGGAACGACTCCGACCCGAAGCTCCGAAGCATATATGTACATACATATGTACATACCAATACCAAAACTAATATAAACACCTAGATAGATCACATGCACATTCATAGGGATATCGTCAACTTATTAGCGCCTCTTCAAAATCCAATTTTTGTTCTTTAGGACTCTTAATAAATCATCTTCAAAAATATTAACAAAGACTACTATGTACATTTAGAGAATATTTTAATTATTTTCCAATAAAGTTGACAAAGTTAATCAAGTTGATAAAATCGGAACTTAAATTGGTTCATCAGTAGTGAGGGCTAACACACTGCGAGTGTTAAGGCGGGCGCTATTTTAATGACGCGCAGTGTACGATCTTATGTAGAACTCCATTCACATGGACCGCTGCTTGGCCAAAGCCGAGGTTCTGACGATGGAATCGCACAAGAAAGAATTCAATTCAGCTCCAAACTTCAACCCAAGTGAAACATCTAGCTTAAAAGAAGGGAAAGTGAAAAACAAAAACAGCGAATTGAACACTTGGAAGAATTGGAATAAATACTTAAAATTCAAAAGCAAAAATAATCTATAAAGTTTAACAATTAAAATCCATAAAAAAGTGAGGTGAGCTTTATGGTTTCTTGGTTTCTTTTTATTTGTGTGAAATTTATGCGAAATTGAAATGAAGGATTTTTTAAAAACACACACATTTTGAAGAAAACTTAAATCAAATATTGTTTTAAAAAATCTATAAGTCTATCTTGAAGTCTAATAATAAAGAATTTTCAATAAACATTAGAAGCCCCCAAAATTTAAACGCATAAAATACCTGACTATGGACTACAAAGTTGTCCTGATATTAATTTAAATACTAAAATTAATGTCCCTTTTGTTTCTTTTCACAACCCCAACGCAAAGTCGAAAAATTCCAACGCATTGGCGGCACAATTATCACATTCAAAAAGTGCAACGCCAGCTATCTGGG